TGAAGCCGGCTTCGAGACGCCAAGCGGAGACAGACACGAGTCCGCCTTTCCAAGGAAGACCCGTCAACACAGGCCAGAAGGGGCTCGTGCAGAAGATCGACAGCGTCATTACAGCGGCAGCAAGGATCGTTCTACCTGTCTGGAGGACAACGCCAACCAGTAGCCTCCTCCGAGACGCCGGCTTACCGTCAGCCAAAGTCGCCTTAGAAGGCGTCCGTTTACGGGCCGCAGTCCGACTACAGAGGATTGATCGCCGACACCCGCTAGTCGCGCGGCTCTCCCAGCAGGGACAGCAACAGACGAGACTACAACGGACGGCTGAACTTCTGCCAAGATGCGGAAGACCAACGTTCCTCCAATCACAGTACCTGCCAAGCTCACAGGATCAGATAGTAGTTCAATGCAAAGAAGAGGCTGCGAAAGCTTTCGAGCGCTGGCTAAAGACAGTACCGGAAAGCCATATGATCGTCTTCTCGGACGGCTCCAGGGCGACGAACGGAGCCGTGGGGTACGGCTTCGTCATCTACCGAGACTCCAAACGCATAGCGCAAGGGTGCGGCCGACTCGGACTAGCAGAAGTGTTCGACGCCGAGGTCGAAGGGGCGCGAACCGGCCTCAGAAGGGCTCTGCTCACCAATCGCGGTCATCCAATCCACATATGTATCGACAACACCAGCGTTATACAAGGCATCCGCGGCAAGGCGCCGGACTCGTCACAAGACGCGTTCCTCGAAATCCAAGAAGCGGCCAGGATATTTGATATACGGACGCACTGGTCCCCGGGACACCAGGGCATCGAAGGAAACGAGGCCGCGGACCGGCTGGCCAAAGAAGGAACGACACTGCCGGCGCGGATGGGTCAAATGGCAACACTAGCGGGCATCAAGCGGCTTGCAAGGGAAAAATTACAAAGCCAGCACAGGAGATGGTGGTATAAAGAGCGAAGGCCGCGGTACGCGGACTTGGGGCTTGAGGCAGCTCTGTCCAGCCCTCCTGAACTGGCCTTGCCGCGGGCTACGTTACATCACCTGCTGGCGGCACGATCGGGTCACGGGGACTTCGAGCAATATCACCGACGTTTCAACCACGACGACGCTCTAATGATGTGCTCTTGTGGAGAGGCGAAAGACGTGGACCACCTGGTCTACTGTCGACTAACGCTGGCGAGGAGGCAACGGTGGCCGACCCTCCACTCTCGCAGTATGCCCGAGCCCATAGGTCCTATGGGATCTCTCGAGGCCTACTTCAAGAGATTAATCACCGACCCACGAGGCTTCGAGGCCTTTCTCCGCGTGACGGACTTCTTCCAGAAGATCTGTCTGCGGTAGCAGCATCCACACCTAGGTAGATGTGAGTGCGGACTACAAAGAACCTCCCGATTCCAAGGGACGATTTGGGAAAGAATGAAACTGGGGCACCAGCGGGAACCGGGGACAGACAGAACGCGTAGTGGCCACAAGGCATGATTTGGAGGACGATGTAAAGAGACGACGTACTGTAGAGTAGGTAGCCTTGGCTCACGGCCCTCCACGCCATATACCCTTCGGGAGGTCTGCGGTAAGGGCTCTAGCCCGGCCGCCACGGCGTTAAATACAACAACAACAACAACAACTTGGCTATGGAGACAGACCCGCCTCAGCAAGTCATCTCGTGCGATAAGGCCAACGTCCTTGCTGTTAGCCGGCTTTGGCGTCGAGCCGTGACGGACTTTTTCGCGAGGGAGTATCCGCAAATCAAGCTTTCTCACCAGCTTGCTGATAGCGCGGCCATGCTTATGGTCAAAGATCCTCGCTCGTTCAACGGAGTGGTGCTCATGGATAACACGTGAGTATTGCCGCTTTAACAAAAGCTCTGGTCTGAGGTAGCTCACTCGGTAATAACGTGATTTACAGATTCGGCGACATCTTGTCGGATGTGAGCAGCGTGGTCCCGGGATCGCTGGGTCTGCTCCCATCAGCGTCGATCTCAAGCACCACCCCTGGCTCGGGAGGAATCGGTCTCTACGAGCCTATCCACGGAAGCGCACCCGATATCGCGGGGAAAGGTAATAGAGTCTTGTCCCAGTCACACAAGAGAATTGAAACAGTCAGAGACTGATTCTACTTTTGCGCAGGTATCGCCAACCCAGTCGCAACTATACTTGCAGCGGCAATGATGCTCAAGTACTCATTCGGGATGGTTGATGAGGCAAAGGCCATTGATAAAGCAGTCGAGAAGGTCTTGGACTCCAAGGACATTGACGGCCACGAGATACGGACCCCGTAAGTTTCACTGCTCCACGTTCGGCGCACGTCTGACTAGTTTCTTCAGTGACCTGGGCGGGATTGCGACAACAGTTGAGGTTGGCAATGCCATTTGTAGACAACTCGAGAGCTTGGTGAAGTAGATTTTCACATGTATCTATAATGCAAAGAATCAATTCAAAATACGTCAACCCCTGATGAGTGGTGATAGAGAGTTAGGCACGCCCCAAGTTGATGTTGACGCGGCAGTCAATCATCCATGGAAACTAGCGATGCAAGCGGCGTAATGATTTGGGAACTGATATGGATTATCTCTGAACATCAAGCGAATGAGCTCATAAAGATACCGGTAGCTGAGGTAGACTTACTACCAATCCTCGAACGTCATTGCCTGAATACACGCACTCCCTTTGTCTTTAGGCGCCACACAGACCTCTGAATCCAAGCCCGACCCCACGCCCGAACATAATCCCGTCACGATGGCTCAAGTCCATCAATAGACCCGACAACTCCGATTCTTCGCCTTCTGTCCATATCTGTCTCTCGATTGATCATACATAGGCCTGACGCAATGGACACCCTTCACCGTGAAGGGACTAGGGTACGACGCCGGAGAGCCCTGGCCTGCATCGAATGCCGGAAACGAAAGCTGAGGTGCGACCACAATCGTCCTTGCAGTAAATGTCAACGGGCAAGGAATAGGACATGCGTTTATCCTGACAATACTATCTTGTCACTCTAGCGAGCCCCCTCAATGACCGACAGAGTAGCCCGTCACTCATCCAACGGCGCCAGTCCGACACGGAACACGGAGTTGTCGCCCAGACACCAAAGCCCGTGTACCAAGACCGAGTCTTGACCAGCGCCACCGATGAAAGATGGCACTCGTCTTCGTTCGGAAGCGTCTTGCTCAGTCAAGTTTCGTTTCCGGGGATGGTCGTCTCCTTCGCTGTGGCTGTGGCTTCTACACGCCGGCCAGCAATAGAGCCACTCTGTCCAGCTGAAAAGTCACCGAATATCGGCTCGCTCACCGAGTCAACATCTCTACCGACTATGATGATTATCAAACAACGATACGTTTCACCAAGCCACTGGCTGTACTCGGTGATGCTGGTAAGTTCTACTAGTTTGCTGCGTTGACATGCAAAGTACCGTCCACTCACTGGCTTAACAGATGTTGCCTGCATTGAAGTGGTTGGACCAAAGAAATGGTTAAGCAGGAAGAATGCTGGCAGGGCTTCATACATTGCAAGAGACTGGGAGAGTGTCTCAGAGCACAGAGATCACTCGCAAATTCTCATGGACAATATGGCTCTTACATACTCGATTGCACCGTGTCGGCTGCGTTGCTTGAGAATTACCTACGCAGCTTCGAGCAGGTCTATCGGATTAATCATGTGCCAACACTGCAGAAAGAGTTCGAGGCATTCCTACAAGATCCAACTTCGGTAAACCACGAATGCGCTATAAGACTTCAGCTTTGCTTTGCACATGGAGCTCTGACATACGATGATCTATTCTCTCTTCGACCGTACGCTCTCCAATGGATCTACGAAGCCCAATCTTGGCTTGCCAAGACTGAGAACTCACATCCAAGCATCTCGGGCATTCAAAGCATGTGTCTCTTGCAGCTGGCTCTACAGGCAATAGAGTCACTCTATGGGGACCGGGTCCTAGTTCTTTCGGGCAATCCTCTTCGGTCCGCGATGTGCATTGGGTTGCATCGAGAGCCGGTTGGGCTGCCGCGGATGTTACCTTCCCAGGTTGAGATTCGACGCCGTCTCTGGACTACTGTGTTAGAGCTGGTCCTAGAAGCAAGCATAGAGTCCGGCCAGCCTGTTCTCATCTCACCCGAGGACTTTGACTGTAGGCTACCCTCAAATCTGAACGACGACCAGCTGCACTGCGAGTCTACAGTCCGTCCTATTCCGAAGGACCCCAGTCTTCACACCGATAACTCCCTGCAAATTGCTCTCGGTGAGTCCTTGACATTGGGACTGACAATTGCTAAACTGTGGAACAAGGTCAAGCAGGAGGCGAACTACGTCACGGTCCTACAACTTAGTCCACAGCTTACTGCCGCACACCAGATTTTGACAACTACGCTTAAAAATTTGGGCAAGGATACTTCGCTATTGAATCGTCACATCTGTGAGATGGTGCTTGTACGATACGTATTTGCGCTGCATTTGCCTTACATGCTTCTTCTACGTGATTCTGTCTTTTCCCACTCACGAAGAGAGTGCATAGATGCTGCGCTGCATCTTACGTACAGGACGCTGCCACTTTCTGACACGAATGAGCCGCTCTCAGAGCTTCTACGACAAGCAAATAATGAAGTTCGCTGTCCCAGATTTGGCCGATTGACAGCCTGCGGCTCGGGATCCTTGCGGTCAGCACAACATATTGCTACTAGCATAATCGCGGCTGACCTCAACACCATGATCTCAGAAAGAGTCAAAACAGCTACAGGGTCGGCTCTACGTGTTGCGGAAGAGTGTTGGCTACTGAAAGCTGGTGTTGCGTGGGCGAGACAGAGGATCGAGGCAGGGCAAGAGAACGTGAAAGATTACGTGTTCTTTGCACTTGTGCTTGCTGCAGCAGAAGCTGCCTTGGACGGCAAATCTGTCGAGGATGAGATGGCAGTGCGATGCAAAGAGGCTATCACAGACGCGGAGGCGTTGGTGTCGGACATGACTGGGGGAACAACGATTGGACGCACTGGACATGGAACTATTCAATACGAACAGAGTGAGAATGATTTGGAGGATATCGGGGCTTTCTGGGCAAGTGATTTCCCGGGCCTTGATTGGGGTGAATTCATACCAATGCCACAAGGCTGAGTTTCTTGGGTATTGTTCGTGAAGGTAGCAGACTGGCGGGCATCCGAGTGAAGTGGGATTCAGTTAGTGTTGTCTCAAGTCTTCCGGCCATTTTGTTGTTGTGAGAGCTCAAGGGCATAGTCATGATTCAGACAGTCAATTTATTGTTCAGGGTTTTGAAGGCCAAGACAGATCATCAAACATCCTTCAAGAGTAGGGCACGGAGATCTTAGTCTGACTCCGAATCGCAAGTCCGAAGGGCTGTCTCCCAGCACTGTTACACATAGAGGTAGAGGGGAAGGGGTTCGACAATGGTGAGTGTCTCAAGTCTGACACCATTGATCTTAAGCACTGAGTATCTGAAATATCATCATTGGCCTTTCCTGGCTCTACTCTTTCCATAGTGAAGTCTACCCAGTCCCTACACAGCGGTCCATATGTCCCGATTAGACGGTACGGCGTGTGAGTGAAATCTCTTTACGCTCTTGAAAACGCCCCTACACGTGCCAACTTCTCTTCTGTTTACCTAATTTATCACTGCGGACGATACACATTTTCGATCACAGTTGCTAACTATTTTGTGATCAGGTACAAGGGGTGGCGGGGAAATATTGGTATGTGTTTTCCAATTTCATAATAACGCACAGGGGTTCGTCACATGGATGATTGAACAACAATGTCTGTCAGGTGGCGAGAGGCAAAGAGGCATTATCACATGCGGGATCGCACCAAACCGCCTGAATCCTATGGCTCAGGCTAGCCACCATGCCGTCTTTAATGCTTGGCGACGCTTCGCGAGCCGGGTTTGGTATTTCGGGCCACCTCTGATAACCGCCTGGTACGTGATGTGCTGGGCGGATGAAAGGTACGCCTGCACGCACGAACTGAGACCTGTTGGTTTATTCATGCTAATCCAGAATGAATGATAGGAACAGGTTTCTCAGTTCAAAGGCGGGCAGAGAGAGACCTGAAAGGGATTAGTAGTAGGTGTAATCGACAGGTTCATTGACGATTATGCTATGCTCATCTAGATATATGTCTTGTTCGATGCAGCAGACTACTTCCTACACGGCTACTTAACTTTTGTAGTGGCTATCGCTCAAATTCTCGGTAGAATTATAACCAACAAAATCCATGACTACTGGGGCTTGCAAAGCAGGCCTCAAAGTATCACTCCCATGTCATCGATGGTCGACTAAATCTTGGTTTGCTACAATTTCTAGGCAGAGTCACTGGCACGGCGTCAAATTGACTCCGATATGTTTGAGCAGATAAGCCCACCGTCGAATTATGTGACCCTTCATCGATGTCCTGACCGCCACCCTGATCGCTTCAAAGGCCGATTATGGAGGCTGCTATACAAACTAACACCAACTTCTGTCTTGGGCTGGTCTTTGCAGCCCTATGCGGGCGAGCTGAGGAGATGGCCCTCGCCTTGCCTACCAAGCCGAGACAAATCAATAGCGTTCTTATCAGCGCTATTCGGAGCCAAGAGAGAATGGGATGTACTGGTGAGGGTCATTCGTATCCGATCCGAATATTCTCATTCACCGAGAACCACACGCGTGTGGGTCTCCTCCGTGCAGCGATGCCGGAGCAAACCCCGAGATACACGCAACGGACCCCCGTGAGCCATCGGCATTGCGGTCGGTAGATGTGTATGGCCTTATCATGAGTTACCGTGACTGTGGTAATCATGATAGGGATTTTTTGAACATCAAGCCATGATTTCTGATCGCTGGAAATTTGGTAATTGACCTATCTCTGGGCCATCTTGCGGCCATTCACCGAGCAGATGATGTGGATTAGTGGGATGATGAGCGTGTATTCAGGATCATTGACTCGCTTATCATGAATACCATTAATTAATTCCGATCGATTGTATTACGTATGAAGGCATCGATAAGGCCATGATGATGCAAGACAGCTCAACTTGAGGGCAGGTTGGCTTACCACTATATAAGTCAAGGAGAATGATGAACCACGCCGCATCTCTCTCTTCCCCCAAGTCACATCGTTGATAACCCAACTGGACGACTCTGACTTTGGAAGAGGCTTAACATAATGAAATTTTATCGCTGTGTCTTGGCACTCTCGGCCCTTGGCCCGGTGATTGCTGCTCCGACTTCGAATAGCAGCGCCGTGGACCGGTCAAACTTGACGATTGCGTTGATTCGTACGCCCCCGCCGAACTGGCCGCTGCCTCTCACGAACTACGACTACACCGGCATCACTTTCAACATCAGCGAATGTGTCGATGCTGGAATTGAGCTGATCAGAGAGGCTAAAGCCAGCGGTTCCGATGTTGTCGTCTTTCCGGAGCTTTGGTTCCCTGGGTAAGTCCTAGCTCACTACGCCCGAGGCTCAATCATCTAAATATTGAGTACATGTATCTAAAACATCTCGAACAGATTCCCCAAGGGCTCGGATAGCCACTACAATTTCACCCGCGACTACCTTCGTTCGTACATTGAAAATGCCATCGTGCTTGGCGATGCGCAGTGGAACCGCCTGGTTGCCGCCATCCAGGCAGTGGGCATCTACGCCAACCTCAACTTCGCGGAAGTTGACGGCGACTACATGTACATGTCTCAGGCATTGATCGACCCTCAGGGGAATATCATGCACCACCGTCGTAAGCTTCGGCCGTCAGGCGCAGAACGATACTTCTTCAGTGACGGTGTGACCCAGGATCTCAAAGTCTTAGAGACTGACTACGGCCGATGGGGAATGCTGGAGTGCGGAGAGTACGTCTACAGAGCCCACTTGACCCGACTTACCGCGCCATACTTCGATGAGTGCCGGAGCTGACCCTGCTACTTTTAATCTAGGCATATTTACCCCAGCATGACATTTAACATGTACGTCCAGAGAGAGCATGTTCACTTCGCGCCTTTCCCCTATCTGGCCGGCGTCGGAGACGAGACTTCGCTTTGGTGGGAGAACGAATGGGTCAACGCCGGCACCCTGAGCGTCTATTCTGTTCTCAGCGGTGCCTACTCCTTTGTCGCAGCCATCGGCGCAACTTTCGTGATAGACCCGTTCGGATCCCGCGTTGCTCATGTCAACGCCAACGCAAGCTTCGAGGAGTTCCCGATGCTGTACTACAACCTCAACACTAGCGGCTTCAACAGCTCTCAGACGTATGACATTAATGGGCAGGCTTCATGGGGGACGCTGAGCCAAATTGTGGATAGCTTTCCGGGGTATGTGCCAAAGGTGGAGGGGGAGTTTGTCAAGCACAAGAACGTCTCGATTGATTACTTGATGACGGGGGAGCTTGTCATCCCATCTTAGAGGTAGATAAAGTAGAGTCATCTGATTCTAATTTTGGCTTCCCGAGTGGCGGACTGCGGGGAGAAGTGGCACCGTTTCCCAGAATATCATCCCACGGTATGCCGTTCATCAATCCCGCGGTGATTACCCCTCAACTTGGTCGTGGTTCGAAGGCCCCTTCATTCCGGCTATTGTTGCTGTGTAGACATCAAAACCATTTCCAGAAGTTCTAATTATGGGAAGACAGCGATGATATATTGATGTTAACCTAGCATAGGCCAGAGGAACAAACCATCAAGGTGTTCATCAGTGGATAACATTGAAGGTGTGGCTGTATGAGGCCTAGAACACTCCTGATGATCGGCCGTGATCGTCCTACGCCGGGAACGCTCCAGGGTAAAGATTCATGCTTAATCGTATGCTGCCAAGATCTAATACATCTCAAACATGTCAACTGGGGGCTAGCTCTTGTGTTGGTTGGTTGTACCGATTTGGCAAAGGGTCGCGTGCTGTCTGAGAGCGTGGTTGGCTGTGCGGCTGGTGCAGCTATTTTAAGGACAAGACCCATACGCGACGTTGCGAACTCGCACCCTGCAATCAAGAGGGGGAAACTTCGCTGATAGCTTTGTACAATGCATCAAAATCACTAATCCGATTAGTTCCACCTCGAGTGATCTCCTTGGCGAGCAAGTCCTAGTGTTCAACGAGCGTCGAGCGTACTTCGAACCTGAGAGTAGCAGATTCTGCAGTGGTTTCAGGTACATGGCGGTGTAGAAAGCTTGGAGGTCTTGGCTAATATCGAGCAATTGTATCAATCCATGTTCGGCAGTCCGACATTCCCTGTTCTCCAGCACTTTCGAAAGCCGCTCAACCTTCTCTATTATCATCCAGGCTATCAGGTAAACAAATCTGCTGTTGAGTGCAGTTCAAGATTTGCAACGATGCTTGCCAACCCAGGTTGACTTGATTGGCTGGGAACTGGAGTCATGTTTCTCTGTATCCTCGTCATAAACAGCTTGGGTCCCAGGACTTATCTCAAGTATTAGTCATCTCCCGGAGACCCTCAAATTAGTTGCGAGCTGCCCGGCCACCGGGCTACTCCGTCTCTCAGGTTCATCCGGATCCGTGACCCATTGTAATGCTCCAAAAGAACCTCCGGCTTGGGGGGGTGTGCTCGGCCGACTCAAGGTTGTCGCACTAATAAGAGAGAAGGGAGTAGAATGAAGCTTGTTGTTGAGCCTGGGCCAATTTCAAGCCTGCGTGTCCGCGGCAGCGACTGATTCGCTGGCTAAAGACAATAAGCTTTCTCCTAAACACATATGAAAATGTCAAGCAGCATCATCCATGCGTCTCATGAGTCGTGAATGTCTAAACTTGACTTGCCTGCGACGAGAAAAGTGCCCCTACAGCGCACTCGAAAGCCTTGTGTGCTTCCTTTTGAGGGACCTTTTCCATGAAATGAACTTTATTCGGTCGGGGATTCCCCGTGTTTACCACGACTGGTAAGTCTGTAAGCCTCGAAGGAAGCTTCTTAAATGGAGCTTTTCGGAACTGGTAATCAATCCCGTCGGATATTACGGTTGTTGCGTCCCATTCCGGGCGATGCAGATTGTGAAAAGCTTTCTTTGCCAAGTCCAAGTCCCAATTTTAGAGGGGATCCAGAGATTCCAATCGATTGAAGCCCCCTATTTCTACCAATAATCATCATCGAATCGCCACAAGATGGATCGGAAAACAGAGCCCGAGTCTGCCCCCATGTCCACAAGAAGAAGAAGGAGTATTGTGACAATGACGGAGAAACAGCTGCTATCAATAGACCTCAGTCTTATGTCCACAGAGATGTTCCCGTCTGTCGCCGAGAACGACGAACATAGTCCAGGAACAACCATCACAGAAAAGGAGGCCAGCCCAATCACGGAGAACGACCAAGAGAAGGACAAAGGTCCGAAAAATGATATACCAGTGACACCGGTACCAAAGTACTTATCAGGGGCCAAGCTTTGGCTTGTCATCACATGTGTGATTGTTGTTGCCTGGTTGATGTTCCTTGACAGTTCTATCATTGTTACTGTTAGAGCATTCCGAAAATAAATGAAGCATGTCATTTGCTAATAGCATTGTAGGCTATTCCAGCGATAACTGACGAATTTCATTCTTTGCAAGATATCGGTTGGTACGGCAGTGCCTATCACGTTTCTAGTGCCGCCTTCCAGCCGCTCACAGGTAAAATCTACCGCTACTTCAGCTCAAAGGTGCGACTTTCCCGGCTGTCAGCGAACATGTCTCCAAATCCAAACTGATGCACGCAGTGGTCATTTTTCGTCTTCCTAGTCTTGTTCGAGATTGGATCCCTAGTATGCGGGGCAGCACCTTCGTCCCTGATATTGATCGTGGGCAGAGTCATCGCGGGGATAGGAAGTGCGGGCATAATGAGTGGTGGCCTGACGATCATCGCCGGATCAGTACCTCTAGAGAAAAGACCTGGTATGATCAATCCTTGCGAGTTTCGTCTGACAAATGCTTGGCTAATTCAACCTGTCTAATAGCTCTTATGGGACTGGTCATCGGACGTATGTATAGGCTATTGACCCTCACAGCAGTGGCTAACGTCAAACTAAAGTTGCAAACTCTGGCAGCGTTTGCGGTCGTACGTGCAGAAACCCACCCTGGAAAGGAGAAAGTCTCGCCAAAAATACTAACGTTAACACATAGCTGTTCTTGGCGGAGTACTTACCGACTATGCCAATTGGCGTTGGAGTAAGATATGGAGTTCATCCGAGTTGAGACGACTCTAAGTACGGAGCACCTGCTAAACTCAAACAGCATTCTACATTAACCTCCCGATTGGCGGCGTCGTCCTTCTGTTTCTGGCATGGTGCGAGATTCCCGATCAGGTGCCAAAAGCGAGTCCTATGGCGGTCATTGCGAAATTGCACACGTATCTAGATTTTACCGGCTTTTTACTATGTGCTGGCGCTGCGGTGTCATTTCTCACGGCCCTCGAGCTTGGTGGGAACGAATATGCTTTTAACAGCCCCACGATAATAGGACTGTTCTGCGGCTCTGCTGTGGCTCTCGTAACATTCTTGGCCTGGAACTATCGAAAAGGAGATGACGGGCTGATCCCATCATCAATGGCCGGTAAGAGGCCCGTCTGGTCCGCAGCAGTTACCAATTTCACATTTGTTGGCTCGGCGATGATCCAGATCTACCTGCTCCCGCTCTACTTCCAGGCAGTTCAAGGCGCCACGCCGGTCCAGAGCGGGATCAGCGTGTTGCCAAGCATCTTGTCACAGCTAGCCTTTGCCTACGGCGGAGGCGTGCTAGGTACGGAAGCCTATGGAATTATTCCATATATAATTTGAGTTTAGCTAACGTCCTTGTCACCCTTCAAGTCGGTAAGTTCGGGTATTATTTGCCGTGGGCTGTTGCAGGTACAGCGGCAACGATTGTTGCTAGTGGCTTGTTCACGTCACTCACACCGACAACTTCAGTGGCCCAGTGGGTTGGTTATCAAATCATCACGGGCGGTGGACGAGGCATTGTTCTACAACTGGTGAGACCCGCTTGCCACATGCAGTGGTTACTGACCATAAGCCCGACTAACAGGATGACTTTAAGCCAAGCATTGCTATTCAGGCGAACTTACCTCCGGAGCAGATTTCACTGGGAATATCATTTGTTACGTTTTCTCAATTCATGGGTTCAGCTGTGGCCCTGGCGGTAGGTACCGCCATCTTTACAGGGGCACTGAAGCAAGACCTACCTAAACTCGCGCCGAATGTCGATGCGTCAATGATTCTTGAGGCCGGGGCAACCGGGTTCCGTAAAGTCACGCCGGAGAAAGAACTGCCGGGAGTGCTTTTGGCATATGTATCGAGTATCGACAAGGAGTTTTACCTATCCCTCGGTCTGGCTATAGCATCATTCTGCTTTGCGTGGGGTATGGGGTGGAAAGACATTCGGCCAGAAAAGAAATAGGCAGTCAGCGGGCGAGGAAAAAAGAGAATGACTCGAGCCCGTGAATAACTGCCGAGAGCCCGAGGCCCAGGTTCGTGGGCACTGACATTTCTAAGATTGGACATTCTTAAGGTGGCCCTTGCTAGTGTTGAGCGCCGTTATCAAGCTCTATCAAAAGTTCCTTGCTCAGAAAGAGTGCAGAGTTCTTGAAAGTTGATCATACACATTGGTAGTATCGAAACAATGACTACGGACTACCTATACGAAAATACGTCGCTTGAATAATCGTTCCGACGGGGTTGAAGTGGTACGATGGCGGCCCGCCTGCTCATCAAGAATCCTTGGATTTAGAGTTGACCCTAATGGATCACTCGCACTCGGACCCGATGGGATGTTGCTGGTCCTGAGGAGGAAAAGTGAGGCTTCAGTCGTCCACCCCGTGGCGACTGAGAGAATCACAAGCTTCGCAATAGGGAACAATATTACGGCGTTCTCCGGTCTGATGTATCTAAGTTCACCTGAAGGAACCACCCGAATTATGACTGACGCGTCAATTAGAGACGAAAGGACGAAGCTTGCGAGACTAAAAAGGCTCGGGTTTCGCAGATGCTTCCGAATTATGCGATGAACAGCAATAGAGAGTCAACATCTAGCAAGCGGATGCCATGGCAGAAAAACAGGGCGCTAAATCAAGTGTCTGATTCCGTGATGACTGGTCAAAGTGTCTAGGTGAAGCTAAGCTACGCCTAGCCCACATCTTGCGAGGGTATATCATGATTGATTGCCGATCGCTCACGGTGCCGCCGACTTGCGCTACCGGAGCTCTGAACCTCGGGTTGTCCGGAGACGTCGCGCATGTACTCAAAGTAACGTGGCTGTTGCGAGCCTAATCCATCATTATATCCTATCTTGAAAGCATTCAGGTGCGAGTACAGCATTTTGATAACACGCATGGATACGGCTGCCCAATGAGCTCATCTGGTATACGGATACGCTGGTGCACAGCATTCTGCCATGGCACATCCATCGGGGATAGGAGGAACTACGAAATTCAAGCATACATAGCAAGGCTTGTGCGATGCGGCCATATGTAACCCCGTTGAGAGACCCCCTGAATAGTGGTTACCCTTGAAAAGGAACCCCCAACGACTCATTCCTACTTCCTAGGCCTCATCGGTCGTACCCAAGTCCATACTTAGTTAGAAATGGTACCGCAAGGCAAGCTGAAACAAACCTGAGAGGTATTCCGCGGGAGCAAAGGTAAATTGGGCTGCCCAATGCGCTCGGGCCGTCTCGCTGGTCGACTTCAGTTAAGGACGCAACATCGCTGGGCTTGACTCAAGGAGCAACGGCACGCCCGCAGCGTGAGATTGGAAGCACTGGACCGTGCTTCACAGGTTCACACTTAACTGGCGAAAACGAGAGAGTCCAATGATAGAGTTCGCGCGATCTGCGAGTTCATCTTGTCGTCCCACAGGTTCTGTTGCTGGCTTTTGCCGCTTTCGATATGCCCGAGACCGAATTCGCAATGAGTACAATTCCACAAGTCTACAAGCAGAATCCACCATTGTCAGTGTGTACGGATACACACTGAACGCAGCGCAATGCAACATTATGGTTGTTTCCCGATGGGAGTGAGCTTGACCATGCATCCGTACTCCGTACAGATAGACGCGAACCCCTCAAGGTTACCTCAGGCGCGTTTCCCTTTCCTAATGCCAAGGGGGGAGCACTTGGTTGTTTCTTGAGCAATCTATTTTACTCTCGCCGCCAAGAGCCCCAGCCATGCTTCAACGTCACTGATTCTAGCCACAGCCTACAGACAAAGATTCACGTGCTGCAAGCGCCGATCAAGCGGCAGGAGAAGCCCGCTGCCCGCGCCCGCGGACACTAGCAGCCGTCGAGCACGTTCGGCGGCTCGCCGGGCTCAAGGCTGGGCCCAGTCATGGGTAACCATCCCTGGAATTAATGAGAATATGACAGTCGGGTAAATAGAAACCCTATTTTACTTGCTCGCAACAGGACAGGGCCAACAATTTGGCGGGGCACACAGGCCAAAGGTGCCGACTCGAGCAGCTCAAACCCGCCAAGACTATCTACCGTACGAATAGTTGAGGCGTCCAAATAGGTCGGGCGTTTTGGACTTGCTGTCTTTTGTTGACTAGGGACTAGGTATGCTATGCACACACATGCAGTCTTCACCATTTCCAATACCAAACCACTATCAATCTCTTGGCCAAGTCGATCCCCAAATAGGGACCCCACAGGAGGGGCTTTGGCCTTGGCGCTGGGTTGTTTTTAGCAGACGTGAAGCCATGAAGCTGTCACCAAACAACAGCTGACTGATGATACACCGTGCCTTTGGCGAAATAGGTAACAAAACACGACATGATGGCGCGAGGAGCGTTGACAGTTTGGTAATTACCAGACAATCAAAGGAAGCTTTTTCTGATCTGATTAGAACGCCTCACCGGGCCACACCACCTTTGTTACACACCACTGCGAGGCGGTGGACCCCAATTCTAAAGAGAGTTTGCATAGCATTCGCCGAGGTTGCAGAGCCCTGGGAACTCGTCAGAACTTTGAAGTCGAGCTAAGGGTAACGCGATCCCACTCAGCAGGTTAACCTGCACACCACCCACTTATCGAATGATTGGCACCTTTTCCAGAGTTGCGGTAAAGCCAATGTCTCTGCCAAGTCGAATTCGCAGTCATGACAGCCAAACTGGTACCAAAGTACTGAATCGACAATGTCATACGTGGGAAGTTTCCCTGAAACTTTAAAATAAGAAATCGACAATGCGCATGATGGTTGGTCCCCAAAGAGGGAGGGTAGGTTCAACCGAGACATCTCATCTAGATCTGACGTGTCCCCCGCGCCCCGCGCAAGACGCCAGAACCCTGACATGAGTCGAACGGCGCAGGTAACTTGGCGCGGCTAAGAGAAAGTCTTGGCAAAATTGACTTATTTTGAGTAGTACGCAAGTCGCGGGAACGAAGTCATATAAACTTCGGCCGTTGTCACCTGGCGCTTCTGAGTTGAACTCGTCCCTTCGACCTTGTCGTGCATCTACATGAACGCTTTGCCACCATGTTGTTCTCTCAAAGAAGTGCCTGCGATCGCTGCCGAGCTCTCAAGAGCCGTTGCTCCAGAGAAACTGGAGCGGCCAAGTGCGAAAGATGTCAACGACTCCAGATCGACTGTTTTTATAGCCCTCCGCGGCGGATGGGAAGACCGGCAAAGAAGCGCTTGAACCCGGAAGCTGCGCAGTCAACCCCTTCAACCACATTCCGACGATCCTCGACAATGTCGAGTAACACCACTGTTCAAACAATCACAAGCCCGCCCGAAGTGCTTCCATCCAACGTCCACGATGCGAGCGACTTCCAACAATATGGGATAGGAATCATACCGAGCCATCCGGAGGAAGATGGAACTTGGACTGGCAACTTCGAGGACCCTTTACTTGGACTCCTACAAAGCAACGACTCGAAGCTGATGTCTACGGAGTGGATGGATACGGACACATTGGGATTCTTGGCTCATCAAGATGAAAGTCTTGTAGCACAACCCCACGACCTGCCACTTACACCCCCAACAACAATCGGCTCTTTACCCACCAACACAGAGGACAGCTGGATTCCAGGGTGTGATCACCCATCCGAGTTCAGCCACGCCGAATCCTTTGCTGGTGATACTATGCCTCCATCACCAGAAGCAACTTCACGATCATCCGAGTCGGCAGCACAGCGACTCATAGATCTTCAGTCTCTGCTGTTCTCGCGGCACATTACCAGATTACAGGACGCAGACGGGCTCACGACACTGATCAACACGACCGTGCACTCGACAGAAACTCTCATTGATGTCGTGGAAAGCTTACCACTAGTGAGGCCGAGCGTGGAAGGACGACGATCTACTTCACCGCCATCCTGCTGGACCGGAGCACCCGACACTTCCGGCTTCGCCACACAAGTAGTGCCACAGCTTCCGAAAGAGCCACTACAACATCTACATCAACCACCAAACCTGACTCTCGTTATCTCTCTTTTTATGACAAATTATCTTCTTCTTCTGGATTCTTACGAAGAACTCCTTGGCGCCCTGAGGGGCCGTCTTCAATGCTCACGACAGAGCCAGGGCCCGAGCCCCGGCAGCGACTTCGGCCTGGCGCAGCCATTTTTGGGCAGCAATACACCCAGCGGAAACCTCAACAAATTCAATGTTGTGAGCTCTTTTGACCTGGACGTCAACTCGGTCGTATTCTTGTTGTCTCGAATGATGAAGAGACTACACAAATCTACGGAATGCCGCTTCAACTCCGTTTCCATGACACCGCCTGCCGTCAGCCAGTCTCAAGGCCAGGGCTTCCCGGCTTCAGCTACATCATACAACTTTAACTTTCAAGACGGGATAAGCCAGGATACAGACGGGTGCTCGGAAACGTCAGGGGCCTTTTCTCCGATGGCAATGATGGGAGACTATGCACTACGGGAAGTAACTCAGAGGCACCAGAGCGTGATGGAGTCGCTCCGTGTGATTAGGTGGCTTGCAGACGAATTATGACACAGCCTGTACGACAATTGTACACACTTTTGTGAAACTAAAGTTAAAGATACATCAATCAAATAAGCGAACAGCCACATGAGTCGTTCACAACTGCAAAGTAAGCTTCGTTGACTAACGATTTTCGATTCAAATCCACATTTGCTGAGCTCGGTCTCGGACTTTGTCTCCCCAGTGCCGCTCCCCCAGGGCTAGCAATCATCCCATCATGTGTGATATTCTAGGGGAAAGCCGTTGTAGTATTGGTCCGAGGCTGTTTGCCCATTGGATATCAGATTTAGAAACTTCCCAAACATTTGGGATTTCATCCCATCATAGTCAAACTTCCACACTCGACTTCGGGCGACATCTCAAAGTCCATGTCCGCTCTGAAACGCTGAGTCGGTGTGGGATGTGGCCAGTGCTTCTAGAAGAGAAGCTGCGTCTGGAATGCTGGTTTTAAGGGTCCAGGAAGACTGAAATGCCCCATCTGCAACGGCGTTTGCGACGCAGACGCCCGCTCGACCTGTGGTGGCGACCTGACGAGGTCGCCATAGAACTCACTTCAGTCGAAGAGGATATCTGTTGAGGAAATGTGGATGTGAAACTATTTGTGAAATGGAGACCACGCTTGGCATTTTCAGGCTAGCTTTTCAAAGCCGGGTCTAGATTAGATTCGTTCAGCTTTTTAGCACTCTTTCATTAAACCTACGTAGCCTGTGAGTTGAACTTTGTCCCACCTCATCAGGCTGTTTGTAGGAAGGTTTTGAACATCGGGCGCGCTAAAGACATAATCTGTACACGCACTTCATGTATAGTACGTACAGTCTTCCCAATTGTATTCGATGTGGGTACCCTAGGGATACTATCGTATCGTTACGCCATTCAGCGAGGGTGATACATGAGATCATCAGAAAAGGTTCTTTTTCTCTTTCTAAGTTCCGAACCATGAGCTGAACTCTGACGTTGCATATTAATCAAAAGTCGCCTTGATATCTACTTGATCCAGATTGCGTATAGCTCGGCTGCATGTATGTGAAAAGATGATGACTTTAGATCTTTCTAAAAAAGAGTTGACTCAATTCAGAGCCCGATTATCTGTAGCTTACTATATAGTGCTAATTTGTGCATTTTGATGGTTTTATGGCCTTCAAGTAACTTGCACTTCTTGTTCGGTGCTGCTTGTTCAGTACTCCGTGTGAGAGTCGGGGGTAACCTGTGTCCTCTCATAGGGCCGTTCAATCAGTCCACGGCCCTTGAGTAATTCTAGATTAGACATTAATCCTTTTCCATCGCAGAAAATGCATTTGTTATCACCCATCAGTTCAGAATTGAGATCATGAAGTACTCAGCTATTGGAATTTTGGTATCGAAAGAGACAACTCGTCGCTATAATGAAGGTCTCCAAGTCTAAAACTCTGCGAACCGTAGGAACTTTTAGATCCAACAGAGTTATGGAATTTCTCAATATTTCCTGGCGCATTGCCGAGCCTAGAAAGATCTTTGCCTGCACGTTATCTTGGTATTGGATTTTGATATTAACGAATGTGGTTCCCATTCCCAACAGGATGTTCCGCAGCGTTACATTCGGTTTCTGGCGGGGGAGACTTGTGCTTATCTAGAAAGCTTGGCCGTCTTGGCTCGACCACCTAAATGTCTTGTCTCCTTCCAGATCCATACTGGATCATTACTTCTAGACCGATGGAAGGCGGGGTATCAACCCTGACAAAAACGAGGTTTTTCCATGTCAACAGTTACCAACTCGGACACGGAGATAAACAATGGTCTCAATGGCTCTGTCTTAGGAGACTTGCCGACACCGCTGTCTGCCAAGCGGTTCGTTTCCTGCCTGTTCGGGAAGCATGACAGGAACCTGTGGTCAATATGTGATGTCACGGGGCTGGGAGTTCAATGACTATATATAACGAGTCTACGGCGCATTCAGAATCCGCCACGATCGGTCTGAAATGGTCGGTCTCTAGGGTAATCTTTCCGTATCCTCGACCCTGGACCTTCGAAGAGCCTCATCGTAGCCGCATCCAAGCCACAGCAGCAACGACGATTTGTGGTTGAGCATCATGCTGTTTGCTTCAGTTATCAAAGCTATCGCTCTGACGGCAGTTGTCGTTCATGGAAGAGAGCTCCCCAAAGATGAGGCTCGCGCTGCCCGTAGGACTCATGAATCTCATATCGATGACCTTACTGACTTCATATAGAGCTCTACGACTCTGGTATCATCCACGACAGACTCATGTCTGCGAAGATTGTAGGCAACAATCTGGTGTGATGCGACCGCGGACTTGAAGCTAATGCTGATTCAGGCTCACTGGGAAGCCGAAGAAGCTGTCGGCCTCATGAACTCATCTCAATGGCCTAGACTAGGCTACACCAAGTGCGTCGATGGCTACGCCGAGGCCCTTCCGGATAGCCCATTGCACAACTTCAGATGCAAAAATGTAGGTTTCCTTCGCTATAAAGTTGACAGACCTTTTTTTTTGCGACGGTCTTATTGACGATTTGTTGATGTAGATGGATCTCTATGACTTCATTAATCACGCCGAACTGGGCTCACCAAATGCCGATTACCGCGGCAAGAGTGGAAGCTCTTCATGGGGATGGACGGATCCTGAATCTGGCCGCGAGTTCATTGGTAAGGAAGGAAGATGGATGACTGAAAATTAATCGACCAGTTCGCTAACTCTGTTGTTCAAGTCAGCGGCATGTTTGACGGATGTGCATTTATCGAGATCCTGCCCGAGGGCAAGATGCTCAACCTTGGATTCCTGTGAGACATTCTACTTGAGCAAAGGGAAGAATGATTTAACTGACTCTTTACGCTTTCAGGCCAACGTACTCGCCCGTCGGCAACAGGGCATATTGGCATGAAATCCGCCCGTATCACAACTACATGCTCATTGGCTCTGAGCTTGAGGGCCATGGTATTCAAATATTTGACATGACGAAGGTGAGGCTTCCCCCAGATCACATCAGCGACTATAATTGTTAACTTGTTATACTAGCTCTTGAATATCGACCCTACCGAGGCACCCATTCTGTTCACCAACGAGAATGACTTGACTGGTCACTTCATCGAATCTCTCCCACTGGGGCGCAGCCATAATGTTGTCGTCAACGAGGAGGCCAAGTACGCTGTTGCTGTCGGTGTTCAGCCCCGTGCAGAGGGCTGCATGGGTGGCCTACACTTCTTCAGTCTTGAGGACCCTAGCAACCCCATTGCCCTGGGCTGCGATGGCCAAGATGGATATGTTCACGACGTATGTCAAAACCCTCCCCAGTCGCAAGCTTCTGAGTTACTGTGTTCATGTAAGCTGATACGATTGAGCATAGGCGCAATGCCTCATCTACAGAGGTCCTGATGCCAAGTACCAAGGCCGCGATATCTGCTATGGCTACAACGAGGACACTTTGACTATCTACGATGTTTCCGATAAGAAGAACTCAAAGATCATTTCCCGCACGAGCTACGAGGGCGCAACATTCACGCACCAAGGTTGGGTCAACGATGTGAACTGGCAAGGTGACACACTTTGAATGGCGAGCTGAGAGCGATCCAAGGCTAACGATTCAACAGAGTGGCTTTTTATGGATGACGAGTACGATGAGGATGACCTGGCCGGCCCTGCCGCCGACGGATACCCCGTCACGTACATTTGGGACATCAGATCCCTCGATTCCCCCAAACAGACCGGTCTGTTCAAGCACACCGTGAAAGGAATCGACCACAACCAATATGTCGTTGGCGACCTTCTCGTTCAATCAAACTACGGCGCCGGTGTAAGAGTCTGGGACGTCTCATCCGTGCCTCAAGACCCCACGGGAAGAAGCGTCTGCGAGATTGCGTACTTCGACATCTACCCCGAAGACGACTCCCTCCCAGGAGGCGGAGCTATTCAGTTCTCTGGCACATGGTCATCCTATGCCTACTTCAAATCAGGGTTCATCTTCGTGAATACGATCGAGCGCGGGGCGTACTTGGTGAAGATGACGAAGATGGAGGCTTGCAAGCCCAAGACATGCAATGCAGACAACTGCCTGCGTGCTCTCAGAGCCTCCAGTGTTCCGGGTCGGTTGGAGGAAAGCCAGAACTTCTGTGGCGAGTTTACAAAGACTGTTATTGCCGATGTGACAGTGGTGCCTGCTTATGCCTCTGACGCATGCCCGACTAATGTCATTTCGCGTGTGAGCTCGGCCTGCTCCTGTTTGCCCACGCCTACCGCTTGAGTGCATTGATCAAGTGTTCTAGAAAAGCCCTGTAGTATCAGTGTAGCACAAATGATCAACATCATAATAAACACATGCCGAGCTGTCTTTGTTGCATTGCGCCTATCTACTAAAAGCCATAGGATATATGGGCGTTTTGAGACAGCGGTATCTAGAGTATGTCTTGGTCAAGGTTAATGGGCAAGTTTATTCATAGGCTGAGAGTAAGAGAGCTCAGAAAAGATTCAGATGAATCACGTCTTCACGGCGAGAGACAAAGGGATATGTTTACCAGCAATGAAATGGTTTGATTGGTATGAATGTACAAGGATGTTTTGGGATATACAGGAGCTAAACAACAACGCCATTTCTATATGCAATTCCTAAGACAACCAATGCCCCGAGAAAAGCTCGGTGGGCAACTGCAGCGCAACGCTTACTTATGCATGTTCGCAACTCGATCGATCAAATGTTCCAAGCGGGTAATGATGCGCTTAGCAAGAGGAAGCGGCATCAGTAGAGGCGGCGGCGGAAGTGGTGGCGACGGAAGAAGAAGAGGCACCGGGAGCGCCGCCGGGAGCAGTGCCGTTAGGGGGGGAGCCACCGGCACCGCCGGCACCGCCGCCAGAGTTGGAGTTGGCGACACCACCCTCAGCGTAGAGAGAAGCAGCGGGGGTGATGGTCTGGGCCTGGGTGGTGTTGATACCGAAGGCCATCCAGGCGAAGAGACCGTCAGTGATGCTGTCGCCGAGAAGGGTGTACTCCATGACGGGGTCGACGCCATCGGTGGCAGCCTCCTCGCTCAGGATGGAGTCGTCGGCGTTGGTGGTGAGCTCCTGGGTGTTGGTGTTGTAGGGAGCGAAGGCCTCGACAGCAGAGATGAGGTCCTGGTCGAAGAAGGTCTGACCGACGTGGGAGGCGGTGATAACGTTGCCGAGGGTGTTGTTGGAGTAGAGAGTAGCATTCTGGTGGACCATCAAGTGGATGTGGGTAGCGCGGGAGGTGTAGTGACCGGGGAAGATGGACTCGAACTGGGCGACACCGTCGGAGTCGGTCTCCTGGATACCGCGGAGCCAGGTCTTGTCGATGTTGGTCTCGTCAGAGGAGTCACCGTTGCCGGAGGCGACGATGCCGGAGTAGACACCGGTGGAGTTGCAGTGCCACATCTCGAGGTAGACGTTAGGGACGGGCTCGCAAGTGTCAACGTCGATGACCTGGTAGTCAAGGACAATGTCTACACCCTCCTGCTCCTCGATGATGTTGCGGCGGACATACTCGCCAGAGACGTCTATAAGGAACGATTAGTGGCTGATCGCAAGGGGAAGAAGGCTTGTGAGGCGGCTATGGCTTACAGTAAGGGCCTTGGGTAACCTCAGGGGTCAAGACGCAAGAGTTGTTGCCGGAGAAGAGAGTAGCGGCGTCGGTGTTCAGGGTGTAGCCGAGGTCGGTAGAGTTGTGGCTCTCGGCGAGAACGGTGTCGGCATCGCGCTTGATGTTGCGCTTCTGGCGGGCCTGGTTAAGCTGAGCGGAGCGGCGAGCGACGTTGCGGGCGGTGACACCGCGAGCGGCGAGCTTATCGGCGCAGTGGGCAAGGTTGGAGCGCTTGATGGTGCTCAAGAAAGCGCGGCGCTCGGCAATTTCCTCGGTGAGATCGTGGCCGGGGTGGGCAACGGCGCCGGAGAGAAGGGCGAGGCCGGAGGCGACGGTTGAGAAACGCATTGTGATGGTTATTGTGAGAGCTGAGGATGGAAAGCTTTGTTAAAGAAGGTATTTATACGATTTGTCGAAGTGAACAAGAGGGTATTGTTGGAAGTGAAAGCGAAAGGTGTGTTGGTGAAGAGTGAATGTGATGCTGGTGAAGAGCTTCTCTCTGGTTTCTTGGTGGCTTCGACCTCGGGTTATTATACTCGACGACATGACATTCTGATCTACGGTCAACGTCAACCTCCCTCCCCCACGAACCGCGTCAGTGCCATAGCCATGATGGCAGTTCGTCGCATGAGTACAAACTGTGGGGCTCAACTCATATCGCCATCACCGTACCAAGCCTCGTTGACTCGGGAGACGTGGACGGTGGCCCCGGGAGGCTGTCGATTGCGTGGGCTGCCCGTTGCGGCTACGGAGTTAGCGTAGAGAAGAGGCACCCCCGTAGCCCAGTACCAGGCCCAGCCAACGTCAACATCTTCTTCTGTGGGGTCATAGTAGCCTCGGTACTATCACCGGTGCGGCGGTAGGTGGGATGGTAGTGTGTGTGGACGACGACTACGAGTACGTTGCCCCCTTTGCCCCTTACTCTCTCTGGAGCGATGGCTATGCTCACATCGTCAATTACTTCTAGGTACAACGCCTTGGCAGGGGCTTAATCTCTACCGTTTGGGTGTAGTGGCCAGTGACGTCTTGGGCATAACAAATCAGCCCCGGGCTCATCTCCACATAGTCTAATTTTTCCCTCCCTTTCATCCCGGTTCCTCAGTTACTCAGTGACCGGAGGGTCCCCGGTCTGCTCAGTCTAAGCATCCGGACGTGGCCCTACGCGCAAGCTTTCGGGAGACAGTGGAGTCGGGGCCGCCGTTTAAGCCTCCTTTTCTGCGTTGTCTTGGTCCGTCGACGGAGCCGTCCTCCCACATGCCGAAGCAAATTCTCCCCGCCCTTGGACCAAAGCCGCCGTCGAGGCGCGTCCACACAAAGCCATTGTCCAATCAACGCTGGCGTGTTGTTTAACTGACGCTGTAAAAATAGACTTCGACGCAGCATGGGCTTCCCGTCTTCGGGTTGTTTTCCCCTAATACCCCTGATACCTTGAACATCCGTCACGTTAAACTGTGAACATCAATGGGGTTCAAACTATCTGCCCAATGAGCTTATTCCGTATGCGAAAAAAAAAAATGCCTTGCATCGAGAGGCTTCTGTGCCCGGACCACAGGTAGAATTTCTTTTAGAAAGGCCAGCCGAGGTCTATGTTTGACGCAGGTGGTACCGTGGTTGTAGATTGCGGTGTTTTACCACACAGGGAAATCTTAAGTGGCTCAGCACGGGTTGCGGGGGGTCGGATGGACCAGCTGCGCGTTTGCCAGTAATGACACTAACAGCGAGCATTCCAATTCCCAACACAGTCAATATTGCCGTTGAATTCACCCTGGTTTCTTCGGGGTCTCCAGACTCTTGGCTATTTAGCATGTTCAAGTAAAAGAAGCAGAATAGAAGGCCAAGGCTTCAAGAACCCAGCATTACGATGGTTCGAGATTCTCTAGGTTCGCATCTGTTTTAAGCCGTGTTGAGATGGCGAACGCCGTGAAGCTGCAGGTGGTCGAAAGAAGGTCGCAAACAGAACACAGTCACTCAGTATCTCGTTTCGTCCCATCTCAACACCGATCATCCGGTTCGAAGTACCGGATGGCAGACAAGTTTGCATGTTTCCTGCACGCGCGTACACTCGCAGAGACCTTGATTCTAGTGTCCAATGAGGGATCGATGATGGATTGGGCTACCAGCATCACAGCGATACCCTGGGTCGAGGCCGTGCTGGCCTGGTGGGCAAACAGCCAATGAACCTTACGCAAATGTCAGCTGAACCGTTGACTCGTCATCTAAACCTTCTACATGCCATATTACAAGTTACTTATGCACAGCCGAGGCGACTTCTTCCATCTTGTCTGGTAGTTGACGATAGCCGATCAGTCGGTATGCACGGTTGGTGGGTGAGGAAGACAACATTCCATTCAATGGCAAATGAGGTGCTCCCAAATCGTCAGCTCTCGACGCCAGTTGGGCAACTGCCGATTGGCTTCCTCGAAATTGAGATACAAGCATATTCGGAAGGGAAGCGGGAGGCTTTCGACGGGGCTTGGACTATGGACGAACCCGGCCTCGCCCACATGCAGTGCATCGGTGACCGACGGCCTGCTTAGAGATTAGACTTTTTCTACGGAGGGACCTGGAACGCGCAAGCACGATCCCTAATCCAGTGATTGCGTTACAGAAAACCCCATTTCTATACAATCCTACAGTCTAGCTCTACAGTCCGGTTTACTCTGTACGATCTGTATCCGTACGGATGCGCATAGTCGTAACGGTACCCAGTTCGTCACCTGCAGGTGTAGTGGGCTAGTTCATCGGTAGAAGTGATACAGATTGCGGGAAGAGAAATGATGCGTCCATGAGATTTTTGCGCCGACCATCCAAATGTGCGCCTGGAAAATTCTCTCAGACAACCCAGCAGGGCAAGCAGAAGACCGACCCCAAGACTAAGAGTCAGGTCTGGACGGATTTGGGAGACGCTAAGCCTTCGAGGGCTGGAGACATTGCTTGGCAACTTGGCAAAAAGATCATCCCGTCTCTCTCTCTAAGTCTCACTAGAGCCTCTGCCTCTACTACCTTACGACTCTGTCCACTGGGACAAAATCCAGATCGGGAACATTCCGACAAGTGATGACTGGTCCAGTCAAGTAGAGAAGTCTTCGTGACGTATCCGTACTGACGGAGCCAACAGTTGGCTTGCATAGCCCCCGACAACACCGAACGTTGGCGCATTGTCAAGAGTCAAGAATTTAGAGTAACAAGGTGCAAAATACAGGGATTCGACGGAAAGTGGGAACACAAACAGACTACGTACCCGGCACCTAAGCCACACCATCATGCTCTCCGTAGCCTCCGCTCCGTCGATCATCACGGGCGGGGGACGTTCAAAGGCCCAACGTTGACGCGTCGCGCTATCGGAGACTCTCCCTATTCCATCCATCCCATTCGGCCGAATGACGACGGACTGGAACTCGTCAGCAACTCTCGGGCTGGCTCTGAGAGAGAGCATTTCTAGTACGGCGGTCGCCATGGCGGAGCCGCGAGTAGATGTGGACGATCAGGACCAACCATTATCTTCGATACAGTCGGCTGGTGGGCAGTCCCTAGTCCGCCAGCTCCTCGAGATCCAGACCGCTACTATCGAGCAATCGAAATCACTTCATTTCATCCAAAACCTCGATTGTCTGTATCTTGATAAAACCCGAGACCGAAAGCGCCCCCCACAAACCCGCGATTCAGCATCTGAAAATGATCGCCCTGTATGGCTCCGCAAACGCGGCCTGAATGCCCTCAAAGAAGCGAACTATGTAGCCGTGTCTTGGACATGGGAAAGTTCAGAGCCGTACGAGGATTCTGCAGCTGGCCACCATCTAGTGCAACTCTCTAATGGGGACCACAAACCTTCTGGAGTCCGGAACCGGGTTCTCGACCGCATACGGCGATACACGGAAGCCCAGCCTGCTGGCCTGCAATACATATGGATAGATAAGCACTGCATCTGCCAGGAGTCGGGCACTGAGAAGACTCAGGGCATGCAGGCAATGGATATGGTCTACAAGCTGAGCAATCACCCCATTGCTCTGCTAGCACGACCGATTGAATCGCACGAAGAGCTTTGCCTTCTCGCAGACGTTCTCCAGGGCAATTTTGTGTCAAAAAATGCTTCTGGAGAGCTCTGCTTAAGGTCCTTCGCAGAGAGCGCCCTGGACAGGCTTCGTAGAGCAATGTCCCTTCTCGATACCATAACCTCCGATCTTTGGTGGACAAGAGCCTGGACTTTTCAAGAAAACTATCGTTGCGATGGAAAAATGACTCTCCTCATCCCTCACCCAAAAAATGATGAAATATTCAGGGAGAAGAGAAAGAAAAAAGATGTTTTCGGTAAGGTCGTGGGCGACTTATCGATCTCATCTCGCGAGTTCCAGACGGAATCCACAAAACTGTGCCAAGCCTGCATATTTGCAGAGGAGGATGGCAGCGTCTCCGGCCTGTCCGATATTGCCGAACGGATTCTCAAGACAGCTCCCAATTACGAGTTCCTATTACGGGAGACCATGCCCGATGGACAATATTCGACCCGCTGGTCACAGTCGCCGAGAATCATAAAGGACATTGAGTCCCGCGGCAGCAAATTCTGCCACGACAGATTGGCCATAGTCGCAAATTGCTGCCAATACTCCATCAGGCTAGATGACGCCATCTTGCGGCAAGGATCACACAGCATGAGTCTAGCCATGCTCGCACTCTACTTCTTGAATGGAGAGATCATGAAGAACGCATGTAAAGATAAAGGAAGCCGTCTTTTGGCGAGATGTCGGGGTCAAACAGTCGCCGACTTCATCGCAGACCAGTCCTTCGCTAACTTCTGTCCCCCTTTGCTGAGACGTCCTCTTGTTTACAACAACGGTTGCCGATTCATCAATGTCCAGCTGACTGAGGAGGGGTTGAGAACTTCTGGCCATATCTGGAAGCTCCACCGCACCTTACCCACAGAGCAATTCGCTCTCTCAGTTTCAGAAAATCGAATACAGCATAGCCACTGGACACGCCGGAGACACATCGTCAGGCGGCTTGCCGAGCTGCGAGATGCTTTCCATAAGCTTGGACATGACCCACTAGTGCAAAAGCTGGAAGAGTTTCTTGAAGTAAACATGCGACCCAAGAAAAATGAATTCTTTTCCGGAAAGTACATGTGGACGATGGCTAGGATGGTTGTAGCCGCAATGGACGCGAAGAAGCCACTAGTGCTCGGTGGTCTGCTTGACCACCAGCACTTCAAATATACTGGAATCTTCGTGCTGGAAGACCTTGAAGAAGAAGAATATGACGAGGATGGAGATGAAGATGACTGCTTCCAAGAAGGAGAAGCCAACGCCGGTTTCGTCACTATCAGCGACGATAATGAGTGTGCAAGCGACTCAGCAGAAAGTGAAATGCAAGAAGATGATGACGACGACGAAGTGGAGGTTGGGAGCTTATGCAAGTCTGTCTACATTTTCACCTCTTCTAAGCCGATGAAGGAATCTTCAGAAAACCAATATCCAAACGACATTGACAAACACGTATCAATTGAGGTACAGGGAGACAACTTGGAATCGATAGGCTTTCATGACGAGCCTAAGCCTAAGCTACTCATTGAGCGTTGGGTGAATGGGCTTTGTTTCTTCCAGAACCACCCCCGTCGATCGGTAGTATTCCCATGGCATCCTGCGTTGAAAGGAGGCCCTCATAGATGAGTACTGCATTCGCTCGACGAAGATACCACTACTTGGTTCAACATCAGGAGGTTGGTAAGTTCGGTGGGCTCTTACACAAGGTCACTACTCTGTAATCGTCAACCTCACTTGTCGTTTGTTGTCTTCTGTTCGATAAATCTCAATGAGGGCCATTGACCAAGAGAATGAGATCTGGAGATGAAGTACGGTTTCCTGATTTGTATTTGCCGCAACTATGGACGCTAGCAAGATTACGGACTAGCAATCTGATGCACGCATCCTCGACATACTAGTACGCAGTCTCACATCAATACTCCTCGTGTGTCATCCCCTTTTGGCAAGGCCTTTGTCATTGAGCTTCTAATCGGCAAAAGCTCAATTTCCAGGCTCCAAGACATGGTGAGCTACGGGGAACAGGTCACGCTGCCGTTGTTCTCGATGCAGCGCCAATTGTTCGGGCAACGCTGTAGAACGACCCAGTTGCCAGAGGCGTCACAGACCGCAGGAAACACGTTTGATCTATTTCAAGTGATCAGCTCGTATACATGCTGGGTATCCGGAGTATGGACTGCAGAGACTATGAGACTTACCTGCACTGGTAGCGACCGGGCGTGCATTGCTGCGCTTCAGCAAGTGCTGCGACGATGGCGACGATGGAGACAACGGAGAAGCGCATGTTTGCTGTTTCATGTTACTCTTGGTGTTTTCAAAAACAAGCGACGTGTTTTTTTCCGCATCAACCACTTACTCTTCTGAGAATATCAATTTGGAAACTGTTTACGAACTGGTGAGAAGTTTCGAGTCTGCGTGGTTTTGGTTAATCACAAATCCGACACTAGGGCACAAGCTACACTTTATAGTCTTTTCGTAGGTGAACATCTAGGGTTGAGTTCATATCATGATTGGAACGGCCAAGGTTACTCTATACATCATGACGTCCGTCTTTTCCTCCTAGGCAGCATCATACCAGTTGCCGTACGTTTACCAATGAAGCCTTGATCCTCGTTCAGCAATTTGCCACCAAACAGAAGTATGTGATGTGCCTTGTGATAAGTGAAAATTACTAGGATATAGGTACGAGACGCTCAATTGCGCCATCGTTACCAGAGTCTGACTTGATGCAAGCCCGTCAGCATGTCGCGGCAGTAGTGCAGCTTGAAGCCGTCAGCCTCACCGCTGGAATGCGAATCGTGAAGTATTCTGAGGTCGCCGATATCTCTAAGAAGGTCCCCGAAGACCTGCCACTTCCAGGTATAAGAGAAAGGTTGGGTTCCACAATGCGCGGAGTGTTAATGTAGTTGAACGCCTGGTCCTTGGCTAACTCTAGGCAGCAGCTTCGTAACGCCCGAATCAGTATAGTTACCCGGTAAGCAGATCCTTCAATGCGGAACAACCCCCCATTCATTTTAACGAGAATGAGCGTGCGTTTCCGTCTCTAGACTGAGAGGTTTTAGCAACTATCCCCCGATCGTAGATGCCTTTCATTGAAGTTGGGTTACATTGACAAAGTGTGTGCAGCCAACAACTTCACCTATCGCCGTTATGTAGCGTATGGGCTGACTGGACGATTGGAAAGAACCATCGACGTGCACTTGATTCTATAGAATATCGTCTGAGCATTTGAATCTGGGTATGAGTGAATGATTGTATTGCTCCTAGATTTGGGGAATGACATCCAACGTTACTACCTTTCTAGATGTATGGCCACCTATATTGTACAAATGCGAATTTAAATCAATGAAGGAAACTCAGGTCTTCCAGTCTGTATTAGTCTCATAGTTGCTGATCCTATGAAAGTGACATTCAACGTCACCAGGCCAGTACCAAAGGTGTTCTAATGGCGAAAATCAAAGCCATTTATAGGTGTTGGTTTACTTGTAGAAGACACATGAACCTCTACAATTGTGACTTCATAAAAACTTCGACAGCACTCAGCGAATTATCGTCAATCAAGATCTAAGCGCAACGTAGTAGGAGGCTTGTAGAAATAACATCGCAAGAGTACATGTGAGGCGGTGCTTGAGGTAAGTCTACAAGAGGCCTCTGAAGATGAATCACCGCACTTTTTTAGTGGCCTACTCCAGGTTGGGGCCCACGTCTGACTCTCCTGGCTCGATAGTGTGAGTGTCTTGAGTGACTTTTCTCAAGTTATTGCAGCTAATTACCGCGAGAACACGGCAGCTTAGTCCGCGCGAGCTTGCATTGGGCTAAGAATGGACAACAGTCACGCCACTCCACAGCCTCCTCTTGGTGTAGTTGGTTCATCACGTTCGACTGTAATGGTTTATCCACATCCATCGAAAGGTCTCTAGTTCGATTCTGGAAGAGGAGAGGTGTTCTTTTTTGTTTTTCTTCCTTGAATGAGGCAGCTGATCATCATAGCTCTCGTACAGGACCAAAACTCTTAAAGAGACCGAGAGTGATTTCTTGAGGGTTCTGCATTTAAGTCATGATTCTACAAAACTTTGTGCGACGAACCAGCCGCAGTAGGGAGAGTGGAACTATGTGGGCGGTCAAACTTTTGTTCACGTTGACTCCATTTACGGATACAGCATCGTAGTGGGACTCAGAGCCATCACCCACTGCTTCCAATTCAGGACTTGTCGCACAAGATCCTAAGGGCTGTTTAAAGTCAGGCAACACGGGATTAGCAGCTCCAGCCTCCGAGTAGCTTTTAGATTCCAAGAGCGCCATCAAGTACACAAACAACCGTGGCTTGGTCCATGTTGAGTTTTCTGGCTGCAATGCATCCAGGCACGTGCCGGGTTAACACACAGCATAGTACTCTACTTAGGGGATAAGTTTTGACCAATCTCATTTATCCACATGGGCATGGCGGCTACACTTACCCAATGTGGGTAGTAAGTCCATACATAAATCGATAGTGAAGTTGTGCAGAACCTTTATGAAGAATTCGTTATTTCCTCTATTCTCGTACTTTGTGTATGTTGCTTAGATAATCGCGATCAGTCCCGGGATGGTGCGGTCCCGCCTGCCTCCGGTGGGTTCACGGAGTAAACCCGCTTGACCAGAGTTACCAACACACTTCACGGATACTACAGATCATATTACTCCATATAATTTGGTCTTAGAGCTTTTTGGACTCGATTGCTTCCTGAAATTTCTGGGACTTCTGCCCCGAGACATATGATGCTCTATATGACAAAGTCTAGCGCGATAGCAACAGACTTTGCTCCATATCAAATTAAGGGTCTGAAGCCAATTGCGATGAGTGTGGCAAGACTTTGGACCTAGCTCTTAGTTATAGTTGGTGCCATGCCCTATTCTTAGAGAAAGGAAGCATCCCACGCAATTCCACTTCGCCTCAACTACCAATTCTGAGCTGAAAGTCTCGCGCATTGATAGACGCAGGTCTTCATTGTTTTTACTCGTGCTCGTCTCTGGGCTGAATCGCTGGCTGGTTCTTTGTGGGCACTCCAACTAATGAGGACACCGACGGACGCGTTCAACGTTCGGAACCTAACGCGGAACTTGTCGAGGCATCACCACATTGAATGTTGAATCGGCGAGTGAGGGATCTTCCCTCGCCTTGGCAAAGGGTGAAATTTGGCTGTCGAGAGACCGATGATTTTCTGAATTCCGAGAGATGCTGAGATCTTGGTGCACGCGTCGGAATGGATTTGTGGAGGACCAATCAGTAAGCGGTAATGCTATCCCAATTGGGCCATGAAGTGCGCCGCCAATGCTATCAGATAATGTGCAGAAGAGTGATTCGAAGGAAGAGGAACAGCGAGGGAAGAAGATCTTCTAACACGTTAGTTCTTAAACCCTTCATGTATATATCGCCTGGGTCATGTCCCTCGTAAACAGATCGCGGAGGCCTGTCATCCAGACTCGAGTCCGACTTTATTGCAGATCGTCAACACCCCTCTTCTTGACCCTCAACAACCTCCCTTTGATAGCCAAGTATGGCGGAATGGGAACAAATTGCTCGAAAGCATTCCGAGGAGCAGAAGAAGAAGATCCCGTCAGACTGGCTTTTGGACAATGACAAGTTAGAACAACTTCGCGGCGCCGGCACGGCACAGGAGGGCCGCCTAATCGATCTTCGAGCAGCCAAAAAGTCAGGCATTCTAGACAGCAACGAAATGAACATCACCGAGAACTACACAGCCCGTGAGCTTGCGGGACACATTCGCCAAGGAACACTCAGTGCAGAGAGAGTGGTCACTGCTTACTGCAAGCGAGCAGCCGTTGCCCAGCAGTTGGTGAGTATTTTGACGTTTGCTTATGACTGACAGTGCGCTTGGCAGAAGCAACAGGCTGATTTTCTGTTATGAATACTAGACGTCCTGCCTCACCGAGATCTTCTTCGAAGACGGAATCGAAAGGGCCCGGTGGCTCGACAAGCAGATGCGAGAAACAGGCAAAGTTGTTGGTCCGCTCCATGGCTTGCCAATCAGTTTAAAGGTGGAACAACACTACATAGCCTCTGACTCTGAGTCTGGCGGCAAATAACAGTTCAACTGACATCATTCAGGACAGCCTTCACGTAGATGGGCACTTCGCGTCTGTCGGATATGTCGCGTTTCTCATACAAGACCGTCCTCAAGGCAATGCTGCCCTTGTCAAGCTGCTTCTTGATGCAGGAGCAGTTCTCTAGTAAGCAGACTTAGCAAACGAATCGCTCCACCAAGCAGATCTGACAATAGGAAATTTTGCAGTTGCAAGACCAATATTCCACAAACGATGATGGCAAGCGTCCTACACAGACAAAACACCCCCTAGACAATATTCGCTAAAGTAGTGTGTCCAGACCTGCGATTCCGAGAACAACATCTTCGGCCGAACACTAAACCCACACAATACAAAGTTGACAGCTGGTGGCTCTAGCGGAGGCGAGGGAGCGCTTGTCGCGTTCCGTGGATCACCTCTGGGCATCGGTAGCGATCTAGCCGGTTCTGTACGCATCCCAGCTTTCTGCTGCGGCGTGTATGGCTTCAGGCCAACCGTGGATCGTATACCGTTCGCAGGACAGTCTCTCTCTCCATGGCCCATGAACTGGATGTCCGCCGTAATGCCCGCTCTCGGTCCGTTGGCCAACTCCGCCGACGACTTGTCGCTCCTCATGGAGGTCGTAACTAAGCTCAACCCATGGAGATACGACGGAAGCGCAATCAATCTCTCCTGGAGAACCCTGGACGAGCCTCGATCGAAGCCCCTGACGATCGGGATCTTGCCCGAAGATCCCGAATATATCCTACACCCTCCTGTACGCAGGACTTTGGCTGAAGCCGCGTCCGCTCTCGAGAAAGCTGGACACAAAGTTGTCCATCTTGCAACGGATGCGAAGCGTAGCGCGGCCCTCGGCGCAAGAATCTCGTATCAATACTTTAGCATTTCAGCGCCAGCTGTTGCTGACTTTGGAGAGCCTTTTGTTGCCTCTGTCGCCAAAGGAATGCATCCCTTCTCTACTGGAGACTTTCCTGTCGACCCGAAGCTGGACATCCCGGGCCAATATACAGGACTGAACATGGCTCGCGCGGCTTATGCTCAGGCATGGAGTCAAACTTGGCAAGAACACGATCTCGACATTGTGTTGGCTCCTGGGGCATCCTGCACTGCCGTCCCACACGACACCTTTGGCCTTCCCGTGTATACAGTCATGTGGAGTTTGATTGACGTGAGTGTTCAATTACTCCGTTGCTTAGGATTCCTCGAAAAACATTCTCATAAGTCGCTAATGTAATATTGAACAGTTCCCTGCAGCCGTCATTCCCTTTGGCACCGGGTCTGCGACGCGAGACTCTGAACCACAAAAGGCCATCGCGGAGTTTGCGCCTGATTGTAAGATCCTTCCCCGATCTTCCGAACAAGAAACTTGCGCTGATGTTTCGAACCTTTGAAACTTTCAAGACATCCCCGAAGCTACTGATGGTGCACCTTGTGCAGTCCAGATTATCGCGCCGAGGTTCCGCGATGAAGAGTGTTTGGAAGCCGTGGGCGTCATTGACCAGATTCTCAACGCTCGACAATGAGAGTAACACCTGGACAACACATAGAGTTTGCTAGCCCACTCTCCACTATCAAGGTAGAAAGACAATACCACAGCAACTGCGCAGAATAGCGTAATGCCCCAGCAATTACTAACGCAAGCTGCCGAAAAGGACCTTGTGATCCGCCGATGCCGTCACTGCCAGCCAGCCTTTGTTGCTTAAATATCCGGAAATTGCTATGCAGCGGTTACCGTGCGTGGGGTTCGGCAATGCTACGCTCGAGGAGCCACCACCTATACTCCCTAATCAGTGCGGTCTAACTTTATGTTCTTAGCCCTGAATCATGCTGGTAATTCCGTAGTCTGTGCTCCGTTTGGCCAGTCCCAATGTCCCCTGAATCGAAGCAGCCACAGAGGCTAAGCTCCCATGCCGGCATCTTTGTCCACTCTACTTCTCCGTGTGTGTATTTTGGACAAAACATCCATTTGTCAACGGCTATGAAGCCCATCTTGAGCTGCCACTCTGTAGATTCAAGAGAACAAGATGCAACGCGCTCGCGGCGGTTGTATGAGCTGTCGGCGGCGGAAACGAAAGTGTGACCGCCGCCGTCCATTTTGCGAAGCCTGTACCCAACGAGGGATCCAATGCCCTGGATACTCAACGCCCCTGCGCTGGGTGGATGGTGCTGCGAATCACTCCTCTGCCGGCGAAGGTAGTAGCAATGCTGCTAGCACTCCAGCCGAATCCAACACCCTCGCAAGTCAGATCGCACTCCCGAATCGCCCCAGCCCTCAGGTGCAGACGACACACGTTACGGATGAGCTTTTCCATAAGTGTATGTCACAACTGCGCCTGTTCTCAGTGCTGACTCGATGAGATATATCAAGTTGAGCTCGCTAACAGGGAGTGACGCTTACAGTTCTCCGCACAGGCCTCATGAGCCTCTACAGCACATCAGTATGCTCATGGGTCCAACCATTCTTCGTTGAGATGTCTGCCAAGAGCAAATCTCTTGTACTGCTATCTTCCGCCATCCAAGCCTATCTCGATGAAGGTAGTTCGGACATGTCTGTCTCCTCAATGGAGTACATTGACACTGCTCTGAAGGAGTTTCGGCGCGAAATCGTGGCCCATTACGATGTTATGCCGGCTGCCACAGCATGCTCTGGCGCACTGCTGTGTGTTCTTCAAGTAAGTGACCCCGATGATAGCCGACTAAATCCGGGATCAATGTATCACAACCAGTCCCCTTCTTCGACTGCAGATGTCCAGACATGGCATAGATCTTTCAGCTAAGCAAATGGATGACATAGTTCCTTCAAGCTCAACCGTGTACCCTCGTCATTGGACTACTCGCCGAAACCTTCCATCTGAATGCTCCTATGACATATCTCAATCCCAATCCCGAGCATGACCTCTCAGTACGGCATGCCTTGGAGTTTATCGGTCTCATGGACATGCCATGTCTCGTACTGGGAAGAAAGTGTCCCTCTCTTAGTATTTGGAGACGCTTCCGGCAAGTTCAAGACTCCTGGAAAGGGGGAAGGGTGAAGGCCTTGGAAGTCGTCACGGGTGTGCCGCACTCCCTCCTCGACATCTTCGCAGATACACCATTCGAGACGGCCGAGGTCTCTATCAGTCGGTTTTGGGGATGGCCAGGTGAAATGGGTGAGTACGTTCAATGCTTGCTGTGGGATTGTTGGCGGTTTGCCGGCATGCTTCACATCCGCAGACGCGAGCAACGTATCATACACACTACACGGAAAGATGGCCAATTCGTCGGTGATGATCAACAGGACGCGTCACCGAGTTCAGAAATTGTCTTGTACCGTCTGGTATCAGGACTTCACCTTTTTGTTGTGGCATGTCAGCTGCCCGAGAATCAGCATCTGTTGTGTCGCAATGGCATCGTATTCCCTCTGATAACGGCATGTCTCGAAACTCGACTCCTTAAGCGGCATCCTGACTGGAAACAAACTGTGGATAATGTACTCTCGGCTGCTAAGAAACGATATCTCTTTCAATTAGCAAGATCTACATGGGACTTGCTTGATGAAGCTTGGAAGGATGGTACGATGGGGTTCGACCTTGACCAAGCAGCGTCACGCAGAGGCCAGGAGGTATCATTACTGTAGATATGAGGGAGTTATACAGCGTTGTGTTTCGAGCGAGTTCAAAAATCTCTTAGCTATTGCCACCTTAGGCAACCGCAGTCCTGTTGCCATGCAGTGAGGCCAGCTAAGATGGAGGATGTTGAAGCAATGAAGTCACCAGCGCTTCAGGTCAAATCGTGCGATGAAGGTTCCTACAACCTGGCTACAAGTGTGATGGTCTAGACACTTATAAGTTCCCCTATCACTCTTCCCCTACATCAAGTAACTTGAGTGTCATCAAGTTCTCTTTCCATCGCCCATACGTCTCTCCACCTTGTTCGTCAGATGCTGCTGGGCATCTTTGGAAAACAAGCAACCGACAATGGCTATGGCACCGAAGCCCAGACTCGCCAGGTAGACCGTCTCAAACGCCTTGGAGTACGCATTCGGCAACACCTTTGCCACCGCAGCCTTGACGGCGCTCGTCAGGCCAGGGAATGCGGCCAGCTTTCCGGCTTGTACTGCCTTTGCAAGGGCCGGGAGCTGGCTTGAGGGTAAGCCCGCGGCAACAGCTGGGCCGCGGATAGCTGCCGGAATCTCCGTTGCTAGGCGATTCGAAAGGATTGTGGTGTAGACGGCGACGGCGATGGAGCCTCCGGCCGAGCGGATGGACGCGAGAAGACCCGAGGCGAGACCGATGTCCGAGGGTTTGCAGAATAGGGGCGCCAGAGCGAGGGAAGCCAACTCGATGAAGCCCACGAAGAACGGGCCGAGGATCGTGAGGGCGATTCCGGTGTTTAAAGTCTCAGGGGTCAGGGATGCGAGCGCCCCGACGAAGCCGACCATGCAAAAGGTCGCGAAGATGATCCAGTAGCGGACGTTGCCTCCCCATTTCACGATACCTCCTGCGCAAACTTGGCCAAGTGCTGTAGCACTTGCCACAGTAGACTAATGAATGTTAGCTGCGTAGAATAGTAGCTGGTCTGAGATCTGCTTACCGAAAGCCAACCGCCGTAGGTGATATCAGTCGTATACAAGGCCTGAACCTGCTGCGGCCACAGCAAAACTGCGGAGTAGTAAAACATCTGCGAATCTATTAGAAACCCATCAAGTTGTCGGAGAGGGGAGATTCACTGTCGCGACCGTTGCGCAGCAGACAAGTGCCATGAAACCACGGTTGGCAAAGAACTTGATAGGGATAGCAGGATACTTCAGATCCGCAAAGGCTTCCCAGCAGAAGAGTGCCACCAGCAGAACAACACCAAGAACCAAGCTCGAAATGGTAGCTGCAGAGTCCCAAGGGAACATGACGCCTCCCCAAGATACACCCATGAGAAGGAGAGTGAGGCCAGCAGTCCACAGGAAGATGCCAAGATCTATGTATAATGTTAGCAGTGAAGGGTATAAGAGGCGAAGCAAGAAGTCGGCTTACAGTCCAGTTCCTTGAGCAGCTCCCGCTTGGTCTTGCGGTCGTGGAGAAGTTCAAAGGTGGGTGGGTGGTAAAACAGGTATAATAGAACAATGGCAAGCCCCACGGCGATGATGTTGACGTAGAAACACCATCTCCAGCTGAGACTGGGATTCTCAACGAACTTTCGGGCTGAGGTTCGGTGAGTAACTGTTCTTTTATGGGCCTCTCGCCATCGACTCACCAACAAAAGGACCAAACGCGGAGATAGGGGCATTGGTCAAGAAGATAAGAGACAAGACGACAGGGCGGTACTTGTTGGGAACCAGTTCGCCAACAGCCACATTGAAACTCAGCTGAACCGTCTCGCCCAGGCCATAGATGGCGGCGCCAACGATGAGTGTCTCGACATTATGCGCCACAGCACACACGACGATTCCGACAATGGCGACGACGTTGCCACCGATGAAGAACCATCGTCGTCCGAAAAGGTCTGACAAGCGGCCCAGGATCGTGTAGGTGAATGACAGCGAGAGAGTTCTGGCAATGTTGACCCAAGAGATGTACGGGCTTGGGCCTATCTCAGGTGAGCACATGACATCTTGCATAGCATTGCCGGATAAACTCACCTATATCGGCGTTGATGAATGTCAGTACGTTAGTTGGCAGGATCAAGAAGATGTATGCCGACATTGCTGAAAGACAAAATCCCTGAGATGATATCAGTAAAGATTCAGGTCTTGACGAAGGTCTCGACAAACCGCCATGGCCCCGAGGAACTGAGGAGAGTAGTAATAGCCGGGAGGGAGGTCATCGCCGAGCGCCTCGGAACGGATCGAAGAAGCATCGTCTCGGTCGGTATCGCGGTCGAACTCACGGTATTTCTCCAGCGAAGCCCCATCGAACTCGCGATAGGACTCGTTCTTGGAGATATCCATGATGGATGATCGGTATATCGATATGCGGGAACCAGCTCGCAGTATGTCGGTGTTCGAATAGAAAGTCGTCACACGGGTTTCGACGGGCGGGATCGTACGCGCTCGAGGCCGTGCTCGAGTCTTATACAACCTTTCTCGACCAAACTGCCATCTATAAACGTCGACGGAGGACTGTATATGTGTGGCGTAGTGTCGAAAGAGGAGGGTTAAGTGACGGGTCAAGGTCAGCAGTGAGATGAACCCCAAGACATGCAATGCAAGCCTTAGTCTGACCTGCTTGCTTCCTGCCTGTCTGTCTGCCTGTCTGTCTGCCTGCATGTGTCCATCTGTCTCTCTGCCCGCCCGCCCCTCCCTCTTCACACGCAGCAACGCGGCTTCACCGTCCGACGGCATACGCACACCAAGGTGTCCCCCGGAAGACTCGAACCTCTTCGAAACTCTTTCACGGAGTCTGGTCGTGCAGTCGGGGCCTCTCCCTGCGCCGGCCTGCGGGGAAGACCACCCCACGACCCGAGCACACCGACCTTGGGATTTCCGCATCTGGCTGCGACGGTGGTTCGAATCATTAGCTCGCTGCTGACTCAAAATGTTGAATCGGGATGCGATGTCAAGTTGGTGAAAGGCACTGCACTGGTAGTTGAAACCCGTTTTGGAGCCGGACCGATGGTCCACCAGTCTGATGTGATGAACGATGTTGGTGATGGCTGCCCTCACTTCCCATCACCTGGTCTATCTGCAACGCTGACAAAAACGTGCAGCTGCCAGCACATCCAAACCAAGGTTTAATAGGCTTGTCTATATGTCGACTAGTTACCAAGAAGGACGCTGGCCGATCTCAATTGGTTTCGGACGACGGGTTTGATTAGTCTAGACGGTGGTCGACCAAAAGCTTTGGTGGAGGAGAGCCACACAGATCTAGTTCGTCCGGGTTTCTCATCAGACGGGATCTTCTACTTCTCCCTTTGGAACGGCATGTTTGGAACTAGACCCCTTCCTTCTTACAGCTTGCTAGCTTTCCAACGGGGTTCTCGTTGTTCTGAGAATGCTTTGAGACCCTCGAGGATGTTCTCGCCCTTTTGCAGCTCTGCAAACTCCTTCTCCAGCGTCCACTCAACTGCTCGCTCTACGGATGCCGTTTCCCAGCCCTGCCTTAAACCAGCTCGAGTGCATATGATGGCATCCGGGGAGTTGGCCGCAATCATCTTGGCATAGTGCACCGCCTCCTCGACGACCTTCTCCTTGGGAACCACCTTGTTCACGATACCCCATTGCTCCATCTCCCGCGCTGAGACGTTACGCCCCGTCAGCGCGAATTCGCTTGCTCTCTGAAGTCCGATAGTCCGCATGAGTCGCGGCAAAGCTCCGCCAATGGCTGCGATGCCTCTTTTGACCTCGGGAAGCCCAAAGTATGCGTCCTCGGCCGCGACGACGAGGTCGCAGTTGACGACGAACTCGCACCCGCCGCCCATGGCGAGACCGTTGACTGCGGCAATGACTGGTTTCTTGCCCAACCTCCTGCTCAAGGGCTTGAAAGCAGGCGCGTTGCCCATGCGCTGGCTGGGATCGGCGTCGTCGGCCATGCTATTGTTCCATTCTTTGAGATCTGCTCCCGCTGAAAAGGCCCTTCCCGTGCCCGTGATGATTGCGACGCTGAGGTTTGGTTCTTGGTCGTACCATTTCCAGACCGAGTCCATCTCCCACTGGGCTGCTGTAGACATGGCGTTGAGGTCTTTTGGCCTATCCATGCGTACAAGCAATACCCGGGGAGCTGGGTATGAGAGCCTGAGGAAAGCTGGTGTCGCCGGCGGCGTAGTTTCTGTCTGGAACCCCATCATGCCAAGTGTGTTCTGATATTGCGGTCCAGTTTGTTCGGAGCTGATTGAGGAAGGCTTGATGATACTGCAATGAGCTGTGATCACGTTGCTCACTTGGTGATACTACTGCGTTTTCAACTGCTTGTATCGGAGTTCATTTGCATACTCCCGTTCTGTATTAAGCTTCCCGTGGTCAAATAAAGTCGTAGAACACAACACAATCCTGGCATCCGGTTCTCGAAGGAAACATCCCAGATCCAAAATTCACCTAACCCCCACTCGGGCTATCTTCCGCGGCGCGTCCATCGGTGGAGGGTGAGAAGGCTTCGGTCTGCATGGCATACATCCCCGATGCTTTGGCCTTTCTCGACGGCCATTGCGCCAGGTTTCGCAGGGGCTTTGACTCGCTCTCCAGTCGTGCTCAGCGGGATACGCATTTTTGGCGTCTTTACAGTGGGTGAAAGAGGGACAGCGAAATCGTGGGACACCCCGCAGTGATGAGCCACAGGGATGTTCCCACCTGGATTGCCGAGGCGGCTTGCCTGTGAGACTCGCTAGGGAGCATCCGTCAACGGATCGTTTGGTGAAGGGTTGCGCTCGTTCTCGTCTGTAGGCATTGGGCATGCGTGGCAGGTCACTGTGCACCGGACTTGCCGGGAAGTCAGGTATCATTACGTGACGAGGAATGTCTACGACATCTTGCGGTGGTCTGTTGATCAACTTGGCGAGAACGATGATAGAGAGGTGATTCGACTCCTTGGGACACCAGAGCTATCGAAGCTTCGAAGGTACAGTAGTATGGTGATACGAGACAGATCACAACAGGTTGCGCAGTGTTCCACGGCATCGGCACCAAGTAACCCAAAGTAAGACTTACAGCCAAGCGAGCCACTCAATCACGAAGATGGCGACGCCAAGGACAAAGAAGCCAGTCCCCCCGTGGATTGAGAATCCGTACCCCCATATTGAGCACAGCTTGATAGCATTTCCTCGAAAACACATCCTTCTCGTTACGATTAATCGACCGGAGCACATGAATTGTCTCCCCGTGGAGGCAACGATAGAACTCGGTGCATTGTGGAAATGGTATGACGCCGAACCGGAGCTGCGATGCGCCGTGTTCACGGGAGCCGGAACTAAAGCCTTTTGCGCCGGCATGGATTTGAAGCAGAGATTGGATATCATCAAGACGAATGATGTTGCCTTTGACTACCCACCGGGCCAGTTTGCGGGCATGAGCAATCGGACAGGCAGGAAACCAATCATTGTCGCCTGCAACGGCCACGCTCACGGTATGCTCGACATTGGCACCTGAAGAGATCGCCACGGATGCATGCACCAAGACAGAGCTAATGTGACATGCAGGTGGTGGCTTCGAAGCCATCCTCAACGCAGATGTCATCTTCGCTTCACCAAACGCAACGTTTCGCCTCCCCGAAGTCCTCCGTGGCGTATCTGCCCTCGCCGGCGCATTGCCTCGTTGCATGATGCTCTTTGGCAACCACCGGACGATGGATCTCATACTCACAGGCCGGACAATGTCAGTGGAAGAAGCATACAACTGGGGATTGGTCAAGGAGGTTGTGCCGCAGGAGAGGCTTCTTGAGAGAACACTCAACTACGCTGGCCAGATCGCTGCGCTGAGTCCCGACAGCGTCATTATCTCGCGATTGGCGGCGCGTGAAGTATGGGAGACTGGCGTTAGCAGAGCAACTATGCGCGGACAGGAGTTATGGGCCGAGGCAATGCTTCGGAGCAAGAACGCGACTGAAGGACTGGCGGCATATCGCGAGAAGAGAGATCCCAAATGGTTTCCGTCGCATCTGTAGCTGGAAGGATTTCGCCAAAAGTTCCGCAGGCTTCGCGAGCTGGCTACAGGAGACCTCAGCCCTCACGGCTTTCTCATCCAATGAACCGCGTCGATGGTTTAGTGGTAAAATTCTCCGTTGCCATCCAGCAGCGTCGGGGAGCCGGGGGTTCGATTCCCCCTCGACGCATCTTTCGCATTTCGCGCTGTCATAGAAAAGTTTATGTTTCTTTTTGATGCTACCCCGAAATGTCTGCTTGGATATGTGTCTGCAGAGGCTATTCTCCGTGCTCTCCAATAGAAGGAATTACTCACTGGCTGGCATTGCCTGGCAGGCCGATGGGATGCTTCGCACAAACAGCCCATAATCTGCACGGACAAGCCTTACCTCGACCTGTTGGCCAGTGTCATTGTTTCCGTCACTTTGAACTCTGCCGACTCAAGAAGAGCAACTCTTTCTACTTCTTCTGACTCGAAAAGTCATAAGACGACCGGTATTGCAGCAGCACAGATAGACCTAGGTATATTCGCGACTGAGTCCGAGTTTGGACGAATTTGATACACGACGCAAACTTTGCCTCAAAAGCAGAAATCTCCTCTGAATGCCGCCGGCTGTATCCCTGGAAAACTTCCGCGTGCGCGGCATAAAGATTACATCTTTGGTTTCGCTTGCAAAATCTTGGCGTAGCCATTGGACCTTTGTGATCGTCAGCATCCCGTCTCACCACAAGATGGTTTGGTGCTGAGAATGACACCTGGAGCAGACTTACAAAGCAACTCGTCCCTCATCCTTCACAATCGTCTCAAAGACAACATCGTCCACCCCGCCTCCGCTCTTGACAACCCACATGCGCGTCTCGAGGGTGTCTCCGGGATAAACGACACTCTTGAATCTAGCCCCGTAAGCTTTAAAACGACTTGGGTCGCTGCCGCCCAGCTTCTGTAGCAGACCGTGAGCAGCCATGTTCCAGGTGCCTAAACCTTGGAGGATAGACCCTTGGAACCCGGCGCGCTGTCCAAAGGCCTCATCTGCGTGAAGCGGGTTGTAGTCGCCGCAGAGGCGATATAGAAGAGCCGCCTCCGGGGTGGTCTTGATGATGTGCACGGCGTCCGGGGCGCGCTCCGGTGCTTTTACAACCGACTTTGTCGGGCCCCGGGGGCCGTTATAGCCGCCTTGTCCTATGCCGAATGCGGTGGATGTCATCTTGGTGTAAGCCTTGTTGGTCTTCTTGTCGACCAGCAGCTGTTCTGCTTCGAGAATCATTGCGCCGCCTATAGGCGAGTTAGCATTGTGTTTCGAGATTTCCTGCGAAATGTCTGCGTGCCTTTGTCATAGACTCCGATGACTTTGCTTCGAACCTCCAAGTCAAGTCCATCTGACGATACGGGGATGGGGCGGAGGATCTCAATGCCTCGCTCCCCATCCACTGAACGCTGGGCGTCGAATGGCGGACAGCCCGGGACGTGACCGGTCACGGTGCGGGCAATAAAGTCAAAGACATCTTGATCCGTTTGCTTGAAGGCGAGGTTGATTGGAAACGTGGGAAAGGCGGCAAAGTTTGGGTGCAGCTCATAGAGGAAATGCAACTCTTCCTTCTGACAGCCGATGGCATTGGCCTAGGAGGTGGCTTAGCCGGCGCTTCCATTGATTCGACGTAATGACAGTCACTCTAAGAACATGGCTTGTGTATAATAAAGGGACGCAGATATGATTCTTACAAAGAGTAGAACATCACGGCGGTTGTAGGCGCACTTGATCGGGGGATGTTCGTAGCCGGCTGCTTTCCGGAAATCGACATTGTCGTAGCGGCCAGATGCGTTCTTTACTGGTCTATCGTTCGATGCCATCGCGTTTAACCTTCTTTATAGTGGCTGAAATGAGTACTTAGTCCGATAGAGATTGCTTCAAGAGAGGTTGACGGTGACAAGACGTGACCACAGCAGTTGGATGAAATGTCAGAGGACACAGACCGCTAAGTAAGGCGATTGACCACGCTGTCGCACTGCCGAAATGGCGCTCTCAGGCGCTTGAACCTTGACCGAGGTACTCCGCAGTCTCTCCCCTCGGCCAGTCGTGGGTCACAAGTAATGTCACTGTGAAAGAACCCTCCGCGAACAACCAGATCAAAGGTATTGTCGATCTCCTTTTAGTGACTTCGCAGAGAGAGGGCATTTAATTCACATATACACAACACTTGAGACCTCATAACCTTGATGATCGGGCACGGCTTTCAAACGCGCGTGGCCGGCGATCATCCTCAACCCTGACCAAGTCAACCGGCAGGCCGACAACTCTGGCACGTAGAAACTCCCCTAGGCTTTTCGCAAACCCATCGAGCACGCTGCTGCTGCTAACGCCCTCCTGTAAGATCCCCTTGATCACAAAGTGAACCGCCCAGAGCCCTGGGAACTCGCACCTTTCCACCACGTAGCGAGCTTGCCAGTCGTCTCCCAGCAGCTCGATAAGCCTCCGTCGTGTCATGAAAGCCTGCAGCCACGGCCACGCTGAAGCGTTGCGTACCCAGAAGCCCACATTGGCGTTACCTCCCTTGTCGCCACTCCGCGCAAAGACGAGGTCCCCTAGCGGTCTCTTTACTGTCCTGGACAGCGGTACTTTCGACAACGGCACCGTGGCATCGTAATTGGGCTGTCGAGGGGGTGTGCCGCCATCTTGACGTGCCTCGATGGTGTGTTGTGTCTCACCACCAACGAAGCCCACGGCGAGAGGAATCCGGGACTGTGGTATCAGTGCTGGGAAATACCTGATGTACGGCCGCGGTTCCATAGTTCTCCAGTCCATACCTAGATGAAGACCGCAGTAGCCTTGCAAGCCATTGTAGAAGATGGCCCTCTTGAACTGCTCAAACGCTTCTTTTGTCCGAGACTGTGCAAACATGCGAAACTGCGTTGTGCATAGCTTTTGTGATTGTGGATCTGTCACTGATGAACCGTATCTTTCGATGCTGAACATCGTGAAGTCGGACTGAGTGATCTGGCCAAGAACCTGGCTTTTGAGTACCTCGAACTTGAAATCTGTGTCTAAGCCAGTCGCATACGCCGATATCTCGGCTTGATACCCTCCCATCAAGCAGATGGACAGCTTGGCCGTAGACGGGGGCAGCAAACCCCTCACACCTAATAGTCGAACACGATCCTTACCCAACTGTATGAAAGTTGCCTGCTCGATATCGGCTATGACATCCGGGTTGAGATAGTAGACGCCCTGAATCTCATAGAGCAGCTGCGCCTTGCAAGTGTCAACAGACACCAACCCATTAGAACCCTCCGGCTTCGTGATGACAATGCTGCCGTCGGCTCCGATCTCCGTGATGGGGAACCCGGCGTGATGGAGATCCGGCACCTCGCGCTGACCGCAGTAGTTTCCTCCCGTCACATACGGCCCGCATTCGATCAAATGCCCGGCCATAAGACTCGCAGCAAGCACATCGCAATCTGTGGCCTTCCATCCATGCCACCACGCCGCGAGCCCCATCACAGGACTCGCGTCAGTACACCTCCCGCAGATGATGATGTCGGCGCCGAGCTCCAGCGCACGCACGATGCCAGCCATGCCCGTGTAGGCGTTGGCCGCGAGGAGATCCTCACCCTGCGAGTGCGGATCAAACTCGACGCCGGGCTGGTCGAGATGCATGACTCGCCCGAACGCGCCGCGTTTGACGGCATCGGTCACATTGTCGCCGCTTACCCAGGCGACCTTGACGTCGCGGATGCCAAGGCTCTCAAAGTACGCGTGCGTCTTATCGGCGAGGCCCCGCGGGTTCAGGGCTCCGCCATCGTGGACGATTTTGATGCCTTTCTCAGCGACGAGGCGCGCTGCGTCGCCGTTGTGCCAGGCGAGCTGCTCGAGAAAGTTTGGCTCATATCCTAGCTCTGGCTGTGTCTGAAGCTCGATCGCCTTCCAGGCGATGTTGAACTCTGCCAGGTAGTCGGCTGTGATGGCGTCCACATTGCCGTACTTGGCCAGGCGGTATATCTGATCTATGCCGTCGTTGATGGCGCCGGAGCAATTGCCGATGCGTATAGGTCGTCGAGGCGGATCCATATGGTAGGATGGATGTTATTCGGTGTGAGTGAACCTTGGTCGAATAGCCCGCGGATATATTGTTCGAGCACTAGAAACGTTGTTTCGACGTTGAGGCCATCGTATGACCCTCTCGCCCTTCAAAACACCGAACCGTGCCGACGGCGCCGCTCGAGCTGCCGCCTCGACGTTTAGACCTCGCACCTACAGCGTCCCACAAGGATCACCGCAGAAAGTATGTTTGTGAGAGGTGCGCCTGCGGATGCTCCCCGAGTGCGACCAAGACCTTGGTGATTCAGAAGGTTCATGCAGAGGTGCTCTCTTCTCCGCACATCATTGTCTCGGTCTTCCCCCTCCTCTTATGTGTGGAGGGTTACTCACTGCATCCTGCCTTGGGGAGACGCTTGAAGGGATATCTGCCTTTCAGCAGCCATCCTATTCCCTGCTGTCCCACGCCCTCTTATTTTGCCTCATTATCTGAAGAAGGGAAATCATCCGGATAAGGTCCGCAGAAGCCGCTCACTCATCCCGTGCGGTAACTCTAGTTGTCCAGAGAGGTAAGCAAGTAAGCGCGGTGCTTCAACGGCATAAGCGGCTCAAACAAGTCGAGGCTCTTCCTCGTTGTCGGACTATTTCGAGCCGACTGTTCCTGACATCGACCAAGAATACGACTCTGTCACTATTTCTTTCATTCTGGGATCTTGTGGTTGTTTATGTCATTGTCAAGAACTCGTTCATCCGACAGTGTGTTTGAGGCCAAAACTCAAAAGAGGAAATGCACCGACCATCACGACCATGAGGATATACACATCTAGACCCATTGAGATTCCTCGCGAACTGAATCTTACCGAGTTGCTTCACACAACCGCGAGTCCAATACCAGAGTCTCATGTCATCGCTGCCGATAGTCTGACGAACCGGAGCATCACTCTCGGCGAGCTACGGAGCCGCGCAGGCCGGATTGCAAAAGGTTTTGCGGAAAAGCTGAATCCGCCTGATCAAGCGCGATGGGTCATTGTGGTGCCGAATTGTGTCGAGTTTCTCGAGATCTTTCATGCCATCCTATGGACAGGTGGTGTTGTGTGTCCCATCAACCATGCTCTCAAGGCATCTGAAATTGGCCATGGTATTGCGGTCTCGAGACCTCACTTCATCGTCGCGTATGGCTCAATGATAGAGTCCACGATCCAGGAAGCCGTGCATGTAGCGGTGAGAGAGCTTCGTCAGGAAGGGGTATACTGGGAACCACCGCCAATACTTTCCATTGTGAGACGAAGCAAGCAAGCGAGACATATCCCGGATGACTTTGGGGCTTCAACTCAACTCTCAATACCACACTGGCCAGACACCTCGAAACGACTGGCCTCAATACACCTTTCGTCCGGCACAACAGGCAAACCAAAAGGCGTCGAACTGACGCACTACAACTTCGTCGCCAATGTCATGCAACTCGTCGCCCTAGACCACAAACGCCAAATGTTCAACTCGGCCTGCAGAACCGTTGCATTCACACCCTGGGCTCACATCGCCATGACCACGGCTCCGTTCTTCCTCGGTCCGTATACCGGCATGTTCCATCACGCAATGCCACAGTACAGCATCGAGGAATACGGCAAGCTCGTGGGCTCTACGCAAGCTACCATGTTTCAAGGCGTCCCGAGCGTGGTGCTAGGTCTGGCAAACTCGGACGTTACAAAGCGATACGACTTCTCCAAGGCGCAGGTCATCAACATCGGTGGCGCGCTTCTGAAGCCGGCGCAGCTCTCGAGGTTGCTCAGCCGGGCGCCGTGGAGGCTCATTCAGGCGTACGGGATGACGGAGGCGGCTGGGTATGTGGCCTACCAGGGGTTTGAGGAAGTCGTCCCCGATGGCTGCACCGGGAAGCTTCTGCCCGGTATAGAGGCTGCTCTTCAAAAGGAGGGAACGACTGAAGACGCACCCCAAGGTGGCCCTGGAGAATTATGGCTTCGGGGTCCGAATATCACGCGGGGCTACGCGTTCAATGCAGACGCAAACAGGGAGGCGTTCCCCGTTGATGGGTGGTATAATACCGGAGATGTTTGCCGTATAGATGAGCAGGGACGGCTATCGATTGTTGGGCGAACAAAGGAGTTGATCAAGTACAAGGGCTTTCAGGTGAGCCCGACAGAACTCGAGCAGATTCTCAACTCTCATCCTCTTGTAAGAGAGTCTGGCGTGGGGGCTCTCTGGGATGAGAGTCAGTTGACGGAGGTCCCTGCGGCGTGGGTTGTACTCAAGGAAGACAACAAGAACAGGATAAAGGGGCGCAACAAGATCATTGGAGCTTTGAAGGAAATCCAGAAAGCAGTAGACGAGCAAGTCAGTGGGTACAAGAAGCTTAGGGGCGGTATTTGGGCCGTGGATAAACTCCCGAGGAACGCCACGGGAAAGATTCTGAGGAGAGATTTGGTGCGAATGACTGAGGGGTTGTGTTCTTTGGAGGGTGGCAGGAAGTTCGTCGCTAAGCTGTAAAGGTTGACTTGATCGGGAGATAGATCTAATCTGGACAGTGTTAGGAAGTCAGTGTGCCTTACTGGGGGACCTATGTCACTCATTATACCCAAAGAGTGTCTATGGCTTTGCTCCCAGCACCTAAGTCTCCGTAGTGTCACGTAGTATTGGTTGTCAGAAGTGATTGACATCGAATTTACGAGGATCTCTGGCAACTTGATATTGCCCCATCACTAGTGAAACGCACCTGTTCACACCAGAAGCGTATCTTGCTCTTGCCATCCTGTGAACCAATAAATAGAACGAGCTTTGGAAACCAAGTTCGACACCAATCTAGGCTAGTTCAGTCTTGCTGTCAGTCGCTTGCCCAGCAACATGCTCTATGATCGACGTTGAAATCCGACCATGGTCAGCACTTTCTGCGTTGGGATCACGACCCAAGTGGCTCAAAGCCATTTCTGCTTGGCGTACTAAGTCCTCCCCAATAACTGGAAGTGCCGAAGCCGAGGTAAATTCCAAGCGGTTGCGAGTGGTGATAGATCCATTTGGGCCCCTGGAGCCTCCACGAAGCGAACGGCTCCCCGCGGCCGTCCGCGGGCCCGAAACGGCCGGTAGCCCACCGCAGTAGATTGCTTACTATGATGCTAGATATCTATCGATATCTATTGCCATATACACCTTCGGCAACAAATGGACATCGTACTGGACGCACCATGATCATGGTTTGTGTTTGAAATCAGGGCAACGGTATCGAACAAGGCTATTTTCTGTATCCCCGCTGAACGCGACGGTGGTAATTAAGAGGTTGACTCTAGTGACCCATCACTATGGCCGGCTGGGTACGTTGGGTTCGTCTACTATCGTCAGACCTAACACACCGCATTTGATAGGAGCTCTTAAATAGAATCAACGTCAGGTTGTTGCCAGGAGATTCAAGGTGGTCAATGTTGAGCGATGGTGGCATGCCATCTGTCTCTTAATTCATGTATGTAGATTGTCATAGATCCCGTGCCTTCATGGATGAGGGTATCGCTGGAGAGTCGTTACCAAACGAAATACCCACTCCCTATACCGTCTCGACGGATCTTCCGTCAGACAAGATTCCCATCATTACATATACCCGATCCCTGTGCCCGTTCCAAATCGCTCATCCATTACGCCCTCTCGCGCTCCTGCCTGCGGACCTCCTCCTGGAACACATTCCTCCCCGGCGCAGAACCCGGCGGCGGACTCGTCGGCTCGAGCTGGATATCCGCGCTTCCCTTCTGCCCATGCATGCTTCGCGGTTGTCCCGTGGGATGCGCCGCGTTCTGGCGCTCCACCGCCGCAGCAACGGCCGCGTGACGACGGCGGCGCCTGATGTACAACCATGCCATGAAGGCGGCGATGGCAAGCGAGATAAGGATGACGGGTAATAGAATGGCAAGGAGGTTCGGTCTCGAGTTGGGTGCGACGGTGTCCATCGCCATCCTCAACGTGAATACGGGACCCGTGACGTTCTTCTCTTCGCCCGTGTCGGGGTCGTTGTACATGAGGATGATGGTCATGTTGTTGGAGGTCTTGTCCTCGAGGTCGGTGAGGTGGGGGGTCCAAGGAACCCAGCCATCGCCGCCGCTGAGGTTCGTTACGGAGAATGCGGGTGCGTTGTCGGTGATGCCGTTGTCTACATCGAAGCCGACGATGCCAATGGGCGTGGCGGGGTCTGCGAAGAATGTCGTATCCCAAGTGACTTTTAGGAGTTTTGTTAGCAAATCGGGGTTGAGGTGCTAGAGGCGGTCCTGCGATTCAGACATGAACGGGACGGGATGAATTTAAGCTTACTGTAGTACGTCGACTCCACGTGCAGAGTACTACCACGTCGAGGTTGACAAAACGGACCATCTTGACCGACCCTGTTGTTGCACACGGCGAAAACTCCTCCAAATCCCTGGGTATTGCTTGCTTGCGGCGGCGGCGGTACGCCTGTGCTGGTCGTGAGTCCGCCGGTGGTGGCCGTGACGGTGTAGACGGAGCCTGTTAATGAGTATGGGGGCGGGCTGATTGTTGTGCGTGCGCCATTGCTAGTGACGACTGATGGTGAGATGGTTCGGGCAATGCCATTTGAGTCAACGGAGATCCAGTCGTTGACTGGGCCTGGACCTTGCCGGGGTTGGACAGCCGCGGCTGATGATGGTATTGCGAAGAGAAGAGCCGTCGCCGCAAAGGCTGACAGCAGTCGTTGTGTGTTTGTGAACATGGTCTCGAAGCCTCGAAGGGACCCCCGATGCTATGCGAAGCTTCAAATGTCGGGGAAGCACAGACGCAGTCGGTGAAAGTGCCTGTAGAAGAGTCCTCGCCCGTACTCCTGAGTCAAATCCCTCTGTAATCGAACCAAGATGATGAGATATCTCAAGTTGCAAGAGAGGGAAGGATATCTCGAGAGAAATCAGGTCGCAATGAGCTGCGTCTCTAAGAACAACAGATCGACATGGATCGTAAGAGAAAGCAGAGATCGGCTGGTGATGGACCACTTCGTCCTGGTCCTCTACAGCTCAGCGTGCCGTACCTTGCTGGGCATCAAATATTAAGCGGCACCGCTGACCAAGGGGAATCCACAAGGAAAGAAAGGGCGAAAAATCAGGACCCAGAAGAAGCGGATGTTTGCCGGCTTGGGGTCTCGCAACGCGTCATACGAACATGGAATGGAGGGGCATCGGGTGTTGGTAGCAGCAGCAGCGGTAGCGGACGCAGGCGGCAGTAAGTAAGCAAGCACGCCAATGTATCCGTACTCGTTCGCGATTCTCGAGTTCGAGCCGATTCCCCAAATACAGACAGGGCTGGTTGCGCCAGTTGAGCTAGCGTGGCGCACCACTTTGTGTGTATGTGTTGGGTGGCTGGCTGGAAAGTAGAGCAGAAGGGGAGGAGCTCAGCAAGATGGCGCTAGGAAACTTGAAGGCTTCAATGGAAGAAGAAGACTCGGACCAGTCCAGTTAGCAACAAGTGGGAAGAAGAGAATGGGGTGAAATCCAAGGTGGAATGGCCTTTCTTCTTGTGCTCCGCATGTCCCGCTCCCTCAAGCCTAAAGACCATTTTGGCGAGGGGACCAGCGCTGGACTGCTGGATCATGGGCAATACGGCACCCAATGAGGAGGATGCTGGGCGTGAGGAACGCATGCTTGGCAAGAGACAATCGCGGGCATGGCACGGCAGCGTGGCAACCAGTTGATAATGGGCGGAGAACGCCAAGGAGGTTGGTGATAGGGTGAAGGGCGCAGACAGATGGGCACCGTAGTCTTGGAAGATGGAGCTTGGACGGAGTCGACCATCAGTTCAGCACGTTGTTGTCTCGGCAAGCTCCAGAATCAATGGTTGGAACCCGGAACGCCCCTGTCGAGCAAGTGTTGGCGTGTTCTGGGCGCATGTCTCACGGCGTGCCATGGTTTTGTGTGTTTGGTAATATACATGTAGGCACTCACTCTGTCTGTATGCCATGCCGCCATTCACGGTGCCGGAGTGCCGTAGTGTTCTCTGTTGAGTTTGCCGGTCCGTCTTGACATTTGAATATCACAAAGTTACGGTGTGTTGACTGGCATCTCAGAAGTCTTGACAAGAACGCCGTCTCATCTGGTCTCCTCTTGCAGGATTCCAAACTTGACGTTTGACAGGCCAAATTGGAGACAGCTCTGTTTTAGCTCAGGTAAAGCAGACGAACACCACTTGCAACGCCTGTACTGCACAGTAGTGCAGGTAGGGCCGGTATGTCTTCCGTTTCGATTTCAGAGGGAGGAGGGGGTTTGATGGCTGGGCTGAACTTTCTGAAGCGACAGCTGCGAGAGCCAAGGCTAGGTGGACTTGGGATTCTCGTCGAGAAGAGGGGCGATACGACTCGGAGAAGACAGGGAACAGCCTCGATACGGGCCATGGGATGGGCGATGTGCCTATTACCGGTACCATCAGATAGTAATTAGTGCGGGGTTGGCAGCAACTTTGCAAGCCCTGCCCTGCAACCACCACTCAGCAGCAAAGTCTGATGGCCGCCAAGCGGTTGTTTTTTTTGCGTGACAGAGGGGTGTTGGTGGTGGTGCTGGTTTATCTGTGCCGTTGCCGTGTGAAAAGCCTCTATCGCCATCCTCGGGATGCGAGAGATGGGCTCAGCCTCGTATTTTCCTTTTTGTAGAGTGGCAACGCATGATCGCGGTCCATGGGCTATGGGCTGCGGAGGTTCATATTCTCAGTACGGATGGCAGATCATTCACATGGACAAGAGAAAATCGAATGCAAAAATTGGCTGGGCACATTCTCGACGTCTTTGGCAGTCGACCATGATTGCAGCGCATGGTGTAACGCGGGAATGGTCTAGCTCAGACGCCTCAACGCTCTTGGCTTTGATTTGCTTGTGTCAAGACTCAAAAGATGGAGTGTAAGAAATATTTGTCCGAAGTGGTGGGATGGCAGGATGGATGGTGGACGGTTGCCATTGCGAAGCGTGAGCTCCCACTGAGAGGTGGTTGGTCAATGGACTTCACGGCAAAGCAAAGGGACGAGTTCAGACACCACCAAGGCCTTGGCTCTTCTCGTACTTTTGCCAAGACTCATTCAGGGTTAACAGAGCCGATATGCCGTGTGGTAAGTGTAACGATATGTGATGATCGATCTGTAGCCCGACAGGTGCGCCGAGGAGAGGGTCGGAGAGTGGACTCGCCCTACGGAAATGGGACTCTATGGGAGCGGAAGATTTCTTGCTTGCATTGCGGCCTTTCTTTCTAGGACTTGATCATTAACATCATGACTTCGGCCTATTCCCGTTGGCGAGGATTCAACTACAAGCACAACCCGTATCTGTGGGCGCTACCAGAGTCCAGCCAGGACGCCGTTCAGGAACCAACATGTGTCATCCCAGACATACCATGCTAGCAGCGGTGAAGCTCAAGCTGGCGGTGCTAGCTTCAAGCTGCATCCGTCACCTTGAGAGACATGTGGGCGCACATCCTCTCTCACCCTGTATTGCCCGATCATGTCAAACTTGGTGAAGCAATATCAGCGAAAGGCATACAGAGAATGGCTTGGGCTTTGCAACTGAATGCTCCTAGTCCGTCGATGCCTCTCAACATCATGATGAAGTCTCGAGTCGCAACATCTCGTCGACGATCCTTGGCCACCACCACATGGGTTGCCCCCTCATCGCCAGAACCACCACACCCACGATCCGCCTGGATCCAGCTCCAAGCAGACGGAAATCCGACGACCTGCCTCCTTCGGCCACCATCGGGTCGTGGATCCCGCTCCTGTGCCCACTGAACAGACGCAGCTAAGGTTGTCTTGCATGCTTATTCCCCCACATCAAACGTGAGCCGTCCGATAGCATGACGCGACGCTACGAAGAGAATGTGCGCCTTTTGAACAACTTTTTTTTTCGCGCTTTACTGAATCCGCTACGCTAACCCAGCTCTTGTTCGACCTGTCGCTGGTGGGAAGCGGTGCTAGACGCCGGATTCGGACCTCGCCCTTCACGATGTTCTTGGAAGACCTCTCATTCCGCTTCAGTCCATGTCTTGTCTTCAAGTGAGGTCTAATGCTCAGAGCAACAGACAGGAGCATTCCCGATTACATGCCACAGCACCGTGGCATCTCGAGAGCCTGAGCAGTGAGCCCCTAGCCAGGCCGAATGCCTCACACTCGCGATAACCTCAACAACTGCCGTCTGCATCCCTCAGCAAGAATGCCATGCAGAGTGGCTGGCCGCAAAAGCGACGCCGGTGCGTTGGCTCAACGCGAGGGACCCAAGGTGGCCAGACACGCACATGTGAGGCGTCGTTCCATCCGTCCACCGTCATCGCAGCCATGCCCTGCCTCTCAGGCTCTCTGATCCTCTTGTCCAACGAAGACCCAAAGAGCTTTCATGGGTCGACTTGCCCACCCATTCCGCCGCCCAGTCGCCGTATCGTCCACCGATTGCGCTAGAGCAGGTGAGCAGCTTCCAAAGAGGCACAGAGGATCGCCCGCTCGCGTACATGTCAACCACTCGCGAGCCGCCGCACAAGGAGGCGATGGAGGGGGGATGATGGAGGGGCATCTTGTCCCGAACCAGAGAGCTTTGTCTCTCTCGTTTTTCAAGTGGGGTTTTTGTCTGCCACCCCGAAAGTCGACAGATGCCTCGCTACCCGTCTCATGGGACATGTTCCAATCTGCTCCGAAGCTACTTGGTCGCTAATTGATTTCTTCACCTTGCCACTGAGCTTCCCCTCGCCTTGAACATATCAGGCGCATACTATTTATGTACGCGAGACAGCTCTCAAAGGTGACAACGTTGTAGCCTCTGACGATTGCTTGAATCCAAATTTGGTCTCTTTTCCCCACCCCCGCCAAAATGAAGGGATTCACAACTGCCGCGCTCGTGGTAGCAGCCGCCACCACGGCGCTCGCGCAACAATGCGCCGATGTTATCACCCCCAGCTACACTGCTCCTCAGGTAGCCGCTGGCTGGCAGGCACAGCTTGTCGCCAATGGCTTCAAGAAGCCTCGCACAGTTCACGTTGACAGCGAGGGTGCCCTGCTCGTCCTGGATGCTGCTGTTGGTGTTTATCGCGTCACATTCAAGGACAATGGCGGCACATGCCTGACGTTGACCGAGAGCAAGCTTCTGGTCAACAACACAAGAGTCAGACTTCACTTCCTTGAAACCCCAGAGGTGGTAATAGTGCTAACATCTCGTCATCCAGCTCACACACGGCATGGCCTTTTCAGAAGATGGCAAGACCCTGTATGCCTCCTCCGTCTCCCAAGTTCTCGCCTGGGCCTACGACGCAAAGGCCGGCACCGTCAACGCCGAACCCGCCGTCGTCATTGACAATATGGCCAACAACGACCAGACCACTCGCACCTTAGTCATGTCCAAGGCCTCAAGCAATTGGCTAGTCGTGTCCCGCGGCGTCGACGAGAACTTTGACATTGATGCCCTCGATGCCAACAGCGGCCACGCGCAGGTCAAGGCCTTTGACCTGAGCAAGTCCGGCAACAACCCCTTCGACTTCAACACGGATGGCAAGCTTCTTGGCTGGGGTATTCGCAATGCTGTCGCTGTCGCAGAAGACCCCGCTACAGGTAACGTTTGGGCGATGGATAACTCCATTGATGATATCACACGCAACGGTGTTGATATCCATGCCAATAACCCCGGCGAGGAGCTCAACCTGCTCGGTACCATCGCGAACGAGACCGACGCCGGCAACTACGGTTACCCGCGCTGTTTTGCTGTCTGGGACACCAGCATCCCGCTCAACAGCTCTCTCAACGTCGGCGACCAGTTCTCCATGGAACAGAACTCGACAATGAACGATACTCGCTGCCACAACGACTACGTCGCTCCCCGCCTGACCTTCCAGTCTCACTCGTCCCCCGTCTTCCTCAAGTTCAACAACGACGGCTCAAAGGCTTTCATGTCTTTCCGCGGCAGCTGTGACTCTCCCCACCCACTCTGTCACAAGTCCATCAGAAAACTAACATAGCGCGCAGTCAACCGCCCTAACCCCGTCGGGTACGCCCTCACCGCAGTCGACTTTTCCAACGGCGAGCCCGTCGCCAAGAGCGACTCGACCGACGCGCTCAAGAACATCATGTACAACAAGGACCTCAGCACCTGCCCCGATCAGTGCTTCCGCCCCGTCGGTCTCGCGTGGGACTCCAAGAACCGCTTGTTTATGACCTCTGACTCTACGGGCGAGATCTACATCCTGCAGCAGACCGACGCTACACCGACATCGACGACTCCCGGCACCATTGTCACCGGCACCGCGAGCGCGACTGCCAAGCCTGATGCTGCCAGTGGTTTTGCGCCGTCCCTTGGTCTTGGATTCGCTGCGCTGGTGGCGGCGACGTTCTTCGCTTTCTAGATTGATGCAGAGATGAAAATGGGGAATGGGAAGTGAAGCTCTTGGAGAATACGATGAGAGGTGGACTACGTTCACCAAAGTTTGAATGATTCCTGTCGAGGCAGTGTCACGATACATGAATATACCTAAAGCACATTTTGATTGATAAAGAGTTGCAAACATACAGAGAGTGAGGCCAGCACATGTCCTTGGCTTCAACGTATGGGGTTTCCCCGCCAAGGCGTTTCTCACGAAGCTGCATTACTTTGAGGACTTGATGATTGAGAAAAGTGTTTTTGTCCGTTCTTTTTGGTAAGCTCTGTAGTCTTAGGTTCATCCCTTCAGTCTTCCTCTCCACCAGTACTTCCTCCTGTTTCCTTCAAGCTATGCAGTCCAAACCCTCTGCTCTCTGACGTTTTCGAAAGATTGAGTACTTAGTAGGCTCAAATGCTATTCGATGTCCAAAAACTTCAATCTCAGACACCTCTTCGAGCACTCCCTTTCGCCTCTTCGATATCCTCACCCTTGCATTTGCTGCTCTTCGGTCACTTCCCAACTCCACGCCGATACACTCATCTCTATATCTCCTTTCCTTCAAACCTTCGCCATCATCCATCGCCATACCCTCAACACCGTATCCCCCATTATTCGAACACTCCCCATATCCATGTCGACACCCTCCCCGGCAACTTCATCTTGAGAATGTCGTTAGGATTGCGGCAGTGGTGAAGTAATCATCGACACCATCCTAGGACAAACTCCCATTGAAACATGTCTTCGAACACGAATTCAAACAATGATTCATTTGCTCCCTTGGCAGCAGCCTCTCCGTGAGTGATCTTGACGCGCTTCTTGGAATCTCCTTGGCTGGGTCACTTGCCTCAGCGAAATCGTTGTTGGAGGAAGTAAGTACCCGACGCTATGTATATGTGTTGTTTCGAACTGGATGCGAATGACAGGGTTGTAGAGAACTATGCCAGTGCCTCTCTGCCAATCGTCGACGAGACACTTGCAGATCTCCCAAATGGCTCCCTTGGTGCCCTCAGGTGTGCCTTGGACCTCAACGATGCGCTCAGTTGACTGAGGCAACATCTCCTTCTGTGCGAGGTCATCGCACAGAAGGAGCAGGAGACCTTGAAGATGCCCAATCTTCAGAACCTCGCGAGAGGTGTCCGGCACCCCCCATTCATTCGAGCAATATTTCGAGCAATGTTTCGAAGTCGACATCATCAGGTCCCCCAGACAGCACCCTTGATGCCCTCGGGGATGCCCTGAACACTCCCAAAGGATCAAGAGTCCACCGGGAGAATCCTGATGTGCTTAATCTTGAGGCCTGGTGAGAAGCGTTCCAGCGCCCTCTTCCATTCGAGCAGTCTTTTCGAGCATAACTTTCCCACACTGCACCCTTAATGCCCTCAGGGGTTCCTTTCTATTTCCCCCCCCCCCCCCCCAAAATGCAAAGACGAGTATACCGAGGGAACATCTCCTTCTGGGCGACCATGCAAACGCCCGACAAAATCCAGGACGCTCCCCCAGTAGCAAATGGAGGCTTCCAGCACTCCTAGTCGACTTATTCGAGCAGCGACCCCGCCAACATTCGAAGTCGGAAAAACAAAAACGTCCAGCGCTTTGAAATGCCGCCCGCCTGTGGGGCTTGTTGAAAGCAATGTTGAAAAATTGCCTTGAAGCAGGCTTTCGAGCAGGTTTTCGAGCAGGATTATTGAGGCAGGGGGTTTCGCGAGACCCCAAACGCCCCCCAAGAATCGCCTTGCGGAAGACACGGGGGCTAGTCGCAGCTAGCATTGCATCGAGGATTGGTTTTGATGTCGTTGATTCGAAATAACCGCGAGCGGTAATAGGCCCGGGGTGGGCTTGTTGAGCGTGGTGGACAATGTTGTAAGAGTGCCAGTGACTTAGGCGTGTGCGACAAATGTCTCCATCGTCGGCCGCGAGACCGTAGTTATTCATGATCTTTTTCATGTTCGCCATGTCTTGTCCAGGAGCGTGGCAGTCAGAAGCGTTGCTGTCGGACTGCTGCTGCTGTGCTTGATGGTGTCAAATATCCCCATGGCGACGTGGCCAGGGGCGGGCCCATAAGTGAGAGGAGGAGCAGCGTTTGCATTTCCGCCTTGAAAACCAGAATCATTTCTGAAGTTGTCGGCCTGTCCGATTTCTGGAAGAGCTGTCAGGCCTAAGCCCTGGCCGACTAGAGCGTTGGGGGATCGAGGGGGGGGCATCCCCTCGAAACTCGTGTGGAAGTCGATACTCTGCTCGGGGCCCGTGGAAGCAACTGAGCCAGGATCTCCAAGGTCAGCGAGAAGATCTCCAAGATAATCATCGCCAACCTCGTGAGCTCGGGCGAAGTGAAGAGGCGATAATGTTTTTCGGATCTTCCTTCGGGCGAAACGCCTTGATGGCCTCCAGCCTTCTCTTGATGACGTATCTTGGGCCAAAAGTCTCGCCCGGAAGCTGGGCTAGGCATAGCTCTTCGAACAATGGAAGCGCCCATTTTGATTGTTCTGGTGGTCGAGCAAGCCAGGACCGGCCCCCTCAGAGGAAGTACATCAGGATGGCCGGCCTGGCTGGAGTAGCCGGTGTAGCTGGGGAAAATACCCGTGAGAGGGTTCTCTGAAGTCTCGAGAACGCCAGCTGAACCCGTCATCATCATGACGGACAAATACAGTGCTATTGACGTTGACCATATACGATGTCATCGCCTCGGTCAACGTCGATATCGCTGTACTTGTCTGCCATGATGACTGAAAGTGCTGAGCCATGATTAATGCCATCGACGCCCGGAAGGGAACGTCAACTTCGGTTTAGAGTGTCTTTGGAGCAGGATCTCGAATTGTCCGTTGAGGTTTCTTGGAGCATTTTCGAACAAGTCTCTGCGTTCCTGCGGAGGGGCGGTCTCCTATCGGCGAGAGTGTTCCTCGATGTGTTGTCGAGTGAGTTGGCTCCGCAGTACACGATATCATCACCTCGGTCGACGTCGATATCGCTGTACTTGTCTGCCATAATAATGGAAATGGCAGGTCCCGGTTCGCCAGTCGACCCTCTCATGTAGGAGATCCCGGCGTTCGAGTCGCCGTGTCCACCGTACCACGCTGCGGAAAGCTGGCTGGGGTTCTTTGGCGGACACGGAGACTCGAACGCCGGTATGAGAGACGGTGATGCACGCGGGGTCATTGTGGTCTCCCACGTCACCCCAAATGCGAGGCCAGGGCAGTATGCTCCGACCTCGTTGATGCCACGGCGGTCGTTCGATGGCTTCAGACATGCCTGGGATGCTGGTCTGGCGGAAGGCTGCTCAGAGCTGGAGCCGTTGGTGTAAACATAGACTCATTTGAGCAATTTGCTTCAACTTGGCCTCTTTTAGCTTGGAAAAAAGCTATGTCTCTAGAAGACAAACCAATAGAGATGGCAGAGGCTCTATTACCCCCATGCTCTTTTGAGAAGTCTGAGAAAGGCTATTGTTAGCAAACATCCATGACACCAACAAGAGAAATAATCAGACAGAGACTGGACAGCCAGCTCATTGACAGACATGTGATATCCTACTTGAAGTTGTGATTGACATACCCAATTTTGAACAAACGCACTCCAAGCCTTTCTTGTTGGCTATAATCCGAGCAAGCCGATGGAGGCTGAGATTCCGCAAGAGCGATTGTAACCTCAATGGCATAGCAGTCCTGGGTAGTGGCCAGACGGCATGCCGAGATGGCGATGTCCGTCGGAAGTCGCATTCGGACGGCACTGGGATCATCCTACCTTAGAGATGCGACGGTACGTCCAAAGATGCGACGAAGGCATCGTCGTATCTCTCGTCGTATCTCTTCAGACGGTGGACGTCATCCGATTTCGGTAGCTGGAACACGATGGGTTAGCCAAGAATTCTTGCAAGAATATCAATCCGCAGAGTGGGGCTTGAATGACATACAGGTGAGAGCTGGGGATTCTTGCTAGAGCAGGAAATTAAATACCTTCGTAGTGTGACTGGCAGAATTGAGCATGTGAAGCTTTGGTCACTGAGGTGAAAAGCGATGAGTAAAGAGACTCGATGAATAGGTATTTCGAAAGCGATGAAGCATGAATTGGACGAAAAGCGATGACGCAAAAAAGCGATGAGCAAGAGAAGTGACGAAGTGAAAAGAGACGGATTGCGAAGAGACGAAGTGTGAAGAGACGGAGTGTGAAAGGACGAGGAGAGTAAAGAGGAAGTGTGTAGAGACGAACATTGTAGCGACGAAGGAGAGGTGGCTTTGTGCAGAAAAATCGGAGAGATGAGTACTTGCCTAGTGGGAAGGTGAGGTCGAGGGGAGAAAACTCGCAGACTACACACCGCCTTCTAGACAGAGTTTTCAAGCAGAAAGAGCGATCAGTCCCTTGGGCCCTAATTTTGATGGCAGGAAGAGTAAGTATGGGACATTGTGAGAACAGGGCACTGGACCGATATTGGACAGTGACCGCGTAGATGGAGGCAGCCCTCGAGAATCCGTTGGCGGACGACGGGTTCCAAGTCACCTAGATATGGTGATGTATTCGCACTTACCTGAGCTGTTGGTATTGGAAGGGTCGTTTGAAGCCGTCGATGAGAGAGGAGAGTTGAGGATGCCGTGGCGACAAGCTGGAGGTGAAGTAAATATCCGGAGGGCGACGCGAGTGACGCGTTCCGGCAAGCTTGCCTCGCTCGAAGAGGTTCGCAGTCGTCAAGAAAGGAGTCTCTGAGGCAAGATGCGTGGAAATTCGAGTATTGCAAGATTTCGGTATGGCGATTCGTCCAGGAAAGCTGTGATTGAAGCGATGAGACTGCTGGGCTGGTGGTGTTTTGATTGCGAGAAGAAGAGTGTGACGAGGATGGGCTGTGTTGGCGGTTGAAGTGGGAATGAGAGAAAAGAAGATTGGAAAGGAAAGGATTGGAAACTATGGGCAGAGGAGAAGTAGAAAAGGTGGTATGGTAGGTTGGGAGATGGAGGCTACGAAATTTGGTTGCCGTGGAGAAATAAATCCCCTGGTGGTCATGATCCTCACTGGTTTTTCTCTCTCTATTCCAGAGGAAGGGGCAACTTGGTCATGTGATCAAAGAGAAAAGAAGAAGGTATGTCGCAGGGTCGCAAAAAAATCTGGAAGGGTTTGGTATAAACATGAATACCTACGCGAGTATCTCAAGCTGAGTGGTGACACACCTCAGTAAGGTCGGTTCGACCACCGTATATCGACCGATTCTAGGCAGAGGACCCATACGCTAAGATTCAAAATTTGCTCCTCGCACGCCCATAGTAACCATTTCATAAGGCGGTCATGCCAGATTGAGTGGTTGGTGCTTTAAGGAGAGAACACCGACAGCTCTTTGCCTTCATGAGGCTCCGCAGAACAAAGGCGATGTTCGTGGCCAAGCCTGAAAACGCCGAAACCCGCTCTGACAAGCCTTCTCGGTTGGCAATGACGGTAATTCCTGGTGATTCTCCTGCCTTGTTTCTTACCAAAACAGCATACTGAGAAAGTCAGTGTCCATGGCACTTGTTTATATGTTTGTTACGCATCACGAACGACCGGCCGTCTTTGAGGCATTCTTGAGCCTGTCCGAGCCTCGATCACCTACTCAGAAGGCCAGATATCATATAGTAAAAAGACCACCACAAGAATCCGCGATTCTTTCTACCTCCATGTTTGCTTGGCCCCCATTTCGCACTTTCCCAGGTTCCGATTGGAGGAAGACATCACAAGATTCACCACCTCCCCCTTTGAGATCTGAGCAGTCTTCTTTGAGACACTGTCCACGTTCGTCGCCCACTGAAAGCTGGCGTTGAAACAAAATAAGTGAGAGAACTCATGGCAGCCGATCTTACCATGCTATTCATACAATGATGTCTGGTGACCGCGGCCTCGTCACCAGCCTTGAAAACAGCTCCGTATCTCAATTTCTGCATTTGGACTTCATCTTCCTCTCACTGTCTCGCACTCATATATCACACAACGGCCAAGCTATAGGAGACAGACAATCGCAAAAGTATTCGAATTTCGACCTGCTTCCATTCACACTCCCCTACGACACAATCTCGTTCACAATCACCCTTCACTAGCCGCGAAAATGAAGCTCACAATCAGCACCATCACTGCAATTATTACCTTCTTGGCAACTGCCTCCGTTGTTGCTAAATCTGGAGGTGGCTTCAAGGAAGACTGCAAAGACATCCAACTCGAGAAAGTGGATTATACAAAGTGTGACGATGATGGCGTAGAATGTCCAATCTTGAGCTACTTTAAAGTTTGGGCCAACTGCACCGCCTTGGACGACAAGCTGTACAATAACGAGCTAAATCTCAACTTGTGTCTCGTCAACGACCATGGAAAAATGCAATGGAGAAGACGGTTAGAATTCACGCAGTATCCCCTTAATCTTTCCGCTAACACCTTTGTTTCACCATCCAGGGGCAAATTTGATAACTCATGTGAAGAATGTTCACTTGTTAAAGCCAACAAGAGAAAGGTCGAGATGACGTGCTATTGCCACGATGGAGTCAATGAGAAATTGCGGATGGACACCATTGACCTTAGTAAGTTTTAAACTACCGAAACGCTTTCTGTGAAATATCTGACATAATGTCTTGCAGACCAAAACATCGAATTGAAAGGAAACACGATTTGGTGCGGTGACGAAATAGGCATCGCACATGCCTAAAGCAGCTTTCAACTTTACTTCGCGAGCAACCTCCTTTCGCGAGCGTCTCCACTGAGGGTTTCGAGTAATGGGTCAAGTGGACAGCATATCAGAAAGTCTGTCATGGCGAACCTGACTCAAGCCGTCTTCGATGTGACGATTGGGCGGGAAACGACAATTGAATGGTCAACCAAGTCCGAGACTCCGAGACTCGATTGCGGATAATGCCAGGCCCTTTCCTCGGTGACTGACCATTCGATGACGCTGGACACTTAAGTTATTGTTCCTGTATTCTCGGAAATATTTATCCAATTTCCTCTAGAGCGTCTTTCTCAAAGTCAAGTTACATGTACTTGCAACATCTCTGCTGAGCTCTCTTACATATTGCCTTGCGGCTGACGCTGCTGCTGTCTAAATGACTTGTTTTGTACGTTGCAGCATGGCATACGTACTAGTTCCCTTCCAAATAAAGCAGCCTCTCAAGTTAGTCTTATTAATAGAATCACTGACATAAATCTGCGTGATTGGAGAGGACCCCAAGACTCACACCAGCGCTGATGGCCGGAAATCCACCTAGCGGGTCTACATGTCTCGTTGTGTGTGTGTGTATGGACATGGAGAGCTATTCAGTACAACATTTGTGGACCTAAACGGCATCACTTCAGACTCGCCAGATCTCCATACTTTTACATTAGTCAAGCATGTCAATCTCACAAAACTCTGGTATCATTCACTGGCATTGGGACGGATAGTCTTGTTCAAGACAAAGAGGATGTATTCAAAAGAGCCAAGTGGCTGAAACCTCGGTGAAGAGGGAGAAGGTTTTGGTATCTGAGAGGTAAAGAAAAGGTCGTTCGTCGTACTTCCCAACTAGCCATGTGGTTGAGAGGATATTGTCCGTGACATCGTGTTTCGTTGCATTGGTTTTTTTGTCGTGAGTTTCGTTTCGTTATAGTCATGTCGTTTCTGTCGTAGATAGTTTGTTGTGTGACTGCTCTTCTCTGTGGGCAGTCGGGCTCGGGACTTGCTCAGTGTGTCATATCATGGTACACCAAGCACACCCCGACGTTAGGGTTTAAGTGTGTCGGAGATCGTAGGTTCGAATCCAACACGGGTGAAGTAGTTCATCTCGTGTCGGCGGTTTGAGTGTTGGGCAAACCGCCATCGAGGTTATTTGGTTCGGATGTTCTGCAGGTGCATGTGCAGACTGGCGAAGCTGATGGGGAGCTCGATGAGGGAGCTCTTCATGCTGAGAGTGTTGCACGAGGCAGGAATCTCGACTCGGAAAGCCTCGAAGCTGGATCGGGCGCCTGGGAAAGGAGTGTTAGTCTGTGGATAAAAGAACACATGGGATATTGAGATGGAGCATACCCATGCCCTGCAAGCTGGTCGCCGCGAGCTTCTCGACGTGCGAGCGCTCTGCTTGAGTCTCAGCAACGTCGGTGCTGTTGTTGAAGCCGGCAGAAAAGGTGTGTTCCGGGGCCGAAGCAAGATCGGCGGGGCAGCCGGTGGCAGCAGCACCGTGCTCCCCGGCCGAGACGCCGAGGATCAGTGCCAGAAGCACTGACAGCAGCCCCATCAGCCTCTGCCATGAAGGCGAGGCCTGAGCCATATTGGACGATTGTTTTGGTGGTGTATCGAGGTGGACCTCGAAAGAGGATATCTTCCAAGAAAGAAACTCAGACGAAAGATGCGGCCACTGACCAGTCTTTAATACCTACGTAGACCGCCATCGTGAGGCGAGCAAGTGAGCACCCGGGCAACGGACGCCGAGCCGGGGCGCGTAAGAAGCGGTGGGCGTTGAGTTGGCCAGCCACTCGGTTTCCGTGGTTTTTTCACGATCCCCTGCGACTCACAAGAACATCATCGGCGGACAAGACGCTTTCGTTGAAGAACGAGCGGAATGGGTTTAGCACAACTGAGCTGGCCATGCATCTGTGGGCTAGAAGTTTGGCGGTAAAGCCTCGCGTGGTTCGTCCAAAGATTCGATCGGGAGTTTTGCGCCATGGTTCGTTTGTTGAGGATCCGCTGCGAGCACGTTGCGACGAACCGGATCTTTCAAATGGCGACGAACCCTTGACTGGCATGTCGGGGGAGTGATTGGATAGACCGGTCGTGAACGGGGTTGGGTGCGATTTCGACCAGGGAGCAGAACCACACCGCAAGACTGCGAAGGAAGAAACTCCACATGTTGGTGGACTATTGGACCAGGATTGTCACAAGGGTGTAAGCGGCCGGGCCTGTTCGTGCCCAACCCTTTCTTCGTCCAAACAATGAGGCGATCCGGCCGGTGTTCTTCGGCGGTTGTGGTCCGTTGGCCGGAGATGGTCCCGGCCGAGTCGGAGTAGAACTGGAGAACCTTTCAAAAGTCTCAGCCCAGCGGCCTGAGGCGAAGAAGAGGAGCGCCGAGATGCTGGCCTCAGGTGTGTCGTGTTGTGGAGGGAAACCGAGACTGCAGAGCGGATATCAGATCATCTGATAAGATGCCACCCACCAATCATATTATGCGCCCAGATCTTGTCCTACCACATCAGCATGGGAACCCTGTGTTGTAACTTTGATCTGGCCGATGAGCATACATCTGAAGAATAGACATGTGAGCAGTGATTCTGTTGATCTACGATGCCTTCTAAATCATTCAGTTGCCTCGAACCATTGTCATCTTCGGGAAAGTAAACTGGATTACCAACAGCAACTTGTTGTGTGATGGGCTGTTTATAGTAAACTAGTGTTCCATCGAGCAGGCTGGTTTACAACAATGACTTTGCAGAAGTCTGTTCGAAAGTTTGCCCATCGCAACGTGACTATCCTTGATCCCCCACTTCAACCCGCGCCGATGCGACCTGAGCACCTCGGCACTCTCGGCCGCCAGAACATGATTCGCCCATCGGCTGAAGGCATCCAGCCAAGAACATCTAGCTGCGAGTTATCGATCCACCAAGAGGATCCTCGGAAGAGGTTGCGTATGCAAACAATCTGCTCGCTCGGGATGCCGCAGTAATATATAGATGCGGCGCAGCGCGGGTTTTACACCGCGCAGCCTTCTCTCTAATATTTGCCTCGCCACTATTGATCGAGTTCATCCGCCATCTTTCGCATCTAGTCGCCATTGTCATTAATATGAAGTTCATCACAGCTGTTGCGCTCTTGGCCTCCACTGCTACGGCTTTGGAGTGGCTGCCTGTCGTGCCCCTTCACGCGCGCCAGGTAACCAGCGGAGCCAAGTACGAGTGCCACGAGAACTGCGGTATGTGACTCGATGTGCTCTCGACGCCAGATCAAACGAACTCATGACAGTATCTAGGCTATGCTATTCTCGGCGCAGCTGAAGACGGCTACTGTACCAACTCCACTTGGACGGACTACTTTGAGGATTGTTTGCAGTGCGCAAACACCTTCGACATCTGGCAATACTACGGAGACGGCGTCACAGAAGCCGCAGACGGATGCAACCTTGACGCGACGCCAGTCACTGCCTCGAACAGCACGACCAATGCGACTACCACGGCTGGTGCATCCTCCACAGCGTCTGCCACCGGCTCGAGCTCGGTACGTCTTTGTTCTGGACCAACATGCGTTACAGTTGAGGTTTTTAACAAAAGTCTAGTCTGCTACTTCGAGCACCGACGCCAGCGCTGCCAACAGCAATCAGCCTGCCACCATCGTGTTTGCATTGGCTGCTGTTATGGCGGCAACCCAACTCTTGTGAGGGGACTGGAGGATAAAATAAGGTACGATTAGATGAGAGGATGAGGCAACTGTAATGCGAAATGGTTTGTCACACTCATGCGTGACTTGAGGTAGGCCGCTGGCCATGCTGTATGAAAGAAATGTTGGTGACATATAGATGACTCATGGACAGATACAAGAATACGTGAAAAAGTTGTGTGAGATTTCCACAACGTTCAAGTAGTCAGTCATGCATAGTAAATGGATGGAACACAATCCGCAAGGAACTGATGGATTTGAAGTACGCATTGTAACCTCGTGGATCTTTGACCAAGTTTCGATCAACTTCGCCGCTTTTGCTACAGGCATTCTAGATTTACTCAACTTGAGCAAAGATTCAAGGGCATGCAAACACAACTGGAAGCCACGAAGTGCATTGGGCAGTTACAATATGTTCTAGTTGGAACTTCTAGAATGTGACCTCAAGGGGCTGGAATGGTCTTGCCTACATGTATGATGGTTGGTCAGCTAGCCAGTGAGGTTATTTCAAGTTTCGTCTGTATAAAGAAAAGAAAAGTGATTGCCAAGGTAGTATTCTCTGCAGTATCTTAGTTATAGCAGTTTGAAGACTTCTCATAGTTTGCGGGTAAGCAACCAGCGGCCAAGGTAGTTGAGATTGGCATGTTCAACATAGCACATTATTCACAGCAGATCTATGAGGTAGTTAAGAACTTTGAAAAAGACGGATGCTCTTATTTGATAAGTCTACAAAAAGCAAACGCCTATGCAATGTACCAGCCAGCTACTCCAAGTGGCTTTTGTATTTATACAATGAAAGCTCCACGTGGAGTAGTAAGAAATGAAACACATCTTCCATCACTAGAAATCGTCCAAACACGCTCCAGATAAAGCCGTTTGCTGAACCAAGTGGTCCAAGTCAAACCCATAAGCCGAATTTGTTATCGTCGAAGTTGTTTTTGTCGCTTAAGCGGAGGTGGGCTCAGCGGAGGGAGCGCCGGAGGGGGCATCGCCACCGAAGCCGGGGAAGTTGCCGCCGAAACCGCCGGAGGGCTGAGCAGCACCGGGGACCTGGGTAGGGCGAACACCGGAGGGGAGAGCACCGGTGCCGTGGTTCTTGCCCTTGCCCTTGCCCTTGCCCTTGCCGGTAGGGCGGGCGCCGCCGGACTGGGTGCCGGTGGGGAAGGGGGTCTCAACAGCCTGGGCGCCAAAGCCAGCAGCCTCCTCGGAGGAGCCGCGGGTGCGGGTCTGGAAGCCGGAGTGACCACCGAAGTGGGGGAAGTTGCCGCCGAAGCCACCGGAGGGGGCAGCAGCGCCGGGAACCTGGGTAGGGCGGGCACCGCCGAAGCCAGTGGGGAAGCCACCGGAGGGGAAGCCGGGGAAGCCGCCGCCGAAGCCGCCGGAGGGCTTAGCAGCGCCGGGGACCTGAGTAGGGAAGCCGGAGGGGAGGTCGGTAGGGAAGCCAGTGGGGAACTCGGCCTCCTGGTCCTGAGCGAAAGCGCCAGCCGAGAAGGCGGCAAGGATGGTAGCGGCGATGACGTTGGCCTTCATTTTGTCTGAGTTATGAGATTGACTGTAAGGTTGTTTGTGAGGTGGGAAAGGTTGTTAAGGAATGTGGTTCGAAGGAACGAATGCAAGGCTTGATATCAAGAATGGAAAAGAAGACTAGCTTCAATGTGTTTGGAATGAAAGTGATGAAGATGGAGTGGGATGGAGAGCAAAAAAGAAGACGGGTCTTGGAAGGAGAAAAGCTGCATCTTATATCAATCTCGTCGTCTGGGATCCCGGGTGCCATCCGCCACCGATTTGGCTCATGGTTTGCCAGGATGGCGTCAACTTGGTCGAGCAACATGGTGAACCGTTGCGCCATCGGACGACACAGATCGACAAGGGGAGCCGACCCAGCCCGGCGGGATGTGGGCGTTTAGCAGAGCAAAAACCATGTTTGGCGACTTTGGCCCCGGACGAGTTGCCACTATCCGGTAGTTGTCTGCGGCTCAAGCTCCAGCTTGGATAGAAGGGTGGCCCGACTTTCCCGCTTTCGATCAAGACAGAACAGTGGTGAGAAGCATGGGCGCCATATTGCTGTCAATTTCCAACGGGTGGGTTCTCAGGGGTAACAGGAGTTTGGCAACTGTTGGCCTAGCTTTCCGCGGCGGGATCAGGATGATGGATGCCGCGTGGGTGGGTGGATGGTGCGGATGGATGGTGGATGCGCGCAGCTCAGCGAGTCAACAGTGCTGATACCAACAACTTGCTCGAGCCTCGAGGGTTCTAGACCAGACCAAGGAACAACAGATCTTCTCCAGGATGGGAACATGACTGGAGTGTGTGGGAGACTCTGAGTGGTTGGGCTTCGGTGTTCAGCCCATCATGGCCGTGTGTTTCAAGGAAGACGGGTCCAGGGTCTCCACCGCTCCCTTATTTTCCGACCATGGGGCGTTTGCTGTAAATGAGGGACGTCGTCGTCTTCGTTTCACCTTTACATTTTGGGGCGAGGGGAGCGGTGCCGTTGTTCCTAGTTCGGGGGTTTTCACTTGTTTTTTTAACGGGGATGCAGAGTCCAGAGGAGTGATGGGACGCTGCTTAGTCTCCCTGTCTACCGGGGGCGGACCATGTCTTAGTTACGCGTCATCAGATGGCAGCACGTCGCGCTTAAATGAGGCCAGGGGACATGCCTGCACAGGGACCAGCCTTAACAACACAATTCTGGGCGGCAACGTGGGATGGAAACTCCTAGGCCTCAGGAGAGTCGCGGCGTTAGGAAACAATCGACTAACTGCAAAGAACACTTTCGGGAAGTCATGTCCGCATTATTGGCGAATTGCCTTGCCCTGCTTCAACGGCTTGTGACATTGATCGGTGAGACGCCTCCGAGATTGCTTCTCTTTTCGTCTGGTGTTGAGCCACATCACCAAATAACCAATTAACCATAACTTCGTCCACCTAGGCCCGGAAGTCCGGCTTCGGGGACACAAGAGCGCTTAAAGCCAAATTGTTTCCACGTCATGGCTTTCAATTTTCCGCTTATCATGGGCAGAGAATAAGACGCGGCCATCAGCCCTGAATTTCGTGCCCTGCTTCCTGTGACAGCGAGCCTTGCCAAGACTTGTGGACCATGTCAAACTATTCTACACGAAATTCGCCATCCAATATGGATGAATGGAGATCAGTCGCGCAACTACGAAGCATGAACCTCTAGAGAGAATATCGTCAGATTTAGTTCAGCGCTCTGAGCTTGTTCCTATCTTATCACATATCATAGCTGATCCAGTTCAGTTCGTCTGACTTGTATGTAGCCATGTTTAACACATCGCATTTTGTAGCAGCTTGACAATGAAGCAAGAACTCCGCCCCTGAAGGACGCATCTTTGTCAGCGGCAATGGGCGGGACGCACTATCCTCAGCTCGCAAACAACTTGTCCGTGCTTGTTTGATACAGAGAGTTGGTGTCAACAATAGCCGGGTCAAGTGGAGTTGGCAGGGGAGGGTTGGGATGCCTTCGCCTCTTCAGGACAGACCTGCGAGGGGTCCCCTGGTCTTGGACCAAAGTTGGAATTGGAAATTGGTATTGGGCCAGCGAGTTTGCTTCTTTCATCTGATCCAATGTCTCGCTTTTGTTCATCGCTCTTTCTGTAAAACTGCTTCCAAGAAAACTTCAACACTGCCCCCCGTATACTTGCATTCCTTCATTCATGCCGAACCCGAAAACCTCGGAACTCCAACTTTCGCTCCCTCAACCACAAGAGGTAATTAGAACGGACCTCTCAGAGCGTCTAGAACCTCCTTGGCAATCCACGAGTGTGTATGAGTTGTAGGACTGCACGACGTCAGAATGAGAACTGGAGACTGGGTGAACGGCAAGTCGGCTCGGGAAAGAAACGAAAAGCAAAGTCTCGCCAAACTTACTGGTACTCGTCCCAGTATACCCGCCTATCTGGGTCTCCGCAGATCGTCACGTTCGGCGTCTCGCCATATGCACCTTCGAGGCAACTGCCGTACTTCCCCAGTGGGTCAAATCCGTACGCCCGAGGGGAAGCATAGTACTCAAAGTCGTCAAGAGCGGCCGAAGATCAACGTTGACGGCTGCTGTCTTTGACCCGCCGAGTAATTCTCCTAGCTGGTCGGTGAAAGTTCGCAACTGGTTCTTTGCCAAATTGTCTTCCAAGTAGAAGCCATACGGAAGTCTGGAGATATCTGGCGGCGATAGAGTCAAGACTTTTGCATCTGGGTACGCATCGCGCAGCTGTACTTCGGCTTGGCGAAGAGTTTGATACGACTGCGAAGCACTGATATTGGCGTTGAACAGGATGTCGTTGGCACCAGCAAACAAGATCAGCAATGGGGTTTCCATTGCCATCGAATCGGACGCTCCGAATGCTCCTCCTTGAGGATTTATCTTCGCCAAGAACGAGACGACTTGATCAATAACAGAAGGTACGGCAATATCACCCTTTGCGCCTGTGTAGCCCTGGATAAGAGCATTCGAAGTCGTCGCACCTCCGACCGCATAGTCGTAGAGTGGCAATGAGAGATTAGCTGCTACGTATTCTGCCCAGACGATTCCGTTTGAAAAACGACCTTTATAGCTGAATAGGCTCTTAGATAACATGAACTAGAAGCGATGTAGGGGAAAGGGTTGACTGACTATTTGTCTGTAGGCCAGGCATTATTCGATACTCTAGCAGCACCGTTTCCTAGGATTTGCATCCCATCAGCTATCTCTATCCTCAACACGAGCCCATCGAACTACCACCGGCCGCTTACCGTTGTCACTGAACGAGTCACCGAATACTACAATGCTAGAAACCGGAGGGGGTTTGACTCGGCGTTCCAACTGTGTTGACGGCAAGGCTGCAGCGTAAGCCGTTGCGAGGAACGCAATCCAAACTCCACGACTGAGCATCATCATGCAGGTCGTTTTACAACTCTGGTTCCTTGTATGGATGTTGGTCAAACTGCGTCTTCGGGCACGAACTTTTGCAGCAGTGGAGATCGTTGAAGAGTTTACATGTTCTTAGAAGAAGCCATGCGACATCAATGTTCATTTCGAGAAAATATCGATCTCAAAGTTTGTCCTCGGATTGCCGGATCAATCCAGGCATTGGACGTACGCGTTCATCGTGGTATCGTGCGAACTTGGTTGGTAACGCCACAGGTTCAAGCGTCAAAGAGCATCAATAATGCAGCTTAGATGTATCAGTCTAGCCTATGAGACTGGTTCCGCACTAATGCACATAAGCTTACGGCTTGACAGTAAGCACTTGAGGTGATCTGCTTCAAACTTAGAAAAGCTAGTCACAGCTGTGCTTGAATCTCCAGAACCGGAGCCAACTGGAATGCAATGTTTCTAATATTCCCCAACTCTGCACGCGTGCAGCAACACAGCACCTTTCCGCCTAAGAAGAGTGTCTAAGTCTTAGACTGCACCTGTGCTCTTGAGGTCCGAAAGCAACTCTCTCCGGTTATCAAGATCTTAGATTCGGAGATCCCCTCCGCATTCCCCGTCCCCTGTGTTCCGAATACCGCATAGCACACCGCCGACTTGGCTCACCTCCACACCTGGCATGATGGAATCAAGAAAGCTTCATTTCGCTTGGCGACTGGCAAAATATTGGTGCGACTCTACTACTTTAGCACTAGTAGTCACATTCCTTCTTCCCGATCTTTGTGCCGGAATGCCGTGTTGTATTTAAGAACCCCCAAGAGGTCCAGCAACACGCGGGAAAAAAAACTTCCCATGCAACAAGCCCACATCGACGTGGGGTGCAAACAGCGGAACGTCAAACTCCCGGTCGAAATGGATGAGAAGCCCATCACCGGGGATTTTGGAAATGAGAGCCCAATATGTTTTTAGATGAATTCATGGGGTCGAAATCTGAACACGTCCCCGTGTTGGCCCTCGACACCCCCAGAATCCAGCCAAAGTGAATAGAGTCCAGAGAGTCATCTTTCACTATTGAGATTTCAATGGTCATTGGTGTAAAAAGAAGGCCGACTTTGCTGGTGTGTTTGGGACAACTGGACCCCATCACAAATTGCCTCATATGCAGGACCCTTTGCGCCAGTTTTCGAGCTCAACGCGCGCCCGTTGGCCAGATTACAGGACCATTGCACCACGGGGTTCCGGCACACCAAAGCCGGACCCTCCGGATTGTGGGCGTCCGGGCCCGTCCCGCGGATCCTCATTTCGGCCCCCAAACGTCTCCACGAGCGCCAAAAGCCCTACTCGACTCACAAAGACAACATAATCACACACCTCGAATTCGAATTCAACAACAGCCAGCTCATTTCGAGCTCAACCGCCCTGATGGTCTAGCGGTATGATTCTCCCTTAGGGTCTTCACGACGCGTCTGGGAGAGGTCCCAGGTTCGAATCCTGGTTAGGGCCCAATCTTTTTGAATTTCGGGGCAACAAGCCGCGGAACATTTCTCTTTTGCCTCGCAGCACTTCCGTACACATCGATTGCTCTTGGGGAAGCCCATTTGATGCAATTTTCTTTTTGCCATACTAGCTCTTATCCGTTGATATGTGGTGAACCAAGCCAAAGCGGTTTTCACTTTTTTCTTCCCCGATATGGGATTGCTCGACTCTTATTCCTCGTAATCTGAGGATACACAACTTCAAACCACTCGCAGAGCACCTCAGCATCTTCACTGAAAGCCTTCGAGTCTTTGCTGCGCTCAAAATATCTTTTGTGCCCGTCTCTCCATTCTTGATAATTCCCCTCTCCCTCCGCAAGTGCAAATTCCTCCCTCACATCCCGAAACTTGCATCTCTCAACCGATGTTGTCTTGATGATAGCCTTTGGTTCTCCTTTGCCGTCAAGTATAACGGACAGGTCGCCAACTCCCCAATGAAGTGTTTCAGGGATTGGCCAGGTTGTTGTAGATGTCTTCTTGCCCTGAAGCAGAAGATCCAGGAGTTCGTCTTTCAAGGCTGGATTATCGCCGAAAGCTGTAACATCCTTGGGTGGCGAAAGAGGGATATTGAGCTCAGCGGAGACTTTGGCCAGGAAGATGGCAATATTTGGGCTTGAAGGACCGATCTCCGACATTGCGGTTGTGTTCTGACGATAGTTCTCAATTACCTGAGGGTGCGTTTTGCTTATTAGTATTGGGTGGTCTTTGAGGGGAAAAGCTGAGTTTATCAAGGAAGTATTACCGCACCTAGTGAAATTAGTCTTTGTCTTTGGTCTCTTGAACAAGGATGATTTTTCAGGATGTATCTCAATTTAAAGCAGTGTCTATGCCTCATTCCTAAAGGTGCGTTAAAGGCGCTGCACAAACTGCGCTCTGTGTGTTGAGTCCCATCGGACCAGTTGTGTCGCCGAATGACTCACCCCGAAATATCATGAAGACACCTAGCAACATTTCCAGCCACGTGATATGCTGGGCTTTGAAGTGCGATGGGACATAGGTTGAGAACTAGATACAAGCTTAATCATAACATGAAGAATTGTATCCATTGAGACAATGCAGACCGAGTCAATAGAATGTGTCGAACTCGAAAGCGATGATACGACTGATGCTCTAGCTGAAAGGAACAACAAAGTTTATTGTACACAGAGTAAGTGCAGCCATGTCAAAATGCTTGTCAGGTTAAGATCGCTGTGTTGCGACGAAAGGATCCAGAGAGCACTACTTGAAGTTCCTCAGAGCCACTTGGCGATGATCAAGGGCTGCGTGACACTAATACCACTACGGATAGGCGAGCACATATCACGTATCCGCCGTTGATTGTTACACCGTTACACTACATATACCAAAGAACCAAACTCAACCAACCGACCAACAGCGCAGATACGATAAGTCAGGTTACCCTCGGAAGCCCTGCACAACCCTTGCTCTCAGATCCAGAAGCCGCCAAATCCCCGCCCAAAGTTCCCACAAAGCACCCGCAACGAACGGCTATCTCGACCCGTTTCTACAAAGCCAAGCCTGAAGAATGGAGAATCCCGATGCAGAGTCCCGCGGGGGCATGCACATATGAAGAAGGCGGCCGACTCTACCTCAGTCTTTTTCCTCGGCCTGCAATACTACCTACCATTGGCCTGAGAGGGGTATTTGATCGTGGAACCAATGATGGCCTGCCTTTTGTCATTTTACGATCGTGGCATATGCCAATCCTTGACGGTCCCTCCCGTGTGCCTTTATGTATAAGAGAGGCGGTGCTTCGGCATTCTCGTTGCTGGAGAGAGCCACGGAGGCAACTTGAGAGAAAACCCGCAGAGTTTGCTGGACCACCAGAGAGGAGATCGCTCAAATGGGCATTTTCGCAGCTTCGGGGGTCGAGAGCCCTATAGTAATGATGTTCCGTCTCTTGGGCCTGGCCGCGGCACTTGGCATCGGCTACGTATTCGCCCGAATGTCCCAAGAGCGAATGAGGTTCCGCAAGCTTCAGAGACAAGGAGTCGTGAGTCTTCAAGCACACTTGGGAAGCTAGGGTTCTGACATGAGTATAGCCAATGATGCCTCACTCGCTTCTGTTTGGCCATTTGCGCCTACTCATGAAGCTCACCTCGCATTTACCCGAAGACGTACACTTCAACTATTATGCCCAAGCTATTGTCGATAATTGGGAAACACTCTTCCCCGGCCGGGCATCGTGTCCCTCAGCGGTCTACGCCGACATGTGGCCTATGGGTCCCCCGCTAGTTTTCACCGTGCACCCAGAGGCAGCAGGCCACTACATGTTCGACGCCAGCGTGCCGCGTAGTGACTGGACCAAGAAGGCTTTGGCCCCGATCACTGAGGCAATGGACCTCGCATGTTTGGTGGGCGAGCCGTGGAAGACGTGGCGCGCAAGGTTCAACCCCAGTTTCAGTAATAAGAATGTTCTTGGCCTCGTGCCCGGAATGCTGGAGGACGTTGAGGTGTTCACCGATATTATGCGGGAAAAAGCTGGCGCCGACGGCTCTTGGGGTGGTGTCTTTCCGCTCGTGGAGACCACGACCAACTTGACCATGGATGTCATCGGCCGAGCGGTGCTTGATATCGAGCTTCATGAGCAGACAAACGGACCTAGCAGATTCAGGAGTGCCCTCATGGACCAGATTTCGCGGTCTATTCTCCATTTTAACATCATCACCGTGTGGAAGTGGTACAGCCCGTGGCGACTGGCCGCTATCAAGAACAATAGGGAAACGATGTACAGCGAACTACTTCCATCGATCGAACGATCCCTCAAAGGTACAATGAAGAAGGACGGGCTCAAGACCATCATCGATTTGGCGCTGAAGCCCATGTCCGGTGTAGTCAATGTGGACCGGTTATTCTTAGAGACTGTCGTTTCTCAACTCAAGATCTTCATGTTTGCCGGTCACGACACGACGGCCACAGCTCTTTGCTGGGCGATACACTGCATCGCCAAGAACCCCGAAGTTGGCCAAAAGCTACGAGCAGAACACGACGAAGTATTGGGGAAAGAGCCCGCAGATGCACTCGAGAAGATCAGAGAGTCGCCGCACTTACTCAACTCCCTACTGTACACGAACGGGGTTATCAAAGAAGCGCTGCGCTTGTTTCCCGGTCCTCCTGTCATTCGAGACGGACAATCGCACTATCGCATCACCGACAGTATCACGGGAGAGCAGTATCCCACCGGTGGATTCCTCATATGGGACGGGCTGCTTTCGCAGTCTCGAAACGAAGACTTGTGGCTGAGGGGCAAAGAGGTTGTGCCAGAGCGATGGATGACAACAGACCCAGAAGATCCATTGCACCCAAAGAAGCACGGCTGGAGGACCTTTGGACTCGGAAGCCGCGCCTGTATTGGCCAAGAGCTAGCCGTTGTTGAAATGAAGCTTGTCCTGGTGTCCCTCGCGCGCAACTTCGAGATTGATTGCGCTTGGAATGAGTGGGATGCCCTCAAGTAAGTTCCCGAAACCGCACACCTCAAGAACTCGTTCCACCATGGGGACCTAAATGCTGACTCTGTGCGCAGCGGGAATACCACAAACCCCAAAATGTTTGTGGAGGGAGACCGGTGCTACCAGACTGAAAAGGGCACACCGCAGATTTCTGACGGGATGCCGGTTCATGTCAAGCTGCGACAACAATCTGACTGAGCGTTTCGAGCTGTGTTGACAACTTGACAAGTGTGACGTGCGGGGGAAACGGTTTGGGGAAATCGGACATCGGTGTCGTCGCAATCCCGCCTTGTCCGCCATGGTGAATGCTCGCGCGGGGAGAGTCTCGGCCAGGTCGAGGACTCAATGTTCGCCCGGCTCCAGCGGGGCCTCAAAGGTTAGCGAGCATCGGAAGGAGGGACATCGGACGGAGTGTCTTATGTAGTATTCGCCGAATGAGTCGGAGTTGCGACGATGAGATAGACGCTTGAGGCTCGTCGCTGTCTTTCCGAGCGCTTTGGGAAGAGCTGGGGGTGTCGGACAAGGCTCCGTGAGGCCGTCATCTACCAGAAGCTAGCTCGAGAATATGACTTCATGGTTCAAAATAACTGTATCTGATCAGATCCGGCGGCATCGTGTCCACTGGTTGTGCCGCCGCTCCATCGCCGGCGGCTTCGAGGTCGGCCGGTATGCCAAATGCCTTCCGGCCCCGATCTCGGATGCCCACGAAGCTTCCCGCATTCTCGCGGGCCGTTGTTCCGTTCTTTTACTTCGACCTAGGAGCGGTGCTGATGACGAGTACCGACATTAATTATCAGCACAGTTTCGTGTTCATCGAGAGATGATTCGTTGGACTGTAAAGGCGCTTGACTTCGACAAGGCTCGGCATCAATAGTTTAGACGCCACTATTGGAAGGTTCCTCTTGCTCGGTAACGCGGTAATGCGTCTGGACTCTGTAATGTCGGAATCATGTAATGAGACAGAGATGAAGGTGTCTTGTCATGTCATTGTTGAAGTTGAGATGACACTGAAGCGCAGGAAGAAGCGAGAGAGAACAACTTAGATAAGCAGACCTTATTTACAGTCCACGGCGCCCGATTGGCCTGGTCGCATTTGCCCCGCAGAAAGTGGACTCTTACTTGAGGGATTCGGGGCTTATTTTCCCAAGCGGCCGCCCGATCTTCTCTTGGTATGGTTGCGTGGATGGGAGTGGGTGGCTGATGGTGACACGAGCGTGTGTGCAAGGGAGGGTGGTCACTGCGAACCTGGACACTAAGACACGTCGGGAAACTGTGTACTATGCTGCGTTTCTGGTCTCAGGCTCTCTTGTTCGCTTCTGAAACGAACACCGTCGAACGACAACGTCACGCTATGAGGCTCGGGATTCAGATCCATGGCACATCACCTAGTCCGTCCACCTAGTCGACACGAGGGCGCGGGGACTATTCGTACGCAAGCTCACATTACTTGAGGAGGCTCATTCCCTGGCATCAAACATACCTTACTATCGACTCCCTGTCTCTTCATAGGCCACCTCGCATCTTTACGAGATAGGTGAGAAACTCGTCTCTCAGGGCGCATCTCCACCTCCATCGCACAGCAACCACACAGCCCTAACAACTCGCTTGCTTGCTTGCTTGTTCTTGTGGCGCGCAAATGGCTCGACTCGGGGTAGCAAAGGTTAAGACGGGCTGTGTCACCTGCAAGTGAGTCCAACAGCCGCAAGCTCTAAGGCATCATTTATACACGTGCGTTAGAGCTAATCAACGTAGAATCCGAAGAGTCAAATGTGATGAAGCACGCCCGGCATGCAACAGGTGCGTCAGCACGGGCCGGAGATGCGATGGCTACGTGACACCGCCAACGGGGACATATTCCTGGGCCCAGCTGCTCCGCGTCCATCCGCCTCCGACCCAGGCCGCGTCGGACGCAGAACTCCGGGCCTTGAGTTTCTTTCGCAAAGTCGTCGCCCCCGTCTTGTCCGGGCCCTTGGATAGTTACTTCTGGACCCATCTTGTCTCCCAGGTTTCCCACCAGGAGCTTGCTGCGAAACATGCCGCATTGGCCATCAGTTCGCTGTACGAGAAGTTCAAAGAGGATCCCCTAGATCGGCACTCGGAGAAGAATTCCTTTGCGGTTGCACATTACAACGAGGCGATCAAACACCTCCGAACAACAAACAACCAGGAGACGGTTCTGTTTGTGTGCATCCTCTTCGTGTGTATCGATATGCTGCGCGGCGAGTGCAAGGGTGCCATCGACCACTGCAGACATGGCATCAACATCCTCAATGGCTCGAGGTCTACTTCGCGATTCGTTAGAGAGCACCTCACGCCGGCTTTCTGTCGCCTTGGAGTGTTCCCTTTCTTCTTCGGTGCCCGACCGGAAACGTTCCCGGCCATACCAGACTCGTATCCAGCTCCAGTGCCTCCGTTCTACAACTTGAAGCAGGTTCAAGCAGCGCTGGATCCACTACTCGTGCGCGCGATTCGCTTTGTACGAGCCGCTGACGAGTATCGTCTCGGTGATGAGACGCATCCCAAGCCGGATCTCTCGATAATGCAGGAACGAGATGAAATGGATGAATTGTTAGATGACTGGGCTGCGGCATTCCAAGCGTACATGGCGCAAAAGTCCCCGAATAATTGCCAGCGCGCCGCTATGCGGGAAGAGCTCGTCGAACGCTTGCTTGAGATGAAATGGCATGTGGGCAAGATTTGGCTGAGCACGTGTTTTTCTCGCGGAGAATTGGTGTACGATTTACATCTGGACAAGTTTCAACGAATCATCGAGCTTGGCCGTGAAGTCGAAGCCATCTTCCGAGAAATGTGGCAGAGGATCGGCCGGGCCAAGTTCACCTTTGAGATGGGTTTCAGCCCACTACTAGGATTCGTCTTTATCAAGTGCCGATCCTTGTCATTGCGAATCGCTGCACTAGGTCTCATGAAGACGATTGCACACGAGAGGGAGAACCTCTGGGACTTCAACACCGTTCTGGCGTTCGGACGCAAGATTGTCGAGTTTGAGCACGAGCTGGACCTCGGACACGATGAGGATATTGCCAACGTTGTCGACGATGGGACACTTCCGCCGGAAGGACGGCGAATTAAAGATTCGGCTATGCAGGACGAGGTACGCTTCGTTCACGAGAAGAATGGTGCCATCGCCATGTGGAAGAAGGTAGCTCTCTTGATGAGGGAGCACGGAGGGCCTATCACTGTCCAGGAGGAGTGGTTTCGAGTACAATTGAAGCGCAAGCCATGATTATCTAGTTACTATTTTCGCTCAGGGCTTCCCTCCGCATACCTCTTTCGATGACGCTAAACCTCTCGAAGGAACGATATGCCTCACACGCGGCCAGGTCTCGAGCTACCGTGCTGACATTGCAGGGGTTCACACTTTACGTTGCTATCATCGACGAGCTGCGCCCCTTGAGAGGCTATGATTGGTCGGCTCGCTTCTTTACATAACAGTTGCGAACGTGGGGGGCTGTGCATCGCCAGGCACCGTGATTATCGACGTTCACTTACACCAGCGATGAAGGCCTGAGAATCTCACTTATAAAGACGAGAATACCAGACTTCGTTGTGAAGATGAGGAAAACTCAACATCATCAAGCTCAGTTCTCCTCGTCATCCCACATCTCTTGACACTCATCACCATGCACTTGTCTTGGATCATACTGGCCGCGGCCGCGACCGCCCTGGCTTTGCCATCAGGACCTTCACCCACGCCCACTTTGCCAATTTTTTTGGCAAAACGTCAAGATATCACTGTAACTTCTTCAACAACATCATCTATCCCGACGGGAGACTTCATCGCGACAAAGTACATCACCATTCCTGGCGTCACAAATAGTTACGTCACAGTACCAGCAAAGACCATCGATATCGCCATCCCAACGTGTGTCCAGACGATCGAGCCCGATGCCAATGGCTACATCCCACCCGGTGAATGCGGTGCCATCTGGAACTACTACCCTAGCTTCGCGGCTGCGGCGGTGTTTGCGGCTCTTTTCGGCGTTTTGACCGTCGTCCATATCTGGCAGGCCGCCAAGCACAAAAAGGTTCGTACGTTTTAGCATTGGTAATAAATCGACGTAGGTTATTCAGTATCTGACTAGAATCTAGAGATGGTGTTGGGTTATTATTATGGCGAGCATCTGGGAGACTCTGGCCTTTATCTTCCGAGCTGCAAGCAGCAAGAACCAGCAAAGTAACGGCATCTACCTCGTTTTTCAGATATTCATCTTGCTTGCGCCTATCTGTAAGACTTTTTCAAGTTCGCATAGACCAGAAGATTAATAATGGACCAGGGGTGAACGCCTTTGCATACATGACCTTGGGCCGCATGATCTACTTCTTTCATCCCTCGCGCTCTCTCCTCCGCATTCCCGCCGCAACATTCGCCGCGATCTTCGTCGCACTTGACATCGTATCATTCGCTGTTCAACTCACTGGAGGCAGCATGGCCGGCCCGGGAGCGCCACCCGCGGAACAGATGAAGGCGATTCACATCTACATGGGCGGCATCGGACTCCAGGAGTTCTTCATCCTCATCTTCGTCGCCCTGGCAATGAAGTTTCAGGTCGAGATGCAAAGCCTGGACAAGCTTTCTGGGAAGCAATCCCGCTCCTGGAGGCCTCTGATATGGGCACTTTACTTTTCCCTCGCCATGATCTCAGTTCGAATCGTCTATCGCCTGATCGAGTTTTCTTCGGGCCATGGGATTGACAATGTCTTGATTACACACGAGGCTTACTTTTACGTTTTGGAAGCTTTGCCGATGCTTCTTGCCATTGCGGTCTTCAATATGGTACATCCGGCGATGATAATCAATGGTGGAGGATCGGACATGCCCGGGCTTTTGGCAACCATGAAGCATGGACTCTCTAGGAGAGAGGGAAGGATTCCACTGGGACAGGATCCGGAGGGACACGAGCTTACTCGGAGAAGCCCTAGTCCATGAGACGACAGTGAAGCAAGCGGTCGGGCAAAGAAACAGTAATCAACCAGGGAGATCTCGAGGATGGGCTTTAGGAGTCTAGGCGTTGACGTTCGAAGCGAGCACCAATGAGTCAGGCTGCATTCACATTGCGGCGTCGGTTCGTTGTGGCTAGGAGCTTGGTAAATGGTGTAGATCGGGACACGTCACTGTGGCAGTGCACGCACAAAGTAAATCAGATCAGGCTTCGGGAGGGGTGCTCTTCAGTGTTTCAGCGGTGGCTCTGAATGCCAAAGAGAATCGATAAATATATTCGGAACATGAAGCACTTCTGAGCTTAGTTGCCTCTTTCTTCGCTTCACCCCAAGCCGTCGAGTCTGTAAAGAAACTCTACAGGAGAACAGTGCCACAGAGAACCTGGACAGAAACCCACTCGGTCACGGACACGGTCAACTCAGTGGCTCAGCTATCATAATGCCTTTCAAAGATTCGAGTCCGCCACAGCGGCTTTTTGTCCAGATGTCAGGAGCCCCGGGCGCAGGCAAAAGCACCACAGCGAATCTCCTAGTCCAGCCTTTTGATGCCGTCATCCTCGATCTTGACGTTATCAAGTCCTCTCTCCTCGACAATGGGGTTCCATTTGAGCAGGCCGCAAAGCTAGCTTACTCGACGCTCTGGGCGCTCGCCGGCAGCATGCTCAAACAAGGCCGCAACCTCATTGTGGACTGCACCTGCAATTATGAAGAAGTCATCACTTGTGGAACGGCCTTGGCGAAAGCGGCTAACTTTGAGTACTGGTACATCGAGTGCAGACCTCAAGTTGACATTGATGTGCTGGACCAAAGGTTGCAGACGAGAGTAGCGATGAGAAGCCAGCGCACGGGGGTACGCAGTCCTCCTGTTGACACTCCTGTTGACAATGATATATCCCGAGGATACGAGGAACAGGAGGCCTTGTTTCGAAGGTGGATCGGAAACCCGTATAGACCCGATAAGAATGTGATTGTCGTCGATACATCGAAAGACCCAGATGAGTGCCGAGAGCAGGTCTTGAGCGCAATCGAAGTATGACCAGACCCAAGGAGTCGGGGAGAACCAGGGTGGACTTAGATTTTAGGTGACAGGAAGCTGACCCTAGCGAGTGGACAAGATTAGTTGCAAATTCAGGTTGGATGAATCCTTGCTCCATTTACTTATGTCCAATGGGTGGACCGACAGCACTATGAAATCCCTCCCATGAAGTCTAGTCCATCCATACCAGTCAAACCCATCAAGTACATCTGGTCATCATTCCAGGCAAAAGATGGCAGCCAGGCTTCTTCACCTGTAGGCAAAGGCATCAATGTGCTATCATCAGCTGCCACTCCCTCCTCCGCTGATATACCGAACCCCGAGGCTGACATCTCTTGTAATTGAAGAGCTGCCGCTTCCTCCCACGGAGAAGAGAGCATGATGTCTGGTGATATCAATGGGCCGTGAGCGGGAGCCGGTGGCTGTCCCGACTGCTCTATCTCAATATCAGATTCGTCGTCCGAAGGACTCCCCACAACCTCGGCGTTTGCCAACCATTCCGCCCATCGCCCGTAGCCCTCAGCTTGTCCTGACAAAGAATCTGGGGCCTGACTCATCTCCCTTCTTCGAGCCATGACCAGCTTAGACCTAGCTTCATTCGTGATGGACTGCAGGGCCTCGACGAAGCGGACTCCCATCTTTGCTGTCGTGTTGCCGAAGCTCGACATCTTGCGGAGACAGTCAATACCGAAAGCCACCCGTCCGTCGTACCCAGAATCGCGGTCCAAGATTCCGGCCAGTAAGACGATAATGGTCGCAATGCTGCATCCTTGAAAGTCTGTGAAGGAGAATCGCGCCATATTGCCGCCGCGACATAGCCCTTCAAAAAGCTCTAGCATCTTCTTGGCTGCTTTGATGCATGCTTCTGAAGAATGCTCCACGTCTCTAGGCACATCGGATTGACCAGTGCTAGAGTGGAAGATTGTCTGTAGACGAGCTCGGACAACAGTCACGACGGAGACCTTGCCCATGTCTATCCAGGCGAAGTAGTAGTTCAGATGCAAGTGGAAGACAGCGCGATAGCTAGATGACTTTGGATCGACATTCTGCAGCTTGAGTGATGACGGGAGCCCCTTCTTCCAGGCCTTGAGGGATATCTGGGCGTCCGTTGGACGTCTTGAAGCTCCTGGGCGTGAGTGGTTGGTGTTTGACCATGCTCTGTTGGGCGCATTAGCCTTCGGCATTGTTTGGGGTTACTCAGATGAACTGACCCTGGCTCCGATAGCTTATCAATGATTCTGACGAAAGCTGCATTTGCTATTTGATGCTGTACGTTGTCAAACTTCTGAGACGCGTCCCGTGAAGTTGGCTTCGGCAGACACGCTGTGATGATCTCCTGGTCCACTGATCGCGGACGATTGAGCTTGATGGTGAACGTTCTGTCGCTGTTAGCGCACTCCTCGAGGCATGATACCGTAGAAGAAGACATACCTTTCAAGAGAGTAAATCGACCACCAGAGCCTCCGTCTGGTCTCCTTCTCGTCCTCAGTTAAAGAGGGGTCGTCAGGTTCTTGTTGAAGCCCAATAGCCAGAGCCTTCCGCAGTGCTAATCCCATGTACACATAGGAGGCACTGATTGCGCTAGCCGGCATCAGGTAGACGCCCAAGATGAAAGTCGCTTGAACTGACTTGATGCAAGGCCTGTCTAGTAAATCAGAGATCAAAATGCGAGCCTGGTTGTAGAAGATCCGACCGGGATCAACGCTCCGATCCTCCGTCGAGGATGCACTGCTCAGGTCTTCTGGTCTCGCCAGCGCTGTCCACTGGCTCCCCAGCGCGAACACCGCCAAGAGAAGACAAACAAAGCCGGCATCTTCTCTCAAAAGCGACCGCTCGTCATTGTACAGTTGATCAAGCTCAGCCATAAAGTGGCTCTGGTCAAGATAGAAGAAAATGTCGGTCCCGTAGGCGATGCAGACTGACACCAGGAAGTCGGCAACACCGCGCGGGGGGAAGCTTTTCACTGCCCTCTTGATGCGTCGAAGCTCGGCAGGGTCAGCCGGAGGTGTATCTGAGATTCGAGGCTGCAGTCTTGCTAGGTCCTGGTCTCCGGATGGCGGCTGTGAGTCGAGACAAAAGGCATCCCGTAGGCGAGATAGGAAGCGCGGCCACATGAAGGCTTCCGAGGGCGCACTGTCTGCGGGAGAGAAGTTGTCGTTCATGCTTTGACCCAAAGGTGTGTTGAGAGTAAAAGAGGCATCGTTTTCCATTTGATTCGAGTCTCGCTCTGCGTTGCCGGTAGATCTTAATCCCACGGTCCTCGAAGTCGCTGTCGAAGCTGAGGCCTCATTCTCTTCACCAGCTGGACTACGCTCTCGTTCGAATCGACATGGATGAGATCCCTCAGTGCATCGTACACATACCCCAGAAGAAGTCTCGATACACTTGTTCTTACGTGCCTTGCATCGGTCACACGCCCGGGGCGCCCGCTTTCGAACTGCATCCGGGACTCTACGGCGGCGGCGGCGGCGCTCTGCGGGAGACTCCATTGGCGGAAGTGTCGCTTTCATATGACGAACATAGAATCGTCATGATGGATCAGAGTGTATCTTGTCTCCGAGACTTGTATAACTCTGGATGAGCGTTCAATGTTGGGAGGAAGTTGGTGAGGAAGAAAGACAGATGTCTGAAGCAAGACAGTTCTTGGGGTCTCTCCGCATTTCGGACGCTTTGCCGATAAGAACAAACCCCACTGTGGCGGCAGGGATCACGCGTCGAGGTGAAGCTGTTCCGCGAGGTGAAAGAAAGATAATGTTCACCTCACCTCACCTTGTTCACGACAGTATCATTGTTGCTTCCAGCCCCGTCCCGTCTCGTCGGGGAAGAGTTCCGACTTTGCATGTCACTGGCTCCTGTCACGAAGCCTATCAGTCACGCGTCAGGGCACAAGGTCCATGGACTCTATGAGGTTACCCCAACGCGTCGCTGACTCTGGCATGCTTAGCTCATTGTCGGCCACGGTTTCCATTCACCTTTTACCTTATTGCACGGTTTATTCATTTCCGCGGTTCTATAAGCTGCTGCTTTTCTCATGAATATCCTCAAATATCCTAACTTCCAAACAGATCTCACAACGCCGGCTTGATTCTGACGGGTACTGTGGCATCCTCGACCAGACCGCTCCATCTGCTCTTATATATCCTGCCTTCCTTCAAGACACCAAAGACGTGTGCCTCGGGGTCATCAAAGATGGACACATTCTCCACAGGGTTGGCGTCTGTGATGAGAAGATCTGCCTCGAAGCCCTCCTTAATCTGACCCAGCGAATCCTCTCTGCCAGCCATCTTTGCGGCATTGAGTGTCGCGCTCTGCAGCACAGCCAGTGATGGAACAGCTCTGCTTCTCAACGAGAACTCGAATGATTGCGCTGCCCCAAGCGGCCCAAGAAGGTCTGTACCGAAGCAGATGGTCACACCGGCGTCGTACGCAGTCTTGAGTGCCACCAACCCGGCGTTGAGCACCTCCACGTTCTTCGACATGGATTCAGGCGGCAAATAGCCCTTCCACTTTGGCGACGCCATCTGAGCGTATGTGATGAGGGTGGGAGTAAGATAGACGCCCTTCTCCGCCATGAGCTTCGCCGTGGGAGCATCGACAAAGTTGCCGTGCTCAATTCCCCGCACACCATTATCGATACAATGCCTGATGGCTTTCGTTGTGTATGCATGGGCTGTGACGTAGGTGCCCGCGTTCGAGGCGCATTCGACCATGGCTCGGATCTCGGCGCCGGTAAATTGGAGATGGTCGATTCTGTCGGTTGGTGTCGAGACACCGCCGGAGCCCATGATCTTGATGAAGTCTGCTCCGCCGCGGATTTCTTCTCGGACGGCGGTCATGCACTCTGGCACGCCGTTGCATAGCCTTCCGAGCCCATTTGTTGACCCGCCGCAGCACTCGGAGTGATCGTGTACTCCACGGATGTCTCCATGGCCGCCTGCCTGCGACAAGGCATGTCCCGCGATGAACAGCCTTGGGCCAGGGAAGACACCGTCGTTTATGGCTTCCTTCAATGCCTGCTGCGCACCACCACAGTCGCGCACACTTGTGAACCCGCGGTGCAGCATCTGTGCGGCAACGTATGGTTGGCGAAGGAGCGAGACATCGTTGGCGTTGCCGAATGCTTTAGAAAGGTCGCCGAATCCAGGGACCGCGACGAAGTGGACGTGTGAGTCGATGAGGCCTGGGCAGATGAACTTGCCGGAGCAGTCAACCACCTCGAAGCCTTGTTCTATAGCGGTCTTGATTGCTGAGTCTGTCGAGTCGGTGATAGTGTCTATGTAGCCATCTTTGAGCTGAATCGCTGCATTGGGGCGCAGGCTACCGTCTGTCACGTCGACGATGGTGGCGTTGGTGAGGATGTATCGTCGGACGGGGCTACGGAGCCAGGGCTTCAAGTCGGCTTCGGTGACCATGGTGAGTGATGGATGACTTCTGAGAGATTAGGTTGTCCACGCCAAGCTTGAAATGGAGGCGGAGGTGAGGGGAAAGTCAGAAAAAGGAGCGAAGAGTTTACAAATGCTGAAATGCCGTGTCTGCAATTCGGATGTCTGCTCACTCTATTCCAATTATGTTTATTTATCCGATTGGCTTCACCTCACGGCACTTCGTCATACTGCAATTATCAACCACTTACATTTGACATTGCTGGACTTATCGGTAGTGTGGTAGTTTATCATCGGAAACCTGGTTAGCATGAAGCCATGTTGCCGATACCCGCGTCGGGTATCTGTCACGAGCCTCCTCTGTTGTCGGCAACATGGCTCGCCCCACCTCCGGTATCACCGCTATCTTCACTAGTCACATCCAATCGAAGGGATTTCTGGAGAATGTCCTGATATGCATCTCTTAGTGCGGGGGATGGAAACATAACCCCGGGTCGACAGATGACATGCCATGCGACATGTGGAGACGACGAACTCGTGGATCTTAAAAACGGCACTTCTGCCGTTCTCCGAGAGGGTGGGATTTCGACGTGTTTTTCTGGGAAGAGAGGCAGTTGACAAAGGCTGTTTTGACTTTGAAATCAGACATTTCAAACGAGCACTGGCAACAATGGCTTCGTCCGGCGACGCCAAGATCGATGCGATGACCAAGCAGCAAGGAGGCGACGTCCCTTCGGAAGGAATGGAGGAGAAGACAGGACAGATTGTTGATCTTGCGGATGGCTATACCCCTGAAGAGGAAAAGGAAGTTCTCCGCAAGATCGACCTGGCCATCCTGCCCATGGTGCGGAACTAAATTTAGTAACTACAACTATTGGACAACTCGACTAATTTGCTTCTCCAGATGTGCTTCGTCTTTTTTCTGCAATACTTGGACAAGCAAAGCCTTAGTTACGCCAGTGTAAGTTGCCCGTCTTCTGGGCAAATCAGTTGTTGCCCCGACTTCAAGTTACTGACGACATGATCCCAGGTGTTCGGCCTCATCACCGATCTAAACCTGACGAGCACGCAATACTCGTGGTGTTCATCTATCTTCTACGTCGGTTAGTACATCTGCAATCATCTCCAAGCTTCTCAGTATCTAATTATCACGGAACAGGCCAGCTAGTATCGGAATATCCCTTCATCTACTTGATGAGCAGATTCCACCTGACCAAGTTTGTCGGAGTCACCGTGTAAGTCTACTCCTTTCTGTGATGCTTTTCCCTCATTGCTAGATACAACTGCTGACATCCCTCTTCACAGTGTCATATGGGGCATCATCTGTATGTGTCTTGCAGCCCCGCACAACTACGCCGGCTTCGCTGCCGTTCGATTTCTACTTGGCTTCGCCGAAGGAGCTGTCTCTCCCGCCTTTATCACAATCACAAGTATCTGGTACCGAAGCAACGAGCATGCCCTCCGAACAGCGTAAGACTGGCCAACGCCGACATATATATCATGTTACTGACCACAGACAGGCTCTGGATCACCATGAATGGCGTCGCTCAGATCTGCGGTTCCCTTCTGATGTACGGCATCGCCAAGAACACCCACGCCCTCGCCCCATGGAGAGTGTTGTTCCTCGTCTGCGGCGCGATTACATCTTTCGCCGGCGTTCTCTTTTACCTCTTCATGCCCAATGGCCCCAAAGATGCGTGGTTCTTGAACGAGCGCCAAAAACAAGTCTTGTCTATGCGCATGGCCAAGGACCGTGAAGGCGGAGACAAGACCTCCTTCTCTATGACGCAGCTCAAGGAGGCTGTCTTTGACATTAGAACCTGGTTCGTGTTCTGGTTTGGCGTCTTGGTTACCATGCAGTCTCCAGTTCTTACGGTTCGTCTCCCATACATCTCGACCTTGTGATCATAACTGACTGTGTCTAGTTTGCTTCCCTTGTCATCAACAGCATTGGCTACGACAAGTACCAGACCATGCTCTACACTGCCCCATCTGGTACGTCTTTTGATCACAATGATTGAGTTTCATGTCTAATATGTTTGTAGGCGCCGTTCAGATTGGAATGTTGTGGATTGGTGTCTGCGGCTGCATGCTCTTCCCTAAGCAACGAAGTCTGGTGGCTCTTGTTCTCATTCTCCCACCGCTCGTTGGCAATGTACTCCTTATGAAACTGTCCACCGAAGCCGGATGGGGTATGATTGCTGCATCTTGGATCGTAAGTCAAACATCCTCAACACCGTGTCGAGACATCTTATTAACCTTGCATAGGCATCGTGCATCACTGCCGTATGGTCTATCCTCCTCTCCCTCACAGCATCGAACGTCAAGGGAAACACAAAACGCGCCATCGTCAACGCAATGTTCTTTGTCGGGTACTGCGCTGGATGTATCGGCGCACCTCAGCTCTGGACCAAGAAGCCGCGCTACTTCAACGGCGTTGTCACAGCGATCGTCACATGGTGCTTGTTGTTTGTCGAGATTGTCGTGTACAGATATCTTTGCGCAAAGGACAACAAAAAGAGAGATGCTGCTCAATCTGATGGCCAGAATATCCAGAGCCAGGATGAGGTTGTCTTGGATGCAGGTGGTGCTCCTGAGAGCGACCTAACAGATAAACAGGACAAGCTCTTCAGATACAGTATCTGATGGCGCGACGGCATAAGGAAATTAAGTAGACACAAAGGTGATCCGGCAAGATTGGTCTTGGGAGAATGTCGCTAGTTCGCTGATTCATGGTCCTGTAGTAAAGCAAATGTTTAATCCCTATTCAATGGTTGATCATTGTTCAATGATCACAAAGCCCTATGAAGTACTCTATCCTACAACACCGCTAGGCGGAAATTGAACATGAGTTCCATATGACTCGATTCTAAAAGAAATTGGAGGCCATATGTACATTCAAATGAATAGGAGCATGAACCCTGGAATTTTTACCCGAACCTATGGAACTCGGGATCCTTTATTGGTGTTACAGGAACCACGACTGGCGTGGTGTATAGGTCACTCTAGATATGCTTCCGCGCATGTCTGCTGTACTCTCTGCGCAGCTTTGGACCGGCCTATGCCTGGAATCAGCGATATTGCAAACCATTCAGCAGACTTTTGGAAACTGACCTTATATAATGTGATAGGGGTAGGAATGAACAGAATCGACAAGAATCCCAGAAGCGAACTTGCCCAGGCAACCCCTAACTTGGTATACATGGCGTTTGCGAACAACGGGAACCCCGCACCAAAGGCGCTTCTGAAGAGATCATTGCCGGCAAGGACCGAGGCTGCAACGTTCGGATATGCGTCTGGTAAGTAGTTTAGGACCGAGTTGAACAACAGGAATGACCCGATGCTGAACCACGGTGAGCCGATGATAGGCATAATCCAGTGGACATCTAGTCTTGCTGACCAGCCGAACCAAAAGAGGCAGATGGAGATGGCAAAACCGCCGATGAATGCAGGAGGGAGACGTTTCTCTGGCTGGATTTCTCCCTTCTCGTCGAATTGTGGTTCGAGATATTTGTGCAAATACCAGAAGAACGGCGGAATTACAATCAAGGCACCTACTAAGATGCCCATGAAAGCGACTCCTTGAAGTGAAAGACTGAACCCATAGATACCGGTGAAAACAATAGGGAGTGATTCGGACCAGATGTAGAGCAGCCCATAGATCAGGGCGATGTACAGGCTCAGAAGGAAGACCATGGGTTCGGTGAAGTTCAATGTGAACGGCCGAACCAACGACATCATCATGATGTCCCTCGGAGTCATCTCCTCTGCTATCAACTCAGACTCACTCACGAGCTTGTTGTTTCCCGTGAGCTTCCGAAGACGTTTCACTCGCCGATAGAGGATGTTGTTGGCACTTGTTTCGGGAAGGCAGAAGAACAGAAGAACGAACGCGAACCCGCTCAACCACATCAGCTCCTAAATGAGCCAGGTCCATCCTTTTGCCATCGCTGCGAACCCTCTGATTACGAGAGCTAGTGTGGGAGAACAAACTGCCGCGACGCCCCAGATTCCTATGGCGTAAGCTCTTTTCTTCGGTGACCAGATATCTGCCAGAGTAGCGCCTCCGGTCGCTAGGACAGGCGAGCCGAAGAATCCCGTGAGGAATCGGAAAGCCAGTAGCATGCCGAAGTTCACTGCTAGTGCGGTGGGAATCTGAAGGAGGACAAAAAGGAGGAGGGTGCTGATGTATATCGGGTTGCGACCGATCTGAGGGATTTCGGATAAGGGGCTCCAGATCATCTACGATTCTCGTCAGAGTGTGCGAAGAAAAGAATTGAACAGGGCAATCATACCGGACCCAGGCCATAGCCTGCCACGAAAAGCGTGAGGCCAAGTAGAGCAGCGACTTGGCTGACGCCGAATACTTGTATTACGTCCAGCACACCAGCATTGTAGATGGCCGAGCCGACATAGACGCTGACGGTAAGCAGACATATTTGGAAAGTCACAAAGACCTTCTTCATCAAAGACCAATTTTGAGGATTCTAAGTCAAGTTAGCTGAGATGCAGCTTTTCGATATTGCTGTTGGGGGAGCTCACCTCAGGGTCGTTGGGTAGAAAAGCAACAAGATGGATATTCTTACCCTTCTCAGGATCAATCCTTGTCCCACTCAATTTATTGTTCTCCTCATCTCCCAGTACTCTAGTTCGCGCAGAATAAATGCTGGTGCCTCTTCTCCAAAACTTGGCGTCTTCATTGTTGGTCTCGTCGAATTCCTTGTCGGGTGGCTCTACTTGGCCGTAGCGTACGACGTTGACAGTCTTATCCGCGTCGACATATTCGCGCCATACTTCAGAATATCGGTTTTCGTAGTATTGAAATTGTCGGAGTTTTCTTTTCGTCACAAACCGGACAACGTGTCCGAACGCTGTATCTCGTAGTAGCTCCATGGTCTGTTACTTCAATGTAACTAGTTCCCGTGCTGGAGCTCACGGTGTTAGGTACAAAACCTCGCCATCTTTTTGAATCCCCTAGTTTTCTCGAGATCAAAGTCGTCATCAACAGTCAGCGGTGTGTTACGGACAAGTAGACCACCTTAATTGTCAGGTGGAGAGGTGCAATGCTCCGTGCTGGTTAGGAAGATTTGGCTCATATTGGGATGAAGTGGCGTTGAAAGTCCGTGCTAGTATTACTTGAAATGATGAAAGAGTCTCAATTCTATGATGGCAAGACGTTTCGCGGATTGCCTTTTCTCCTGGTGTCAATTCAAACGAATCTAGCGCGACGTTGCTAGATCTAGGCTCGCCTGGCAGAAGTGTGGGAGACATCGATGACATCAAGCACAGATCCGATCCATAAGTCGAGATTCCCGAGCATTTCGCTTATGTTGCTGGCGCCTGAAAATTATGGCTGCCGTATCGAGAGAAACATTGAATGATGGTAGCAATCCGCGGAGAACGGCGACTGGGCGGAGGCAGAAATCCCCATAGAACCCAACAGCGCGGATGACGACGCGGAGACGCGACACGTGAGTTCACGGCCAAGAACTACAGGTGTTGTTCGTCCAAGTGCTGCCACAACATCCGCCTGATTGCATTTGTGAGTCTGCCGAGTCCGTATAGGGTTTGGAAATCTGCTCAACTCTGCCGCCCGGATTGGGAAACCAGCCATCATGTTTTGCGGCTGGAAGATGATCAGTAAGAAATACGCCGCTCATGTTGCCATTTGGGAGATAGGAGCAAAGAGAATGGAAGGTGTACGATGAAGCACTTGAGTTCTTATGCTAGACCTAGCAATTTCCATCACCTTCATCTCAGGGAAGATCAGGTAGAGCAGCTTACCTAGGTAGAACGAGCAGGTTGTCATTAGGGCCGCCTTATTTCTGCTTCACTGTCAGTTGAGATCAATTTCAACGTCACCAGCTTCTAAGAGAAACCGAACTAAAAGTCTTAGACGTTTAACACGACAGCGTAGGCAATGGGAGCGACCTCTGAGATACAATGACGAATCGAACGAGTCAGAACACGTGAGCTATCTTCTCTAGAGGAGACTTGAGCGTGATGTCCAGCTGATTCTGAGTCTGAGCAGCCTGTGTTCAGAACGCTCCTAGGTTTGCTCGAGGGTGCTGTACATAGTCGATCTCTTCCTTTGATGCCCTTATCAAGTCAGAGATGACTCTCTGATTGATGACGACATCGTTGAGTCCGCATTTCCCTTTGATACTCCGCTGGCCCTGTGGACCACGTCGGTCATAACCTGACTCCAGTTGAGACAAAGACCCATCGAGGACGACAAGGTGGCATTCTCATTACACTTCTATGTGCTTCACACATTGATCTGAATCACAATTTATCATGACTTTCATTGGACGGAAGTAATCTGACTCCTTTCGTACTTTAACCCCTCGCCTTGATTACATCTCGTGAAGCCTTCAGTCCAAACAATGTACAGACAAGCCCAGCCACATCGTCCTGTTATTCCTCCATCCATTCAAACGAGTTCTTCGACGCTCCATCTTGTTTTCAGATGAGCCCTAGTACTGCGAGCCATCCGATGTGAAAATATCGTTGGCCAGGTATCGGTAGGTAGAAGGTAGTTCCAGCGGCCTGGCAGCAGTGATGTTTCAGGGCGCGTCCACATTGCGGATGCGGGCTCTGGCCTGTTCGAGATTGAGGCGTGGAAATAGGGTTGGGTAGTGCGCTTTGCGGATGTGACGGCGAATTTCATCACAACGGCTTCTCTTCATCTGGCAATAGCGACACACAAGAGTGCCGCCGTAGTCTTTCTCATTCTGGGGCTTCTTTGGACGAGGCGCCTTTGCCTTGGGAGGAAGGGATCGAGCTGGACGGAGCTTGGGCGTCTTGCCCGCCGGCTTCTGTGTAATATTGGCCATCTGAATCAAAAGGTATTAGTTGGAACTCATGCATGCTAAGATCAATGCCTTCACGAGACAAAAGACTAGAGGACGAAGGCTAACCTTTGTTGTTTGGTGGTTTGGAATGGTGTTAAATGGTATGCCTGGACAAGGAGGGATTGTCTGAAGCTTTGTTTTGTTTCTGTTTCCACCTCCTTCTTGGGGCTGAATGGGAAAGGCAATAACACATAAGACTGAAGCTATGGAAAGTACGAGATGTGGGGCCTAGGGTTGAAAGTGAGTATTCTAGTCTCACGATGGAATATAAAACTCTCTCCTAACCGCCTGACCCACGCGCTCCAGGCTTAGCTCTGTTTTCTATCTTTATTGATTAAAGTCCAGATTCACCTCGGCCTCAGCCTTTCCCCCTTCATCTATCAGCACTCGTCCCTCCTTTCCCTCCCATTTATTGGACTGTTGGAGCCCAACCTTCCGAAGCTTCTCTCATCATTACATTGATCTGGGCCTCGTTTTCAGTCTCATTGTCTGACTTAATCCACAAATCACAACGTCCGATCGTGAGATCTGATGTCTCTATAGCCCGTCAATTTTTGTACCGACGTCCACTGATTCATTAAAGAATACACAAGGACGATGGAGACGACAGTCAAAGACGCATAATACCGAATCTCGACAACGCGAAAGCTCCGCCTCACTTCGAGAGGGAAGGAGACTACCACCGTCTAATTGTTGACGGAAAACCCTTTCTCATATTTGGAGGAGAGGTTATCCCCTCAACTTCCTCATCCGCTGCCTACATGGCTCGCAAGTGGCAAGGCATCAAAGCTCTCGGTGTAAACACTGTCCTACTAGCCGTCACTTGGGAGGTCTTCGAGCCGAAAGAAGGCCAGTTCAAAAGAGACTTGGTCGCAAGTCTGGTTGCCCAAGCTCGCGAGACGGACATTCGAGTCATACTCTCTCGGTTTGGCTCTATGAAGGGCAGTGTTAATAACGGCAAGTCTTTTCATCCTCCTGTACATTTGTCTTTTCGATCGAAACGTCTTCTTTCCGCGAGCTCTTATGCTTCTCAACAGGCCAATAGGCTGGTTCTTCTGCCATATTTTCAACCATGTCTCAGTTTTTTCCGACTTCTCATCAGGTCCCTGTCGGTTCGGATTTGCTCTTGAGATCTCTACAGGACAAGGACTAACTGATGTGACTTCTGATAGATCTGTCAAGCTATAAGCTACATTGGATCAAGACTGACCCTGCGCGCTTTACCAAGATGAGGGTCGCCAAGTGCCAATTGGTCGATGAGAAGTACGACGATGACGAGTATGCCAGTTGTGACGGGGGCAAAAATAACGACAGAGATAACGAGAATTCGGATGATGACACAGGCGCATGGGTCGCAGTACCTACGTCCGTTGTCTCGCTCTTTGGTCCATAGTTCATCGCAGCAGAGAAAGCGGCATTTGCAGAATTCGAACAGCAGATCGAAGCTGCCGATGCTGGCTATGATACCATCCTGATGTTGCAAATTGGCAGCGAGATTGCCTACTTGAACTGGTCCAGGGACATTTGTGACGCAGCATTAGCTGCGTTTGACAATGGCATTCCAGCTGACTACTTGGAATTCCTCGTTCGGTCCGGCTCAGTCCTTTCCGTGGCTGATGTTCATGCCTGGGAAGAGTTCGCCAATGGTCCTGAAGGCACGGATGAGCTTTTCACGACATATCACATCGCCAGCCACATCAACTCCCTGGCAAAGATTGCTAAAGAAACTTACTCTGTTCCAGTCATCGTCAATGTTGCTCTTGAACAGGCACAAGGCAGGAAGCACGGTGGCCCTCGGTCTGAGACCTTGCACCTTTGGAAGCCCTTTGCGCCCTACATTCATATTTATGCACCGCAAATGTTTCATGACGACTACAGCAAGATTTGTGAGACCAGGGGCTCTGGTGCCAACCAAGCTCTCTAGTGCAGGCTCATGGTCAATGCGATGATAACATCCGCTTGCTTTGGTCTGCATTTGGTACTTATGCCGCGATTGTTGTTGTGTTGTTGAACATCGAAGATTCGGGGACACGGAGCCTTGAATCCCAGATTCTTCAGCACACCACCTTCCTTCGCCAAGCCGTCCCCTTCCTCTTAGATGCTCAGGATCAAGGTCAACCGCAGATCAGAATCGCTACACATATTTGGGAACTAAACAAGATGCATTTCACATCTGGAGAATTTTACATCACCATAAACATGAGGATCAATCGTTGCATGGGTTATGGTCTCGCTATCAGTCAGGGTAACAGCAAGCTCTTGCTCTTCGGCCAGAACATCGAGATCAAGGCCAAGTCTCGGAACGATGACGTGTTTTCTACCCGTATTCTCAGCTTTCGTGAGCTGGAGCTTGACGAGCAAGGGGTGCTGCAAATCCGAAGAACATTTAACGCCGATGAGGCCCGCGGCCCGAAGGTTGCCAGAATACGTTGTCAGACCTCAATGATTGCGGAGGTTCAGTTTCATGGTATCAATAATTGACACTTGAGGTGGCAGGATGGGAAATGAAGGAGAATTTCTACGGAGCCGTGGATGGCACTGTCCTGTATCATAGGAGCCACGACGATGCATTCATATTGGTTAGCTAAGAACTAGAGGCGTTGGATGCCTCAGATAGGCTGGTAATTCCGAACAACATATCTGTGTCGAACCAGAACGACTCAACCTTGCCATGGCGGTTCACTTGAGAACGGAAGCAATAAACCAGCCGGACTTTGAGCCTTAATTGGTGAGATGCGCTGTCTTCATGTACGTTCTACATCCGCGCTGCAGAAGATCCAGATATTTGATGCAACTAAGCGCCGCCAAGCTACGTTGGTGCCAACATACAATAAACCTCAGAAACCCCGCTTTCTGTGATGGCATTATTTGAAGGCCTTCGGTGCCTCGTTGAGCTCCCCTCAGTAGTGTCAGGAAACAGTTGCAGCGCGTGCAGGTATCATCATGTCCAGCCCAATTGGTGAGGTCGAGGCACAACCCGTTCAGCCAGCTGCGGCATCTACGGCAAACGCCCCATCAGCATCAGCCGACATCGAAGTTGACAGCGAAGTAAGAGTGAGTAAGGGTTCTTAAAGTTGTATAGTCATCTGACTTAACTGATGCGTTTTTCATGAACAGAACGATGCCTCGACCATGGATGATCGCATGTGAGTCCAGCTCCTAGCCTCAAGTCGGCAACTAGAGGTTTGGCCCAGGACTAATATAGTCCCAAACCAGGTCTTCGTATACTGCCTCTCTATCTTCATCGGTGGTAGACTATCCGACTGAATATGGTCGAACGTATCACGCATTTCGAGCTGGCTGTGAGTAGCAGTAGTTGGCTCTTGTCGTCCCCATCGCATGTGCGAGCGACATAGCTAATAGCGACATGCACAGCCTACAACTTTCCAAATGACGAGGTAGAGTTTCGAAACAAATATTGACTAAAGTAAATGTCACTGATTGCGATTTTATTTGGTAGAGAGAGTCGGACAGACTGGATTTGACGCATACTGTAATGGTCAAGACCATCGGCAACAAGCTCTTCCTTGCACCCATCGACGAAGCTAAAACGCATCGCATACTAGACATAGGCACCGGAACCGGTATCTGTATGCGTCTGTGTGACCACAATCTTCGTAAATGAGACTGATGATGTCAACGTAGGGGCAATCGAGGTGGGGGATTTCTTCCCCAATGCCGAGGTAACCGGAATTGACTTGAGTCCCATTCAGCCACCTTGGGTACCTCCAAATGTCAAGTTTGAGGTCGACGACGTCGAAAGCCCCTGGGTAGGCAACAAGAAGTACAACTTCATCTTCAGCCGCTACATGGCAGGCTCCATCGCGGATTGGCAGCTGTACATCAGCCGAATCTTTGAGTGAGCGGCCCTCAGTTGCCTACATGTAGGCTTGGATGATAAAAAGTAACAATGAGCCTATCCAGGAACCTGACTCCTGGCGGATGGGCGGAGTTCCAAGACTGGAGTTTGATGCTCGACTCAGACGACGGGTCCCTCAACAATACCCAGACACATCGATGGGCCACCCTATTCATGGAAGCCTGTGCGAACCTCGGCCGAGACGGGGCACCGGGGCCGAGTTTGAACTCATGGGTGAAAGACCAAGGCTTTCAAAACGTCGAGCATCGACACTACAAGATTCCTATTGGGCCTTGGGCAAAGGATGCTTCGCTTTAGGACATTGGCATGTGCAACCTGATTCAGATGCTCGAAGGGCTTGACGCATTCACCCTAAAGCTCTTCTGCACCGCACTGGATTGGACTAGGGAGGGGGCGCTCGTGTTGCTCTCACAGGTCCGTCAGGAGATGAAAGCCTGCAAGTCGCACGTCTACCTGCACTTGTAAGTCCGATTTGAACTCTTCCTTTCTTACTAGAGGAAGGGCTGAATGCTGACCAATATTCTAGCCATATGGTCTATGGGCAGAAGCCTGAGCCAGAGGTCTGAGGGCAGGTCGCTTAGGGATTTGTTAGGATAGCATTTATCTCCGAGAATAAAGAGTCGTTGTTCCGTTCTCTGTTTGATTCAAGAATCCTATATGTTGCTCAGCTGGCAGCCACATTGATGCAAGAGACATGTGTCATCGGCATAACAACTTGCCGGCAATGCCAATCGCGTCTGGATCCTGCTGTCCGTTTGCCTGCCATCATTTTCGATGTGAATGATGCTAAGCCCGGTGGAGATGCAGGCCCTGTCAAACTCAGCGAAGTGTTCCAAGCGAGAACGTAAAGAGATGAACGTCATCTCCTACCATCAGAGTGACGAGATTATTGGCTTGGAAATCGGGTAGAATGTCTATATTTCCCCAAAAGAATCAGGCGTTCCCGTAAGTCCCTGGAGATCGGGAAAACGAGATGGCTAAATTGGGGCGGGTTTCTCCTCTTGGCATCTCTCACCCCGCAAAGTGGCAGCGTCGTATTTGATGATTTGAGGAAGCGGACGACAACCCCCCGAGAAGTTCCTGCAGATGGCTGACACTCTCCTCCCGCGCCAATGAGTCTGAAGTAATCCAAAAAGGTCAGGGGAGATGGCTTGAGAAATATTCCAGTATTAGTAGCTCAAAGGTTCCCGTGATAATCAATCAGATGCCCAAAGTCTGAACCAAGCTCCCATGTCCCCTGGCTACCTCCGCCAGTGCTTCTCCCACGATGGTGTCGACCCGTCTCCTGCTGCTCTCAGCAGCTTTCCTCTTCCTCACCTCGGCGGCAACCATCAAGAAATGCCGTGACGAAACCTTCCAAAACCCAGTCCTCTACGAAGACTACCCAGACAACGACATCTCCGTCGGTCCAGACGGCGCCTTCTACTTCTCCGCCTCCAACTTCCACTACAGCCCCGGTGCTCCCATCCTACGCTCCCTCGACCTCGTCAACTGGGAGCCCGTCGGGCACTCCATTCCCCGTCTCAACTTCGGCGACGGTTACGACCTCCCGCCCGGCGGGCCCCGCGCCTATCGAGGTGGCACATGGGCCTCGACGCTTCGGTACCGCGAGAGTGATGGGCTCTGGTACTGGATCGGGTGCACCAACTTCTGAGTCACCTGGGTCTTTACTGCCTCATCTGTCGAGGGGCCGTGGTATAACCGCGCCAACTTTGGTGGTGGGAATTGTATGTATGACAATGGGCTGCTGATTGACGATAATGATACAATGTATGTGGTCTACGGCAACGGCAAGGTCAGCGTGTCGCAGCTCGCTGCCGATGGACTTAGTGTTGTGAAGACGCAGCAGGTTCTACAGGCATCTGATGTCAATACCGAGACAGTGGAGGGTAATAGGATGTACAATATTAACGGGACGTACTACATCCTCAACGACCAGCCCGGATCCACGACATACATCTGGAAGTCGAGCAGTCCGTGGGGTCCCTACGAAGCCAAGATCCTGGGCCAGAATATCGCGCCACCGCTGGAGGGAGGGAACTCGCCTCACCAGGGAAGTCTCATTAAGACCGCGCAAGGGGACTGGTACTTCATGTCCTTCACTTGGGCGTATCCCGCGGGCCGCATGCCTGTGTTGGCGCCCATTGTCTGGGGCGCGGATGGCTTCCCCGAGATCGTGAAAGGAAGCAACGGCGGTTGGGCTCTTCTTACCCGCTCCCTCTTCCATCTCAACCCTTGTACAACTGGACGCGAACCTACACTTTTGGAAGCGAACTCGGTCCAACCTGGGAATGGAACCACAACCCCGACGTCGCGAGCTTCGAAATCAATAACGGCGTGACCCTCCGCACCGCCAGCGTCACTGAAGACATTTATTCTGCGAGAAAAACCCGCACCCACCGGATCCACGGAGAGTTTCCCAAGGGCACCGTTGAAATCGACTTTAGCAACATGGCCGACGGCGACAGGTTCGGGCTCGCGGCGTTCCGGGACCAGACTGCGTACATCGGCATCCACCGCAACGGCAGCGAGTACGCCCTCAAAGCGATCCAAGGCATCATCATCGACGAGTGGTCTGGCAATCCCGTCGATTCAGGCAAAGAGGTAGCTTCGGCGCCTGTGCCGAGCGGCGTTACCAAGGTGTGGTTCCGGGCTGAACTGGATGCGCGGCCGACAGGTACTAGGGACGCCGACTTTTTCTACAGTTTTGATGGCGTTGAGTTCACTAAACTTGGAGATATGTATGAGCTGTACTCTGGATGGGCGTTCTTCATTGCGTATCGTTTCGGAATTTTCAACTTTGCTACGACGCAGTTGGGAGGGTCGATCAAGGTTAACACATTTACTGCAGCTTGAGACAGCATTCAAAACCCTCATGGATGTTTGCCTCATTGAAATATGTTTCTAAACTAGTGCATAGCTAGTTTCAAGAATTCAGTTCTTAGAAGCCAGGGTCTAAATAGAATAGCTGCCATCCATTTAGACATACATCGAGATTTTCAGCTACTAACTTGATATATCTCGACAAGACCAATGCCAGAGAATGGAACCTCCAAGTACACCGTGCGGCAACTTCTGAGCAGATCCAAGAGCAACACAATGGTGAGGCGTGGAAACCTCTTCTTTTCGCTTGCAAAACAACGGCTTATCCAGGCCTACCTCAACTTGGCTGGTAACTCACCGAACCCCCGGATACTTCGGCACCCTCACCGGCTCAGGTGTGCGCAACGCCATGCTATCCCGAGAAGAAATGGGGTGGAATCGATCAGCACAATGACGCCCCCGAAACGGAAATCTTCTAGAAAAGCCTGAACTGAAGACGTCATCGCAACCCATCCCCTTGTTCCGCCGACTCCTACGGCCCTGATTCGCCAGAATGTTGAACAGCCTTCAAAAATTGCCACACTGGATCGACCCGTTGAAGAATATCCAGGTTATGTATCGATACCTGGCACGTTCTATCCAGGGACAAGCCCTGAGACCCTGGATCTACACATTTGAGACTACATCAGGCAGAAAACAAGGCTGTAGGATGCGGAAGGGACGTTTTACGCGTGAGTGGACTTTCATGCCGTAAGAATGAACAACTTCCTGACCGATTCCACTCCCCTCCCTCGAGTCGAGAGTCCGCATATGTGTGTGTGACCAAGTCACCGAGTGTCCCGAGCTCCTCACAGCAACATCAGGCTGGGCCACGAACAACCACACACGCAACCAAAAAAAAAATCAATCACGGCAAATCCACCGGACAAGTTCCGCTGACCGCGTTCCCCACCCCGTTCTGGACATGAAGGAGCGGTCGGCGTTTACTGGATACCCAAGGGCGGGGCCGGGTATGCAAAGGACGTTGGTTGAGTAAGAGTTCCAACATCGCCGCTGTTGGTTGCTGGGACCTTTACCCAAGGACTGTATGTATTTGAGGGACCGCGCGAGCCCACACCCAGGCAATGTTTCACCACACCCTTCCCATCCAATGCCGTTGCTCTCTCTCTCTCTCTCTTTCTCTCTCTCTCTCTCTAGAGATCAAAATTTCCCCGGAACTTCTCCCACCCTCACCTTTATTATATCCAAATTTGGCATAACAAAAGGAGGATCACCTCACTCCCCATCCTTTAAACCGCCTGTAATATCCCAGTCTGGTTTGGCTTGCCCCCGTGCCCCCATGGGGACGGGCGGGTGTGCAAGGCGGCCGGAATGGAGGTTCTTGGCAATCTGACAAGTTCAACGCTTCTCTAACGGGGGACCCAGAAAAACGACTCCATTGAAAAGAGAAAAAATACTGCAGTGAAAATCTCCTCCCGAAAAAGGGGGGGAATGGAAGCACGAAGGAGTACCAAGGGTAGTCCCTGCCCGCTTTGTACAGTCCAGTACAGTGTCGATTGTTTGGCTGGGCGTAAACTTCACAATGGTTTTTGTTGATCAGACGAAAGCTGGAGCATTGGGTTTTGGCCGGATGTACCTCGGCGATATGGTGTTTCAGCAATGCTCTACGTTTAGATGGCAAGGCTCGGCAGATTTGGGGTTAGCAACTGCGAATGGGCTCAACAGTTGGTGAAAATTCGAGCATGGGAACTTACCTGATGCTCAATTGACTGCGGTGGTTTTCCGAAATAGGTCACAATAGCAAGACAAAACGGTTGCAACTGAAAATTTGAATTTAAGCACTGGGGGTATCATTCCTATGTACATGACCGCCTTTATCTCTCTCTCTCTTTTTGATGGTATCCTTGCCCGATGCGCCATAATCCATAGGCGCCTCTTAGCAAAATGTTGCCAATGGGTTGCTCCCAATTCACTGTTTCCAAGTGTGACAGGAGGCTCATATGGATGCACATTGTTGCCAAGCGTATGTTGTCGATACTTTTAATTTTTTGACCCGAAGAAGCTGAAAAGCTCAAAAACATTTCGGCCTTTGATCATCAGACCTCGAGCTCAGTCGTGTAGAGAGCTTAGAAAGCAGGCTCCTCGTTGGTAGGGGGCCCGGCGTAGTTCTTCCTGCCCCAGGCAAAGTACCATCCGCCGGAAATGAGGCAGGCGGCGACGAAGACGGCAGGCGCGTAGTTGATGGTCGTGGGGGTGACGGGAACGAAGGTGGGCATGCAGAACAAGGGCATGGCAAGAGCAGACCAGGCTGTCAAAGAGTTAGTCTTGTACCTAATGATGAGATTTGTTTTGTAATGTGTACTTACCGAGAGAGATGACGTTGGCGGCGACACCAAACTTGCCAAGGTTGAAGGGGCTGCCGACAAGGTGGGTGCGGCCGTTGAAGAGACTGATACCAATGGGAATGGCGTACGAGGCAGTCAAACAAATGACACCAACACCAGAGAACGCGTTAAAAGCAGCGCTGGATCCGAAGTAGATGACACCGAGAATGATCTGGACAACCATGCTGAGCATCATGGCGTTCAGGGGAACGTCCAACTTGGGGTGGACCTCCTTCCACCAGCGGGAGCCAGGGATGGCACCGTCACGAGCAAAGGCCCAGGTGCAACGAGAGGCGGCGGTGGTGCAGCCGATACCGCAAAGGATGGCCAGGACAATGAGAGGAAAGAGGAGTCCAAAGGCACCGCCAGATGTTCCCATGGCGTCCTTGACAATGGCGGGGACGGGCTGACCGGAAGCCAGGTTGATCAAGTAGGTGATGTCGGGGAGCACGAAAACGAGAGGGATGAGGAACAGGAGACCGGCCAGGGTGTTGAGGCAGACGGTGAGGACGAGAGCCTTGGGGACCTGAGTAGCGGGCTTCTTGACCTCCTCGCACATGGAGATGACCATACCAGTGGACGAAGTGGCATATCCGGCGTGAAGGAGGCCGACGCAGAAAGACCAGCCATCGGGCCATCCGGAGTTGGCCTCGAAGTGGGTGAAGACGTATTTGGCATCGTGACGGCCGTTCTTGGCAACGACGAGGACGGAGATGATGATGGCGAAGACACCAGCGAATGTCCAGAAAATGGCGGCGGACTATGTCACGAAAGGTTTAGTATGCTTTCATTTCACAACCATACAACAACACCGGGCACGCGGGAGCAGAAGCATTCTTACATCAAGGATGGGCAGCCACTTGTTGCCGAGCGAGGACACAATGTTGCAGATGAAGGTCAAACCCAGGAAGATGAGGAAAACCTGGTACGGCTCGCCGGCAAGGACGCCGACACCAGGTTCCGACTCGAAAACGTTGACGCATGCAACGATGAACAGAGCAGTTCCAAAGTTCACGGCCAGAGTAATGGTAATGTTTCCCACAACGTACAACCAGCCGCAAATCCAGCTGGCCACGCGGCGGTACTTGGGAGAGGACAGCATGAAAGCTTGGTAGTAGACACCTAGCGGAGAGAAGTCGTCAGCATAAAGTCGGGATTTGGCGAGTTTCGGGGCCGGCCGGCCGTCGCAACGGCAAACATTATGGAGAAGAAATGTTGGTAAGTACCTCCGGCAGTAGGGTAGACACTGGTGATTTCACCAAGCGAGGCAGCGACACAGATAATGATCAAAGACACGCCGAGCCATCCCCAGATAATGTTCACCGGACCACCGCCGGCCAAGGGGTAGATCATGGTAGTGGCAAGACCGTAAGGGATAGCAGCGAGGACGAAGGACATGAAGGCGACCTGCAGCGTTGAGCGATTACGCTCGAGCTCGGGCTTATAGCCCAGAGACTCGAGCATGTTGTCGGCACCGCCATCGTCGGAACGGGAGGGTCGGGTAGTGTAGCCATCTTTGATATCGCCCTTGTTGAAGCCGAGATCGTGCTCGCGAGCACCGGGGTCTTGCGAGAGCACATGCGCCATGATGAATGCCCTTGATGTTGTTTGACTATACTATCTGTCGAATAGCAAGCCGAAATTGGGCTTCGAGGCGATGAGAGGGAGGTCTGGAAAAAGGGAAAGGTTAAAAAGGTGAGACGGCTCTTCCAATTGACATGAGGGACAATGAAGGCCTTATGTGATTTGAAAAGCCAAGAAGAAGGTAAGTTTATTTTGGGGGAGGATCGGCCGTGTGTGACTGGAACTGAAGTATCCCAGAGCCGAGGAGATGGGAAGACGAAGAGTTTAAAAGGAAGGAGGAAAAGAAAAAGAGGCAAAAATCGGCAAGGGTCGAAAAAATAGACAAACGAGACAAATCAGACAGACAGGCTGCCGGAGACAGATTGACAGACAGACAGCCGGCAGGGAAGGTCTCGATTGAGTTGAGGCAGTCCTCAGTCCGCAGTCCTCACTCTTCCTCCTCACTCCTCACTGTACAACTTCCAGTCAGTGCCGTCCTGTACTGGGCTATCAGTCGGTTGTGTCGCGTTCGCCGGGATAGGTGAATGACGTCCATCTCATTGGACGTGGACGTGAGCTGCGGGACCAAACCCCCAAAGAGTTGTAGCGTACCTTCGACACCCCCCATGCCCATGTCCATGTCCTTTGCCCCCCTCTCAGCCCCTTGTCCGTCCGTATGTAGTCGCATGTCTCGTCCTATCAGTGGTGTCCCTGTACCTATCTGTCCATACAGGATACCAGGCGCCGTGTGCACTGCTGGGCGTGGGCGGGCTCGCACAATGTCGATGAAGGGCTTCTTAGCGTAGGTTCCCTCAACTTGCGTCTGTTTATCTCTCGCGGCCTCTTTGGTCTGACTCGGGGTCTCCGGTGGATTCGACCGGTGCCACAGCAATCTTGTTGCCCACACACTCTGACCTCCCAAGACTTGCCGAGCAGTCAGCACGGGTAGCATGGGCGCTCTCTCTCGCTTACGGACGACGTCCTGCGGCACAGTGAAGGGCAACGCAGCGCCGTGCAAGGCAAGGCCGAGAAGAGAGCTGAGGTGCCTGGCATGTGGCCAGCGTCAGCCGTATCGAAGCATTCAAG